TATTAATGACTCTTTTAATCACGATTATATATATTTACGTTACATAAAACTTATTAAATTCTATTATCGCATATCGATTATTAATGATAAATGTTGCATAATTAATCATCGCTAATCGGGCTTGTCTGAACTATATAAAAATTTTTAGTAAATTTTATATTATACGTATATTTTAGAGACATTTTCTGTATTAAATTATTTTCTGTTTTAAATTTGTGTATTAAATTATTCCATGTAATAAATAAAAATTATTTTGTATTAAGTTTCAAATTATATTTTGCATTCACTTTTGTATTAAATCCTGTATTGAAAGAAAATAAAAGTAAAATTAAAAAAAAATTTTTTCCTCGTATCTCTACCTTACAGAGGCATTTGCTGGATGAGGTTTGAGTACTCTAATGAACCTAAGAGCTATGCCGACAGTAACTTATAATACCGATATTCATATATGTAGACTATTTTTATATTTAAAATAATCTTAAGTATGATTTTAGATCGCGTCTTGAGATTCCGATCAGTTAGTAAAATTTATGTAAATTACTTACCATATATCTCATTGATCCGTTATTTAAATTTTCTTTCTTTCTCTCTGCTCTCTTTGTTGTTTCTCATGGCACTTGTACTCATTCAAATTCCTCAAAGCACTTGCGCTTACTCGCGCAAATATTCGCAATTGCATTTAAAAAAGAAATTCAACAATATACGAAGCGTATCTGATTATTACTTCAATTTAAATAAATTATTATATACATATATATCGCGATAAATGTTCTCGAGGCGCACATTTCACGTAATTTATTCATTTAATCAAGTAAGAATCATAGAAACAAAAATCTAAAATAATAAATTATAGTTGATATAAAATTGATTTTTATAAGAAGAAATTATTACTTTAACGATATTTATAGAATCAAATAAAATATAATTCCGTGATACTTTATCTCGTTCTATGTTTCAATTATTTAAATATAATTTAGATTTAAAACGCACAGCAAAACAATCGAATCATAAATCAAAATAATTAACATAATGAAAAGCTTCGTGATACATGATTCCTTTAACAAATATTATTTAATTAATCCATATAATCTAAAACATTCCTAGACGCTTTAATATTCCGTGTATATGTTAAATATACGTAAAATATATCGGCAACGAACGGACAATAACACGTTCGGCCTAGGCGGCGTATGACGCGTTGTGTTTACATGTACGGCCTTGATATCAGTCGCACGGCAACATTCGAGGAATGAGGTGCGAAATATTTCGTATATTATCAAATTTTCTCTCTAACGATAAAACGGAATTATGACTAGTAGTGAAACATAATTCACTACAATAATTATAATTAATACTAGCTGGACTTTTAATTGTAATTACTACGCGATCGGAAGTGCCGTGCAAAGTGTCTCACGATTGTTGCGTATACTAATCTTAATTAATTAATCTTAATTAATCTTGTTTTCGGGAGTGAATGTGAGTGCAAACAAAGAAAAGAGAGGAAAAGCAAGTCTGAAAAAGCATTGGGCAACGTATTCAGCAACAATATCCGGTAAATATAAAAATTATTTATCATTTATATTTATCATTTATATTCAGATTATATTATATACATGTCATTTATATTCAGATCATATTATATATCGCTTGTCATTTTCTCAATAACGATTCTCTCTCTCTTCCTCTCTCTCTCTCCCCCTCTCTCTCCCTCTCTCCCTCTCTCTTTCTCTCTCTCTCTCTTTTTTTCTCTCTCATTGTAAATTATCTAAATTATTTAAATATTTAAGTTATATTAGTATAACATATATATAAAATATTCTGGATTATCTTATTTTAATATGCTTAAAATATCTATAATAAAATACTCTCGTATTAATTAATACTTTTATATAGATAATAATATTTCATAAACTGCTTCACAATAATATATTATTTAGATATTTTATGCATAAAAGGTTCCATAATAAATAAATTGTTTAATAAATATTCAATTTTAATCAATAAATTACAATACTTCTATAATTTAATATTCTGCGCGTGTGTATTTTATAGTATATAAAATATTTTGGCAACGAATTATTAACACGGTGTTCTTTGGCAATATAAAATGTAAACAATAGCGCGCTATGTTACGGCTTTGTCATCATTCGAACGGTGACTCTCGAATAATAAAGTAGCGGTGAGAAACGTTTCGTATATTGTAATTTTTTTACTAAACACAATTACGATTAGTATTGAAACATAATTTGCTATAAATATTAATAAAAATTAATTAATTAAAAATTAATTAACGACAGAGATCTAATGAGAAAGAAATTCATTTGCCAAAAGAAAATGGCCAGAATCAACAAAAAGTAAGTTCAACTGGTCTGAAGAAAAGCTTTACATTCAATAGTACGTAATATCGGACACTTATTCACTCGGTTAGGGCACGCGATTAGGGAATGTAATTAGGACACGTAATTAAAATATACATGATTAGAGATAGGCTCTCCTCGAATAATTTCACTTAATTGAGAAGTAGGATTGTTAGAGCTGTTCATCACCTGATTATTGATTTTTTTAAATTTTCCTTTCAAGAAGTAGAGGATTGTTAGGACTATTAGATAGATTAATTTAGATGATTAATATGTTATATTATGTATTTTTAAAGAGTCATGAAATGTAGAGTTAAATAATATTAGAGGAAACAGATTAATAAATATTGCAATAATTATATTATTAATATTAAAAATTTTTAGGAGATCAATATTTTTTTGAGTGTTTTTTATTTATTTGAGGATAAAAATTAAGTTGTTAACAATAATTTTTATAGTAATACGAATTTTTTATATTTATATATTTTTATTTATTATTAAATAACATTGAATATACAATATATAAATTCCAAAAGATACATATAATATGCATATAATATATATATTATAATATTATAATATTATTATGTAGTTTCTTTCAATAAATCCAAAAATAAATTACGTTAGTAAAGCAATCGCAGAAAAATTCAAGATTGCAATTTGTCTCGCTAACGAATTAATTAACTACGCATGTGGAATATTCAGATATATTTTCATTTAATAGAATCATCGAATGCATTATTTTGCGCGTAATGCAAGATATGTAATGTCATTCTCGCTTTTCAAATATAAAGTGACATTACTCCGGAATCATGCGCGCATACATAAACGCACACATACATACACATCTATCATTGTTTCTATGGAATAAACATGTCACTCATTTTTTTTAGCCGTGTTATCGATTCTTTTAAAATCCGAGATGTGACATATACGTTGAAGAAAAACATTATTCACGAAATAACAAAGTATTATAGAAACATATATCGACATATTGTCAAGTCTTGATGATCGATTATTACCGATGTTAAATGAGGTCTAAATCTAAACGCGCGCCCATCCGTTTTAATGCCAAAATAGTATTAACAGCCTTAACCCACCGCTTCTTAATGACATATCGCTTCAATCGATGCTTCTGAATCGGATTCTCCAGAGCGGCTTCCAGCCAACGATGCTCTATAAGTTTTTCCGCGGACGGTCTGTCCCTACGGTTTAAGAAAGCTAGTCAATTTCTCGATTCATATTCATTACGTTGGGAATCGCAAATAAAGTAGGCAGATGAAAATCAATTATTCTTCTACGATGTGTTTGCGCATATCGTGATTTATATTAACACAACAGATTGACATAAGAAATACGTGCACAGATACATATTACTTTAATTCTAACGCGAATTTAGTACGTCATGCTTGGTAAAAAATATCTAAACTTAGTCTACTTTGAATATATATAATTCTCGTAATTAATGTTATTTTAATATGCATATATTCGAATGTTATTTATAATTATAATAATAATAATAATATGTTACAAATAAAAATCTCGCACTTGAATACTTAACAATTTTTTACAAAAGTTTACAAAAGAATGTTAAAATTAAAATAAAGAATCACTAAGAGAAGCTGTTACGCTATTTTTGTGTTGTTAAAAGCATTACGATAGAATATTAGTTTGCAGGAAATTAAATCGTTTTGTAAGCATTTCGAAGAAAAGTAAATAAACAACTTATATCGATGAGTACAAAAATATCGATTTAAGGGTGTGCCGATGGCGCACAAGAAAAATATAGAAACTCTCGTATTTTTTTTTAGAAATTTCGACTACATAGATTTTATCAAGAATTTATATGAACTTTTCAATGTAGCTTAATTTAATAGCGCATTGAAATCGTGGGTTGCCTTTGTTAATCATATTTAACTTTTCGTTTAATATATGAATCCACTACTCGAACATTTAATGAATAAAAAGAGTGCAATCTATATTTCACAAACTTTTATACGCATATTAAAATTTTATAATATTTCAAATGTTACAAAATTGTAAGAGTTTATCTCATTTCTCGATCGCGTAAATAAATTTGTAAGAAATAGATGCGAATCCAACAGATTTAAATTATAATCGATAAACTTAGGACTGAGCAGGGTATATTAAAACCCTGCTGCTTTATATTATTCGCACATTATTATTTTTAATGATTTTAATGACATTTAAGAAATATTTTCTCTCTTTCTCTGTTTTCTTCACAATCTTGTTAAAGCTTTGCTCGCTGCAAACGTATTGAATTATGACATCAGAAACCATAAATTTTGTTCTTACGAAATAAAGCTGGTTTGCCTCGTATTTTACCACTCGTCTTTGATTTTTTGCATCAGACATCATAATTCAATACATTACACCAGTGAAATATGCACATACACACACGCATAGACCTACACATATTCATACATATATACGCGTACCAGAAATCTTATAAATTTATTTATTTAAACAAAAATTAACAAAACATGTTGTCAAAGTTACATGATATTTAAAAAAAATAAATGAATTATAATGAATTAAAAAGGAGAGATTTTTGTAAAATTAAATAAAATATCTAATCTTTTAAAATTAATCAAATTAATAAAATGTCTAATCTTTTTAAATAAAATATTTATTAAATTGCTCGATTATTATATCTTCATCTAGTTGCAATATAAAGTTTACTTATGTAAAGCTCCGTAATCATTATTTAAAATTGAGATACATAGAAAGATACAGAAAGAAATTCAACAATTGCAAAATTAATTCTAAATTTCAGAAAATGAATTCCTCATCGAATTCTTTGAGATTCGTTCACCTTCAGTTATATTATTGCCCCAGACATCATATATATGTTTCATCTCAAGTGCCAAACTATTTCAACAGCTCCAAGAAACCAAGCAAACAAGATTTACGATCGAAGAGAAACGAAAATTGTGCGATATCTGACTCGAAACTCATACCAGGTACAACGCTCAACGAAATATCGACGACGACATAGATGACGCGACATCGGGAGATTTCTCCTTCTGCTGCTTCGACTGGAAGTACTCGGCCAGCGAATTCATCGTCTTCCTGGCGATCGTGCTGGCCGCGCAATCCAAGCTCACGGACTTCCTGCCGGCGCCGGCACTACAAGATATGGCGGTGACATCCTCCCATTCCCCCAACAGCTGTAACAGTAAATCCTTGGTGCTCCCAGGCTCATTGAGGTTGAGATTTTTATGTAGGTCCCGCAAACTCGATATTCTTGGCACGTCCCTGCTGGTCTCGCCCAAAGGTCGCTTCACACGTGGTCGTCGCCAGGGAGGTGTCAAGTCCATCTCCTTGTCATTCCTGACCGAAGACGCCTGAAAGGACGTTTTCTTGCCAACCGTTTTCCCATTCAACTTCTCCTCGATCGTCGTTCGCTCAAAGGAATATTTTCGATCTTGTCTATGTCCCTCGGACGTCTCGCCATCGCTGATACTTGTTCTTCTCAGAGCTACAAAGACATTTTCAGGATTCGTGTCGACGTCGTGTCTGTCGAAGCTACGACTACTGTGAAAGGTCGTCCCGTTGAGCTTTCGCTGTCGAGTGATGCTGGATAATTTCTCCGTGATCTCATTAGTCTCTTTATCGTTGTCGGACACGGTCACCGTTACGTTGCTCTTGGAATACGTATTACGATTATTCCCGATATCGGGCCTCTTGCTGGGACGCTGCAGCTCCGTCACACGTTCGTTATCATCCTCGTCCTCGTCCTCGGGTGAACCCATGGCGATCGAACGCAAGTGTTCGGACAGCTTTATGATCTCCTCGGCCAGAGCAATCTGGCTGGCCGGATCGCGACGATTTCGCGCCGCTGTACCTTCGGAGGCTCTTCTTTCCAACGTCAAGCTGAAACTCGGCACGGACAATAGATGAGTGGGATAATTATCTCTGACAGGATCCATCACCTTTTCCGATAGGGTGCTGCTGCTGCGAAGACTGTCGCAGGGAGAAGGACTGTGACCTCGTAGAGACACCGATTCATCTTGATCATGAGATCGCGAATTTCTCGGTAACGAGTGATACGAATCGATCGTATACGGGCTGTCCGGATGTTCTCGCCAGCGTTCGACGAACAGCCTGAGATTGTCCTTGGTCATGTCCAGCTCCTCGCTGCTCTCGTCACGGATGATACCTACGATAGGATGATTTTCAATAAAGGCCATCCGTTTGGCCGCCGCCAATCCTGCGACTTCCTTCTCGCTCCTGGCCTTATTCGTTTTTCTCGCCAACCAGCGGTGCTCCCGACATTGCGCCGCCGTCATTCGCTTTCTGAAAGATTCGAAAGGCTCGTCGTGAGGAGGTGCTCTAGGCTTGATAGCGCGTTTCCCTTGCCGCTTAAAGACACATGTGTTCTGCGGTCCAAGAACGAACAGTTAAGACGAGGAATGCGGTGCAAAAAGTGCCCAATGAAGGTGCAGGTTCATATATCACGTGTATGTATGTGTGTGTGTGTCTGTATATATATGTACAAAATTCCAAGTACAAAACTGTCGAGAAATTAACTCAATAAGCGGGACATTATATGTTGATGTTACTTCATCGTTTGACATTTGGACGCTCTCGGGGCAATAAAGTTGTTGTCGAATGCAAAGGGAGTGAAATAATAATTGCTATATAGTAGCATCCGGAGCAATATACTTTTTGCTTAGAGTTATTAGGGATGCGGTCGTATTTCATACGTTGAATTATAAGATAGAATCACTTTTCTATTTTTTCTTTAGCGACCGGTAAAGTCATTTACCGATATTAATATATGTATTGATCGAAAAGTAGCTCGAAATAAGATAATAATGAGAGTCAGGATTAGGCATGATAAATACAGATTGCTTGTACCATACACACACCCTCACAACGAATGAAAAAGGGCAATTAGCATAGCGTGAGGAGATTTTGCACAACAATAGCGACAGACACATGAGATGGAAAAGGAAAAAAGAAGGCATGGGAATAAGAAAAAAATATTTATAAAAAACTACAGAGAAGTAGTATTAATTTTTTGCATCGCGAAAACATACTTACTCCTTGTCTTTCACCAGAACGCATCTAATGAAATCTTTCGCGTCCTCAGAAATCTCGGCAAAGGCTTCGTGATCAAAGTCATATTTCGCGATAGTGACGTTGGCCATTGTCTCTATATCTGTATCACCCATAAACGGCGATAGACCGGACAATCTACAATATAAACAATTCTATATTTAATTTTATTTATCATTATTATTTCATTTCTGTATTTAATTATTATTTAATTATTATTTCATTTCTGTATTTAATTTTATTTATTATTATTATTATTTAATTTCTGTATTTAATTCTATTTATTATTATTATTATTTAATTTCTGTATTTAATTTTTTATTTTTTATTATTATTATTTTACTTCTGTATTGAATTCTATTTATTATTATTTAATTTCTATATTTCCGAAGCTTGTTACTATTATCGATTCTTGGATGATAGAAATTTAAGCATTTATCGCATGATGAGAAGCAACTTTTATGTAACTATAGATATGACTTATACTTACAAGACGTAACAGATAACACCTATACTCCACATGTCCGTACCGAATCCAATGTGATCAAAATTTACGACTTCCGGAGCAACAAATTCTGGTGTACCGAATAACACTTGCAACTTTTTATTCGGATCGTATTCCCTCGCTAAACCGAAATCTATGATTTTAATTCTATTGCCTTCCTTTGTCAGACACAGGATATTCTCAGGCTATACATAACAAAAGTAAATTTTAAACAATAATTAATTATAACAAAAAGAAAGATTCCTTAATCAATTTAAATTGATAATATATAATAAATAATTATAATAATTATAATAAGTAATTATAATAATAATTATAATTATTTGTTATAATAATTTATTTATTATAATAATAAATAATTGTAACGAAAAGAAAGATTCTTTAATAAATTTAAATTGATAACATATAATAAATAATTATAATAATATGAAAAAGAAATAGAGATATTTTTACAAAAAATATAACTGTCAAATAGAAATCTTTGTATACAGTTGAGAAGTATCTTCATATAATGTAATGACTTACTTTCAAATCGAGATGCAAGATTTTCTGACTGTGCATAAATTCCATCCCCTCGCATATTTGGCGCATAAAAATGGCGCAGCTGCGTTCCGTGAGTACGAAATCATCATCTATTACTCTTTCGAAGAGCTCGCCGCCGTCGATCCTTAAATAATGCAAACTTTGAGTAATTCTGCAGAAATTAATTAATCTCTCTTTCATGATTCTTACGCACAAGAAACGTACAATTCTAAAATAACATATATCTGTTTCCCCGTATCAATGGCGTCGTACAGCTGAATCAATCGCGGGTGCTGCAGGCGTCGCATGATTTCGACCTCTCTCTGCACCGCTCGTCTGTCCTCCTTCTTTATGACGTTGACCACTTTCGCAGCGAGCATCAAGCCGCTTTTTTCCTTGCATCGATAAACAATGCCGAATTTTCCCCTAAAATTTAAATAAAAGAAGCAAGAAAATCAATTAAAAATAGCTGGAAATTTTTTATTTATATTTTTGGTAAATATTACACATTTATTTTTAAATTTGTTATGCTTTAGAGAGAATCTCGAGACTTTTGTATTAGACTTTGTATTAGAATTTTTAGAACGTAGAATCCTTGAATAGCAGGAAGTTATATACTCGTAAAAAATGATAAACACCTGCCAAAGCCAAAGCTTGTATGTCCGCGTCCCTGGCTAACATAGCATAATACAACATACTTGTCACGAAGCCAAGTCAGTGTGTGAATCATTGAGTTAGCGTACGTATCTAACTCAACGAGTGTCTCGCCAAGTGCATTTCTTGCATTTTATTATTTCATTCTCTTATTATATATTAATTATTAATACACTTAGAAACGTAAATAATTAATTAGAATTAATTAATTAATTAAAAAATTAATTGGCGCTGAAAATAGAACAATTGTTGATTAGAGGACCTCCTTTTTTTCGAAGACAGGATAGTTGAATCTTTTGCCGAAGATTCTTTCCTCAACTTTCATTATTATTATATCAAATGTTTAATCTCATTTAATTTAATCGACATTTAATTCCATCGTTAAACGATATGAACATCTTGGAAAATAAAAGGAAGCGAAAATAATTCTAAACGATTTTAGAGGAAGAAAACTTGAAAACTCATCTCTGATTTTAATAATCAAATGTATTTTGCGATTTCGATTTTCCTTAATTTATTCTGTGATATAATCATGACTTATGTTATTTAGATCTGTGTCTACGGGAACGAAGCACACGTGGACGACCGTTTCATTGTCAAATAACATTCCAACGTCGGCAAGTCAGCCGAGTTCACCGGTGTCAAGAGCGGGCAGGCACAACGTCTGATTTGACATACGTACTCGGGAGAGAAACGAATTATTTATAGGTACATCGTAGGTTCTTGATCGCTCATACGAGAATAAAACCACGCGTGTTTATCGGCCATGCGTGCATTCCTTATCAATTCGCACCGCATTCCGCAGACGTGCACCTGTGTATGAGAGCGTGATAACGATTCGCATACGCGACTTTGATATGTAACTATACTCTGTCGTTATTATGTGGAAATCGGCCAATGACTTTAATATTTTCATATATCATCGAATATATTAAATTCAAGCATTGAAGCATGAGAGAGCGCTCTTTAATTATATAAGGTGTTAAATATTTTTTTTGAATCACCACTTTTGATCCAAATTTGATTAATGAATATCGATTAATATTTTGATTGAAGGCAAATTTATGTATCCTAAATATTATACTATCTTTCTTCTTGATTTTTTCCAAATTAAAGAGATATATGTAATCAAATATAGGAAATATCAAAAATTATAATATTAAAAATTATAATAAAATTATAATAATATTAAAAATATTAAAAATTAGAATAATGGACTACAATATAATTATCATTAATGTCAATATAATTATCATTTATTAGAGTCAATCTAACTATCATTTGTCGACTTTCAGAAAATTCCGAAAGCGAGAGCCTCAAGGATGGATCATCGATCATATCGAGAGATTAATTTAGCTGATCACGCGTGATCGACATATCGTTGGCATGATGTTCGATATCTATATGCATCCGTTGATCGACGAATTTAATCACTCACCGTCCGAGCTCCGCCTGGATGTCATAATCGTCCTTGAACTCGACTCCTCGACGTACCGTCACATCTCGATAGGGGAAGCTGGGCTCGATCTCTGAAAATAATCGTAAATGCAACAATAATCGTACGTACAATAAGAAGAATGCAAAAAGTGACTCGCGCGAATTTTAGATATATCAGACTCATTTTTTTCCAAATTTTTGTTGACTTTTTATTCAAGTTCTACAATTTAATCCTTTTTTTATTAATTATCTTTATCATTTCTCATCTATTTATTTTTTTAGTATCGTATTTACATGTGTTTTGGTATCCTTTCTTCTTTGATTCTTCGTAAAATCAACGAAACTATAATTTCGAAAAATCCAAAAATTTAACACGCGAAAATAGCTTCTATATGTTTATCCGAGCCAATGGAGGTGCTGTGATTTGTGCGTAAATGTATGTGTCTCTATTAGAATTGAACGTTAAATGTATCGACTTTGGATCCGGCAGCGGTTCATGAACCGTGACAGCGACATGATTGATGAATAGAACGTACATGTATGTAAACGAGATTGTCGCTGGCTGAATGATTCGCGTCGTTCTACTAGTACGCGCGCTCTTCGCGAAACGCGCTTGCCGTGTGTTCCTCGACGAAAGATTCCTCGGAGAAACACCGAGAAACTTGGAAGCCGAGTCCTCGAAATCCTTTTGCGACGGAAATTCTACCTCGTTTTTCATTCTCTTACCTCCCACTGGGTCTGACTCGTCCACGCGGATCATGTTGCTCGAGCGATCTCGCGACGAATCGTCGCCTTCTCGGGGAGCGAAAGGAAGAAGCGAGATGATCTCCTTCGCGAGCGAGGATCGCGAAGGGAATTTTCGGATCTTGCACTCGTTCTACGTCGATCTACCTCGAATCACGGGCGATTATGGACTATCCGCGGCTTTCGTATCACACGGGCCGAGGGACGGGTGTCTCTTCTCTTCTTCTCCTGAGCTGGGACGGATTTAGATTTTCGGCGGACGCCGCGGGATCTCCTGGTTGATCACGTGGTTGCCGACAATCTCGAGATGGTGGGGTAAAATAGCTGGCTTTGTCTCTCTCTCTCTCTCTTTCTCTTTTTCTCTTTTTCTCTTCTTGTACTAGATATTTATTTAATACACATAAGCGTCTTGTATTATAACATTAGTATAGGAGCGACGAGTAGCTGAGACAGCAAAATGATTACCTGCCACGTGAAAACTCCCGAATTCAAGTCCCGGTATAGCATAAAAATTTTCTGTGATGCTCTTCATGTACGAATAGATACGGTGTGAATTTAAGGATGTTTTGTACCTATTTTCAAAATATTGAGAATTTAATGAAAATTACATATGTTTCGAATTTTCAGTATAATTTTTAAATCGATTCACTAAAGCGTTCACAAGTTATAAGGATTTTAATTTGCACCGAATTAACATGTATTCTTATGGGAAATCACGTCGATTCAAATGACAAAACACATGGAAATAATATTCAGAATTTGTTTAAAATTTGCAAAAGTTTAGATACAGAGAAAATATTTGGTCAAATAATATTATACAAGTATTAATTGGTTAAGAAGATATTAAAGTATTAAGATATTTAAGTATAATTTAATGAAGTTAGCCATGTATCTATCACAAGACGAAATTCTCTGCCAAAAGTTAATCATTTTGATTAACAAAATTCGGAATATTTCAGTAAACACGCAATAAATATTAAAAAATACATCTCTGCACTGTAGCTAAGATCAAATTGTAATGTTCTACACAATTTCTCAAAATACACAAAAAGTGGATATATTCGTCAATATTGATTTTCAGCTACTTTTTGCTGGGATGGTACGTACAAAACATCCTTAGATACTATGGACATGATGTAAGAATGATTAATTTTAATCACATTGCGCTCGTTATGCCACATGTATATACAAAAATATGTTAAATTTATAGCATGAGAACGGCTGGAGCATGTGTACACATCATCAAATGTATGTAGCAATCATACTTGTGAAGAAATCGCTATATCTATCTCTATACGTATGCATCATGTCCATAATTTTCAAATTCGCGCGATATCTATTCATATATATATATGAAGAGAATCAGAAAATTTTCATGCTATACCGGGACTTGAATTCACAAACTTTCACAGGAGGCGATCACTTTGCCGTCTTATCTATTCTTATCTATTCGCAGCTCCTATACTGCTGTAATACAACTACAAGATGTTAAAATTTATGATAATACGTGTCGAATTTATCTTTATTTCTATATCACAAATTTTTAGAATCATTAGAGTATCTTCATGCACGTAAGATATTTTATATCATTTTAATGATGCGACATTAAAATAATATAAAGCATGTAAGAAAATTTTTCATTTCAATTCGATCATATCTAATAATTAATAAACAATGGGAAAAATATGTTTTGATATAAAACATTAATGGGATACAAATTACATGTTTGGCCCAATTATAATCGTGCTCTGTAGTGACCTGTGAATTCCTGTGATCTGTGAAGAAATAGATTTGTCAAGTTAAATTCACATAATCATCTTAATTAATTAAATTCAAGGATAAATATAAAAGCAGAAAAGCATTTTTCGTGCACGCTCAATTTATTGATGCTTCGCATGTATATTTTTAAAAATGTATGTTAATCTGATAAAACTCTGATTGTCACGAATTGTAGATGTAAATTGTAGATTATAAGTAAAACTGCTTTAAAATGGAATACCTAAATTATACGGAATAACTTTTTATAAATTACTTTTTAATATTTCTTTCAATATTTCTTTCATACACGTATTGCAAGAGTAAAAAAAATTAAAACAAATTTCAAAAGACTAAAAAGCATTTTTCTAATTTATTTAAATTTTAACTAATATATACCATACCACCAATATATACCACCAAATGTTTTAATTAGACCATCAATCACGAAACGATTCTGCCTATTGAATAAGCCCTGATTGAATCGATTTAGATTAAAAATAAAAAAATATATAATTAACTTTACAGTATTTTAATTTCTTAATTATAAAAAAGATTAATCGCCAAACATTTTAATTAGACTATTAATCACCATCAAACGATTAGATAAGTTTAATTATTAAAAAGTGGTCCGACTAACTACAGAATTCCTTGCATCAGTAAAGAATGGCCGCATTCAGCGGATTCAACCGCTAAGTAACAATCGAACATGATTGGTTTTTACTTTCAGATCCGGCCAATCAGTGTCGAATTACATCAGGAAATCTAGTAATATTGCTCAACTGTTGAGCCAGTTTACTCTGCCAGCACTGAAAATATATAATATACGTAACGTGCACTATAGAATTTGTAGTACTGGCAGTAATTTCGGAATACGGCCTGAGTCAGCTGAATGCATTGGAATGTACTGTACACTGCGCGATAACGATTCATTCCCTGACCCCTCTCTCGCGGGGCAAGGGGAACGTAGAAGTGACCAATCAGCTGGCAGCGTGGCAATGGCTGATTGGTTAGAGGCTACGCTCCCCTTGCCTCGCGAGAGGGATCGAGGAACGAATCGTTGTCGCGCAGTGTACGTTTCATTAAGTCTGTTCTTTTCAGCTGCACTGCTGCACTAGTGCAATAAGTTAGAAAGAGACAAACATGCTTTCTTTCACTCTAATTGCACTAGTGCAGCAGTGCAGCTGAAAAGAACAGACCCATTGGTAACACCACGTGCTTTCGACAGTTCGTCTAACATTGACGTTTTTATTTTTCTTTTGTGTCAGTGATTTTTATTAATTAGATAAATTAGAAACATGATAAGAATTTTTATTTATTATATTTTTGTTATACATATAAAATATATATTACATTAAAAATTTCGGAATTATATAAAGAAATAAATTACTCGAGGTAATTTTAGGCTGGAATAAGTTTAAATAATACATACGATTAGAATTATTCTATCATTTTATGCGAAAAATAATAAAGTTGATAAATTAATCGTATTTGATTGTTAAAGCAGTTTTATCAATTTAAAAAATTGTCATACAAATTATTTCAGTGTCGAAGAGCACTATTTAATACTCGACGAACAATATTAAAATGGGTTACACAGCAGATCAGGATAATGATAGTATAGCATCTGATCTTCAGAATAAACATGATATTTGTATTGAAAATGAACAGGACAAGAAGAAATATAAATGTACTTATGCCGAATGTCATGCTGTATTCCTGCGACCTTCTAGATTGCAAAGACACATACGATCGCATACTGGAGAGGTATTTGTTACAAATGTGAAATCGAAATAATTATTTGTGTATAATAACATTTTATAACTTATTTTATTTAATAGAGACCTTATAAATGTGATCATCCAGAGTGTACAAAGTCATATACCAATTCTAGTCATTTGAAAAGACACTTGGAAACACATAATGCCGTAAAGAAAACATATAAGTATGTACATATATATCTATATTATAATTTAACTTATATATACATGTATGTTATTCTTATAAATTTTTTTGTATCTATATTTTATTCCTAAAAGTCATGCTTAATGTTATTTTATTAAACTTAGATGTCCACAATGTTCATTGTCAATCAGTAATCTTCATAATTTGAAACGTCATTACAAGAAGATGCATAGCAAAGATAAAAAAATGGATTGCAAAGAATGTGGTGAAAATTTCAATAAGAAGAATCAGTTAGCTGAACATCAAACTATACATTTTGGACCCATGACTTATAAATGTGATAAATGTGTCAAAAATTTCACAAATGTCAACAAATTTAAACGGCATAGAAAGGAACATGAAAAGGATCCCAAACGTTATCTTTGTCCAGTATCAGAATGCTCAGAGGTGTTTGATAAATGGCTATTACTGTGTGCACATAGAAGAGCTAAACATGTAACAAGTATGAAAAATAATATTACAGAGAAATGAATTAAATATAATTTAGCAAATCAATGGATTTTAATACAAAAAGATGTATGTTTTGATTCTTGTTTCAGATTATAAATGCAACAATTGTGATAAGGTTTTTCTGAGTAAATTTAGATTAAGAATGCACTCCAAAATACATTCTGAGAATAGATTGGTTGTATCATGTCCATATGATAATTGTCATAAGACTTATTTATTCAAATCCAATTTGGAGCAACATATAAGAATCAAGCATCTTGGAGAAAAATTTTATTGTGACGTATGTTCTATAGGTCTTACATCAAAACAAAAGTTGATAGAACATATTCAACGTCATGAACCCAAGAAGGAAAAAAAGAAATCAAATAAAATAGAAAGAAAGAAGAGAAAAGATGCTGGTATACCTAAGAAGAGTGTACTATCTGGATTAATTGGAGTAAACTTGCCTTACAACTTAGAAAAGATGGTGATAGAACGAGAAACAATGATAACAAATGATAACATAAAATGATCATATATCGAAAATATCTAATAAATATATAGACATTTATTCCTGAACATATTATAATTTGTTGACAACTGACAATTTGTTTAAATACAAAATAAAACATTTTATAGATTATTAACATTTATGCGAGCATGATGATTTAATATGATGTGTAGTAGTGTAAAATTATATAATATAGGTAAAATATTTATGTGGTAAAATATACCATAAATAAATAAATTTATCAATAAAATCATTTAAAAAAATAGTGTGGAGATAAAATATTGTTAATAAATATACAACAAATTAAATTTTCGAATATTGTAATTATGTTTTCTCTGTCTTTTCTTTTTATTAGATTGTATTGTATCGAAATGTGATTTTTTGGTAGACTCGATCGAGTAATGCGAAAGCGAATCTTAAGGAATATCGAGTAATTGGATTTTAAAAAAAACTCGTTAATCGAGTATACACTTGTGATTGGTTGGTAATGTTTCTAATCTGAAATCTCCATTACAGAAAACCCTATGTATATTTATTTTATACAACTATTGCATTTTCGAATGGTACTAGACGTCATTGACCAATCACAACCATTCTTCAGAAGAATAATTACGATTGGTCAACGACGTCTAGTACCATTCGAAAACGCCAATAGATGTATAAAATACACATCTAGTAAACTACCCTCGATCGGATCAAATCCGATCATTCGAAAATGCCATATGATTATTCAGTGTAGAGTGCATTTTTGATGTTTGGTTATAACCCGCTTTTAGGTGATCCCTGGAAGCGATACTCTGTGGACATTAAAAACGTGGACATAAAATACAAAACCAGAGTCCATGAATGTTCTCAGAGGGTAACACATATGTCCCTCTGATAATATAAAATATTTTGTTTATCATCTCCACTCTCCACAAATAAAATTTAATGTGGATTCTACTTACATACAATGTAGTTGTATATTTTATGCGAGAGAAAGAAAAATAGTAATTTTCTATAATTTTTATTTTTGTTTTATAAACTAAACGATTTCCACGAACACGTGTTTTTCAGGAAATTGAATTTTTTTTCCAATTATTTATATATAAAGCGTTAAAATGAGATACGCTCAATTAGTGATGGGTCCAGCCGGTTCCGGCAAGGTAATTAATTCATCAACTACCAAATTTTAATTGAATAATAATATATATATTAATGGGAGAAATAATTATTAATATCTATTGAATTTTTAATAGTCTACCTATTGTTCAATTATGCAACAACATGCCATTGATTCAAAGAAAACAATAGATGTTGTGAATTTAGATCCTGCAGCAGAATATTTTGATTACAAGCCTTTGGCAGATATAAGAGAGTTAATTCAGTTGGATGATGTTATGGACAGCGAATTGAACTTTGGACCCAATGGTGGACTTGTTTTCTGCATGGAGTAAGTTAAATCATTAATGAATTAAATCATTAAATTATCTTAATTATTTAGTTATAGATATATAAGAGAATTATTTTTTTATATAGATATTTAGTTGAAAATGCAACCTGGCTGACGGAAGAATTAGGTGATACAGATGAGGATTACATAATATTTGACTGTCCAGGGCAAATTGAATTATATACTCATATGACTGTGATGCGACAGCTGATAACCATGCTACAAAATCTTAATTTTCATATATGTGGAGTATTTCTGATTGATGTCCAATTTATGGTTGATGCACCAAAGTTTCTATCTGGAACTCTAGCTGCCCTTAGCGCAATGATAAATCTAGAAATTCCACATATTAATGTTCTTAGTAAAATGGATTTACTATCAAAGAATATGCAGAAGAAATTAGATGATTATATAGAACCTGATCCATACAGTTTATTGACAGATGCAGAAAAAGATCCATGGAACAATAAATATCGCAGTCTTACGGAAAGTATTGGTAGAATTATAACAGATTACAGTTTAGTACGATTCTTGCCATTAAATATTAAGGATGAAGAAAGTATTGCAGACATTAAATTAATAATTGATAACACTATACAATACGGTGAAGATACAGACATAAAAGTTAGAGACTTTGATGAACCAGATAATGAAATTGATGAATCTACTTAAAGTTAAAGTAAAACTTTATAAAATTCTGTACATAATTTTATATATTTAGTAAGTCATTAAAAATGTTACAAATATAATACTTTGTGTACTTGTATATAATTTATTTTGTATTGGTTTATAAAATTGTACAATAGAAGATATTTACATTTTAGAAATATTTCACCTATCTACATATAAATTCAATGTATTGAATACAAACATAAGACAACCAAAAGTAATGGTAGAGCCGTGCGCGATAATTGCGCTTCCCTCCCATCCCTCCTCTAAACGATCAGCGTCATGTTTTGCATTGCATTTACACAAAATTTTATCATTTTTGTGCGCATATTCTTGCAAGCAAGCCGTTTCCTTCTTATGTAGAATTGTTTTTATTATTTCAGAAGTTTCTTCTTCCTTGGTGACACTTGTAGCTTTGTTAGTTTTTTCCTCTTTTACTTGGTCTTCTAAATCTCGAGTATAATCACAAGAATACAATACATTGTCCACTACTGTTCCATATTCGCTGTAATTGAGTAATTCATAATGTTTAGTCGCCTGCAACAAAAATAACTAATCAGAAGAAGAAAAGGAAAACCATATCTTTTATTTCATTTTTTGCTTTCAAAATTCCATATAAATTTTTTTTTATTTGAAATATTGACAAATATGTTTATTCTTACCTCATCAAAAAATATAATTGCATGTTTAGAGGATGTAAATCCACAATTACCATAATTGGATAAAACTAAGTCACAGTTGGGGCCATTGCCAATAACAAAGGTTTTACGAGTTATGAAAGCTGGTGGATTAGACTTAGGGCTTAAAGAAAATAATACAGCTCTTGCTCTTCTATGACAATTTATTGTTTCATAACTCTCCCCATCTGGATTTAATATCTGATCTAATCTTTGTTGTGCTAATGCCTCCAACACTGGTCTTTCTAATAACTGGATACCTTCTTTAATGTTATAACCACAATATCTTGCATGAAATTCAAGATTATATTCCTTGGAACTATCTGTTACAGTCTTGCTATCCACTACATTCGTATTTTCATTTGCATCTGACACTTCCTGTTGATCACATCTCTCATCCGAGATTGTATTATGTCCCTCTTTCTCTTCTTTCACTTTAATAGTTTCAATTATTTCATTTTCTATACAATTATCATTGCTATTGTCTGTTTTTTCAGAATTTCTATGTTGTTCATCTTTGTCTATAGTGTTTTTTACAGGCAATATCAGACAATCTTGAGAAAATTGTACAGGATCTAATTGTGGTGGATTCTCATAATGGAACTTTACACTGCAAGGAACTTTTATTCGTGGACGACCTTCTAATCTCACTTTTGTACGAAATAACGGATTGGCAGTGCGCGCTTTACGCAGAAAATCCAATTTTACTGCGTGCTGATCTATTGGTTGATTAGCATATCTGTCCCAGAGTTTTATGCGTTCTGTCACTCTGCAAGAAGTTAACAGATGTTGATCTATGAAATGATTTGGATGATTGGGACACATCCATCTACCAATAGGCAAGGCAGTCAGCGGAGGATCTAAGCAATCCTGATGGAAATATAATGGACAATAGTCACATGCGATTAATGGAGCTTTCCTGCAACTACGTCCACATTCAAAACATAAACGAGCTGGCAGTGGAACCATTAAGTTGCTGTCCAAGCAATGACTTTTTCCAACTGAAAAAGAATATTATATATTAATTAACTTAAAGCAATTATAACAATAACTGATATTTCAAGATACATATATTTTTGTTACAGAAGAGAAAAAATAATGTCGTAATATCCTTACCATTATTGTACGATGAACTAAACTGTTTACCTCTCCTGCCAGATACATAATCCACTTTATTGCTTCCAGGGAACATTATAGGCAATTGTAATTCTTTGGGTAACTCAAATTCTCTTGGATTTACTAGAGAAGCCGCCAATGCTAATACTTCCAGTGCAGATTTTTTCTTTTTTTCATTTCCTTTGCTATCCAAAAGTTCTCTTTTAGAAGCACAACGGCAAGCATAACATAACCATTCTCCATTAGGAATATCTGTAGGATCCACTGCAGGGTAGCTGAAAGATAAGTTTTATAAAATTTTGGTATTTTTTTTAATAAAAAGATGCAATACTTTATGATAAATGTTACTAAATTGATTGAAATAGTCAAATATAGTTGTACCAAGTATAGTTGTACCATAATCACACTTACTGGCATTGTAAATGATAGGAAGCTGGACACTTATCGCAACATATAAGCTCTCCGCCATCTCTACAAGCATCACAGAAATCACGATTGTGACCGCGACCACGTCTCTTAAAATACGGATGCTTCTTCTCTTCCTTTTCCTTTTTTGTTTTAGCTGCCTTGGAATCTTCAGATATCGGTGGTGCTATGAGAGCTTGTATTTGCTAGTGGAAAGATAATTAAATTCAGAAGAAGCTTAGAATGATTTTTCAGGGACAGGGCCTGAAGAGACTGCAGATTTTTTTCTCTTTATCTTTTACTAAAGAAAGTTCTACATCATATTAACAGATTCATTTACTTTGCTTACCGGCATTAATCCGCCAATCGTTGGGAAACCATACTCGACGGTACTCATTTGGAATGTGCTAGTATTTTACAAATAATCAAGGAATTATCTCCTCGTTTCCCATCAATTAAAGTAGCTACTCTCTCTCATTCTACCATCATTCAACTCGTATATTTAGCAAGCATTATATGTATATAATATATATATATATATATATATATGTATATATATATATATATATATAACGTTTATAGTGACCTCTTGGATGGTTCGATTTTATATTTTTTAAAGATATTTATGCATCAATTGTTGGTCAAAAGATTTATGTCTAAAATTATGTATCTATTTTTTTTTGTTACAAACATTGCATTTATGGGTGCGTTCCGAGTTACGCATAAAGCGCGTAGACTAACCAATGCGCGCATTGGTCGCATTCAGCAGACTTCAACAGTTAGGCAACATTGGGTGCTTTCCATTTAGCAACACAAGTCGACACAAGCGTCATTCTATCTTTTTTCAATGAATAACAATAAACAAAGATAGAATGACACTTGTGTCGACTTATGTCGCTAAATGGAAAGCACCAATTAAGGTGCGGCCTCATTGACGCTAAAAAGTAGCGTCAACCATTGGTTGAACAATGAAGCAACTATACTTACCTCCTTGTTCAACCAATGGTTGACGCTACTTTTTAGCGTCAATGAGGCCGCACCTTTAAGGTGCAATTTCATTGACGCTAAAAAGTAGCGTCAACCATTGGTTGAACAAAGAAGTAAGTAGTTGCTTCTTTGTTCAACCAATGATTGACGCTACTTTTTAGCGTCAATGAAATTGCACCTTTACTATAGAGTTTTCGACTTGTCAAGTTGGGAGCGTCCCGTTTGACCACGTTGCGATTAACCACAACCAATTATATCGACCTGTGCCTAGGGTAACCAGCAACGATTAACCAATCAGAGAGTCCTATTTTGAATTGGCCAATTGGCGACGTGGTCAATCGGGTGCCACCCGTCAAGTTCAATCGCTCTGGATAGTTTACTAGATGTTATTTAGTGCGTTCGAAAATATGTTTGGTCGGTGTTGGGAAAAAAGATAAAGTTGGCAGTATTGAAAACTCCTAGTGCTGCATTTCGTTTCTCCTACTGGGACAAGTCGAAAACGTTGCTAGATTTTCCGATGTAACCCAGTGTTCCGATTAGGGATTCCGTGCGCGCGCATGTGCGGCTCTGCACTTGCGCGACCGTGAAAGTACAATGTAATTTCAAAAGTCACGCATGCGCAGAACCGCATATGCGCGCACACGGAATCCCTGATCGGACATTGATGTAACCCGACACTGATTGGTCGGATCTGAAAGTAGGAGCCAATCATGTCTTGCACCAGGCAGTCGGTAATTTGGCATTGCTGCGTCTGGTCTTGTAATTGAGCGTATCGTGTTTGACAAACCTATTCATGCAGCAACGAAAACGCTAAAATTTTAAAAAATTATAAAACGCGAATATAATAATTATTTTTTTCATCGCCCATCTGTACGAGGGACAATGTACTCGGCGAACATACGTACCGGCATCGCACGCGCGTTTTGCGTGGAATCACGCGCAGAGATACGCAATAATGCGAAATCGATCGAGACATGCCAGAAGGTTGTGAATCGGAATCCGCGAAATTTAGAACGACTGAGAATAGCGAGGAAACCCTCGGGATATAGTCTCGAGGAACCCGGGCGCACGTTTTGGCACAAGTAAGACAAACATCTCGATTCTCTTGTCAGATTGATAGAAACAATTCTGAGAATTTAATTGATTTATCAAAAGACCGAATGGAAATATTGATTAATATTAATTTGTAATGATTATGTACACGCGCAAATACATAGTTTATTTGTACATTATGTTATATGGATAGCATAATCGTCAGAGTATTCCAAATATCAGTGTGTAATCATCAGAGTTATCCCAAGTTTTATTTCAAGTATATACGCTCTTCGACTAATATGATAATAATTTTAATTAATTCTAATTATTTATCTCATTCGATTTATAGAGTGTATCTGACTAAGAAATCTCGTTACATTATTGCGGAAGTCCGCCACTTTGAAAATGGACCGGTCATTACAGCCTCCAGCACAGAATGGGCATTAAAGAAGCAGTTATATCGGTACAGATATTTGCTTGAATCTAGATCATCTGTTGTTTCTTCTCAGCCAGTTACGCCAATAAATAATAAGTGACTTATGAATGTTCTCAGGAGTGTCGATTGTTCAGCTTATATTAATGTGGGACGTGTATTAGCTCAACGTTGTTTGGAGGCTGGGATTTGTGAAATGCAAGTTGACTCTAAACTAAAAGTTGGAGAAAAATATAAATTATTCATTAATGAATTACAGAAGGCTAACATTTATCTGAATGAACCACTAGTATATAAATATCCTAATTCTTGGAGCAGAAATCGACCAGAGAAGCCATGGGAGATCCATGAATAATATATTATCCTTTTTCACACAATAATGTAAATAAATATAAGGAATAGTGTTTACTACACAAGTGGTGCAGTATATCCTTAACAGTGCTTCTTGTGAGAGGTATAATAAAATTAAACTTGATCTGTGTGATCTGTGTGTATATTATATTGTAGTATCTAAACCTCTGCAAGAAATGGCAAGTTTTGTACACTACAATATTTATAAGAGACATAAATAAATAATTATATCACTGTTAAAAAAAAGCCTAGCTACTAGAGATATAATGCTATTTAACTTGTAAATATCATATCATTATCTAAGGCAAGTACACTTTCCGTTATACATAATGATAAGATTTATAATATAAATGGAATGTTATTACATTTACTTATCATAGTGACTATACACAATAGAAAATTTAAGTTAGATACATGTACATATACAGATTGATACAGAAAGAATTCTGAAAATTTAATAAATTTATCAAAAGACAATATAAATATTGATAAATATTAATTATAATTAATGGATATTAATTTATAATGATTATATACACACGCAAATACATAGTTTATGCATTATTATGTATTATAATATATATAGAGGGTGTCCCATTTTAAAGTTTCTATTAGAATATCTCTTTAAGAAAGCATTTTAGGAAAAAATATTTCAGAAAAAAGTTGTAGGGTTTTAAAAGTTCTATTGTCATATAAGTTTTACTGGGAGTTCCATTTAAGAAAACAAAGTTGAACTCCATATGACCTCTTCCACTCAAGGTAAAACTGATATGACTATTCAATAGAACTTTTAAAACCCTACAATTTTTATTTGAAACATTTTTTCCTAAAATGCTCTCCTGAAGAAATATTCTAGTAAAAACTTTAAAAAAATGAGACACCTTGTATAATATATAATACATAGCTTATTATGTTATATGGGTAACATATGTATAATCATCAGAGTTATTCCCATGTCATTCTGTACATGTATACTTAGAAAAATAATTTTCGATTTTTCTTTTTAAGTGTCTAGACTATTGTTTTCTCGACGATATATTCCACATTAAAACTTAATTTTAGTATTTTTATCCATTGAAATCTACATAGAGTACTCGGTTATGCGCACTATTTCGCGAATCATTAAATTAAATTACATGCTCGAAACAAATAAATAAAAACGCAGTAAACATTTTAAATAATTTGTAACTAACATTCTAAAGTAAAATTATAAAGTTATATATATAAAATAAAAAAATTTATTTATATATTATGAGTGTGTTTGTATGTGGAATATATAACTGGATTGCTAGTAAATATTTATACGCATAAAAAGAAACAAAATAAAACAATAAATTAGAGATATACATTTGGATCCGCTATCATAAAATTTAAAATTTTGTGATTATTAATTTAATACAATTTACTGTTAAAAAATATTGCAGTCAGTTTGATGATATAAATCATTTGCATTCAATTTCTATTAACACATAATTAAAAGTCGAATTTTTTAATATTTACTTTAGTTTTTTATAGGCCGCAATTAGAACAATGAGGTAAATTAATAATAGGATACAAATAAACAAAAACTGATATTTTATAAAATTATTTTCTTGATTTAAAAACTAATTGCAGTAAAATAATGTTGCATGGACATTCATATATGAAGAAGTCATGAAGAAATAACTTTATTGTGGAATGCATATACAGGGTGAAGAAAAAGTATGAAAACTCTAAAAAATTTCGAAAAATGTAAAATGATTTAAAATGATATTTTATTGATTTTATCAATTTGACTTTGGTTAGCATTGTCAAGATTAGGATCACCTTGAATGTATAAAATTATATATATATATGCATCCCAGATCTATATAATATAGTTTTTTATAATGTATCATATAATATATATAAATATATATAATGTATATAATGTAAAATATATGTATATATATATGTAATTAAATATATATAAAATATATATATATATAAATATATATATATATATATATTTTATTATATAGTTTTTATAAATATAAAAAATATATAATACATTATATTAATGTATATATTTTTATATATAAATGTGTGTGTTATAGATATATAGAGAGTACTTTTAAAGAAAGAGTATAATATACAAAAATTCATTGACTGCACGAAACAATAATGCCACTGTTATGAGAATATGACACCGTTAATTACACGTATATATATATGTATATACCTTCGATAATACGAAGATAAGTCAAAAAAAGGATCATAAAAAAAAGAATAAATAGTAAGAAAGTAGCACTCTACTTGCAAGTATGGATATCGATATTTTTCACGCAAGTCTTGCATTCGACGTAACAACACCAGTGAAATTTACATTCGCATCTCTCCCTGATGGTCGACTTTTGTGTATTGTACCCTCTGCCACAACAAAGAAGATTGCAACCATCCATGCCGGAGGAAGTTCTATTGCATAGTCTGCCCTGTGTACCTATTATAAGATAATTTTCTATGAAAGGTATCACATCCAAAAAGTAATCTCAAAAATATTTTTTTTCGACATTAGCTGAACAAAAAAATTTAATTAAAAAATACAACATCCATGAGAAAGAAAGAGATACGACATCATTACCTAACGATCCTAAGGTATCATTTGGAAGGCAATAGTTTGGCGAGTCATCCAGATAGACCAAGTCATTGGCAGTAGGCACGGAAAATCTTGGATCGCGCATCGACAAGCGACCCCGCCGATTGACCTTGACCTCAGTTGCACCGTCATATTTGTCCAACAGAAAATCGCCTGAAAATATTAATTATATAATGCTATTTATACAGGTATCCAAAAACTGTTCTAAATAATGTTATTTGAAGTATGTGACCATGCATGATTATTTTGAATGATCTTTTAGATATTTTTGTGGTCGCAAAAAATATCGTAAGATGGTGATAAGAAGCGTTAATCGCACGCATCGAGACTTACCGATCTCGCGAAACGATGTGAGTTGCTGCCAGCAAGTAATCAGACTGCAGCTTCCGGAAACGCCATGACATTTGCACGTCACCTTGGACCTTTTGATGACGGCCTGCAGATGAACGACATATTAGTTTCGTGACACGGCGGCTTTAGTTGAGCGAATTCGTGTTAAAATTGCGAAAAATCGATAAGAGCACCTTCGTGCATTTAACGATGCGACATTTAAGAGACATTTCTCACACGTGTAGGCTAAGAAAAGAACGAACTTTACCCTGCGACCGGCTTCATTATTGTGTAAATTCATCAAGCTTCTGCCCTGTTCCCGGCTGCCTTTCTTAAAGCTACCTTCGCGCTCTCGCACGTCAACGAATGATTGCGTGAATCTGAAACACATGGACGACACATTTGTCGTTTACTTTTGATATTATTCGAGTATTCCACGCAAAAATTAAAGGTGAATAAAATAATAACTAGAGAAAAATCATGTAACTAATATGATGTTAATAATCTACATATTTTTGATCTTTATATCTATCGATGAATCGTTTATCTAATACGCGCACTTACTTGTAGCCGTACTCGAGATTATCCCCGCATCCGCCCCAGATCCAATCGCGATTCAAATCTCTGGGCCTGCTACTCCTGGAACAGCCACATGACGATAGTTGACCATCTCGGCAAGAGCGACTGATGGAGTAAACTACACCAGCAGCGGTGATGGCGTGAACAAATGCAGTTTCCCTACTCGCTGTAAACGAACAAATGCAATATATATGCGTATTTGATAAATTTAATTCAAAAAACAAATACATTTGGACGCTGATTATAATTCTCGAAAAAATAATCGAAGATTCTGACCTATTCTAAGTATCGGCCCAAACACGTTCTCGTCGTGAACGGTGGAACAATTCCACCTTCTGTCTCTGAACTGATGCTGACACTCTGCGATGCCGTATTTTGCACCTTTGGTCACGCTGGACATGTGATCCACGGATAATTGACAAAGCTTCCCTTGACCTTGAGACAATCCCCTCAAGCTGGTGCAGATCTCGGAGGCACTCGCGTCGAACGTCTCCATCGACTGCGCCGCTTCCAATTGTGGGAAGTGTCGTAGACCCAGATTTCTATCAAATTATATACAAAATAGAATCGTATAGTTTTATATCAGTATAGTTTTATAATATCGTATTAAAAAAGAACATCTCTACATATTTTTTTTCTTTTTTCAGAAAAAAATGCTGGCATAGCTTTCATCGCGGTTATTTTTCATAAAAGAAAAAGAAAAAACAAGTCTGATTTTATTGCGCAAAACTTTATCGATTCGCAAGCACGGATTTTGTTTCGACATGCCACACACAACGTGGGATCCCCAACTCCTGGGGATTTGTTACGCCGATTATACAAATTCGGTGCAGGATGAACCACGCTCGTGGGCACGGAGGCAACCCTTGGATTTTCTCCATAATGGCGGCATTTGTGAGTCAACCGAGCGAGATGATGGAACGGTACCGTCAAAGACAGAAGCCGAGGCCGGCGGGGTGAGATGTCGGAGGAAAGACCCACCAATCTGTAATTCGAAACGGGCGACCGTCGCGAGAGCATAGGTTCCAATAGCGTCTCCACCGCTCGATCGTTCTCCATATTTATTCCTGTGAGATTCATCGAGAAAAATCCCCGCGAAATCATTAGCGCGAATCATTCTCTCGCATCAGGCCGACTCTACATCTGTATATTTTATATATGTATATGAGATTTAATTAATTTGCGTAGCTTCTCTCTCATGGGAGCGATGAAAATATACATAGGGTGTCTTCGAAAAAGGCATCTTGTGTAAACTTAAGTATTGTGTGTGATATTCAGGTACAGTGTTTGCTGTAGATAATTTCAAAATTATCTAGATAAAGATAAAGATAAAAATCCGTAAATTTATCTTAGATGAAATAAAAATGATTTTGCTTTTACTTAATCTAGATAAAAGATGAGATAATTATTGCGATAATCTAGATAATTATCTAGATATTTTTGTTTATTTTAGAAGACTATAAATATTTGTAAAAAATGTGGCGCAGATTATAAATGGGATATTAAAATCATAAACACATATTCTTTCTCTTTTGCTAAAGAATATTTAAATAATAAGTAAAAAGGTATATAAATGATATGATAAATATTTATTTATTAATTTATATTTATAATATATTTATAATATATTAATAATATAATAATAATACATTTATAATATATTAATAATAATAATATAAAAAATATATTTTAGATATTTTAAGTAGATTTTTAGAAGCTTGCCTGGAAAACTTTTTTGCATAATGAAAACGTCATCTTAGACAATTTTTAGATAAGATGACATATATTTTTCATCTAAGATAAAGATAAAGATACTTTGTATTTCTTCATCTAGTTAAAGATAAAGATGATCCATTTCTTTATCTAGATGATTAGCTACATAATTTTATCTAGATACCAGCAAACACTGTTCATGTATAATTAGATAAGACCAAATTCTGAAGGCTAAGTTTCGAGAAGATAGACTCTTCCTCTATTATATTCCGTAGCTTCCATCCATACAGCACAGAACATTGCAGTAACATTCCGCCAATATTGCAATGTTACAACAATATTAATAACATCGCTGCAATATTCCGCGCTGTATGGGCATCGTCGGGACCAAACGACGGTCTTTCTCGATCGCAGTCCGACCGCGATTTACGCGGTAAGCCGCGACAACCTGTACGGCGACTCGGTGCAGCTCGGAGGACCTGTCCGAGCGTGACTCAGGTGAATACTTGCCGGGGTTGTCGGCAACGTGACGCGCCCGCTTGAGATGTATCAATAGCGTGCATTACTTGGAAATTTCTAGAATTAATAGTGCAATTAAAATTCACTTATTTGCACATGTACAAGCCAGCGTTAAAACTTAGCAAAAATTTCGTTGAAAATATTCGAGATATACGTGAAGATTTAAGATGCATGTAAATTTGCGACGAAAAGAGGGAGAAAATATTAGTGTCGTTAGTATCGAAAAAAAAGCCGTTCCGAGGTATCGTAAGCTGTCCCCAAGTATTACCGCGATCGAGCGAAGAGTCGTAAAAGCCCGCGCGAGCGTCTAGGGAGAGTGTGTAATAGACGACATTAATATTCTGGAACACGCTCCAGCGGCGATATATCATTGGCTTTACACTCCCCTAAAACAATGGCGCGGACAATCGCGAACCCGAGGGGGACGAGAGGGGGAATAGAAAGAACGATAATATTTCGACGGGGTACGGCCCACGCACGGGGGGCTCGCTCGCGTCGTGGGCCGCGGGTCCGAAAAATAATGCCCCGCGTCTCCGAAGAGATTGCAGCTACACGCGTCCATATATATATGGGGTGTCCCGAGACAATCGGCCGTAGACACGAGATAAACGAAATCGTGTATAAAAGACCGAGCCTAATAATCAAAGGACGATTGATTGAATCAATAAGATCCGCGTCGATATAAATATCTCGAAATGAATAATCCAATGTAATAATAATCCGATGTAATAATAATCCAATAATAATCCAATGAACATTATTTGTTACAATGACGTAATACGTGGTTTATAAGCGCATTCCGACGAAAGAGGATTTTCTCGCGAGAGAGATGCGGAGATAATAGAGGTGAATTCGACGCGAAGGAAGTCTGGAGCGACCCGGCTGGCTGACAAAGGAGCGCGGGCGTCCGGGACCATTCGGTGATTGGTCATGCTCACGCGGGGTAGAACACAGGGGCGAGAATGGCAATTCAAAGATTAGACACACTCTGAGCGAGGCGGGGTATAAACGACATGGGGAACGATCTCTTTCGCGGAGAGATTTTCGAGGGCACCCAAGATTCCCACGATATTGTGCCCATGCCCCGGTACAAAGGCTCATAAATTAGAAAACCCGTGAAAAATCGCCTGCTCTCGATTATCGCGTATCTTTGTAACGTATTCATTTAATTGATTTAGCTGATCACTCATTCGATCGACGCGTTAACGAAAAGTTTGCGAAACAATCGACAAGTATATAACTGAAGAAACATTTTTATGTAATTTTGATGAAGGCGAATCAGTCGCAAGATTATGCTTCACGATCCTCTTTAATGAGGAACGATTAAAAATAAAAATTATTTTCCAGATAAATGACTCGTCGGATAATTCGGGAAATTAAATTAGCCCTCAAATTCATTTATTTTAATACGCGACATAATCTCAATTATTCGAGCTGATATTGAAGATTACAGTGTAATAATGTGGATATAATCGAAAGTTCAGTGAAACCACGTTCGGATAATGGAGCTTCCACCGTAAGAACGATAACCACCCCACAGCCGTTAGTTTATCCTTTGATCGGCGATATGTAGGGCACCCCTTGTCCTTCGACGTCGGCTTATTTTAAGAATCACGCGAGCCTAATGAAAAAAATAGTCGTGTCCCGTCTAACTATAAATATGCGGGTGAGACCGCGTTTAACAACTCTTTAACTCGCGCGATTGAAGAAAGAAAAAAAAAGATCGTGATGCGAAGAGATACTCACATCCAGGTCCCCGGTACCGTGGAAGCGGTGGCGACGACGACGACGATCAACAATGATCGCAGTATCACTAGTAGACCATCGCCGCGTATCGTCATGTTTTCCCCCTGGAAGCAAAGAAAATGTTACAATCGAAAAAAAAATGTTACAATTTTGTTATGAATATTCGCAGAGCATGTGTGATCCTCAACAGCTTGCGCGTGCGTATTAATTGCTTCATTAGGAAAGATCGTTGTACTTTGGTACGCGGTAAATCGGGTTTAGCGGCGGAAAGGCAAAAAGAAGACGATGATAACGGCGAGACGGTGAAATCAAGGTTAAATCGATGCATCACGGCCGCTACAATTCACGACGGCGCGGGAAAAAATCGCCTTTTAATTAAACGCCTCGACTTGGCCGCAATTTGTGATTACATGTTTTGCTCCAGAGACTCGACAATTCGGAATATTTATGTGCGCATTTTAACGTGCAAAGAGGCAACGCGATAAAAATTAAAAATGTTACAATAACTTAATATTAATTATTAATATTATTATATTCATATTAATATTAATAATTAATATTATTATATTAATATTATTTTAATAGTGCGATAAATAATAATTCTTCTAGACTTAAAAGTGTTTGAATAAAAAAATATCTTTACATACAAGTTTCTCTAAAATTTAATTAAAAATAATCTAATAAAAAAGAGATTTAAAGCGTAATAAAAAATCTATATCTACGATTGGATCAATCGCTATCTGTTCATTGACAGTACATTTGATGATTTAGGACAGAGGGGATAATTTATACATGCTCGATTTGATCAGATTCAATAATGTACACAAAGATATCTCGACGAAGGAAGAGAGAACTCTCGTCCAGTTCTTCTCGGCGTCCAGATAAGACGTGTTTCAAAGACTAAAAGGCGCAACACACACAGAGTGTGACGCGGGTTAAGCGATAGACTTTGTCGAATCGTAACTCGACTCTGGGACTTGTATCAACAGTTTGTGCAACGTGAGAACATAGAATGGAGCGCCGCGTCCAGGTCTTCGCAAGGTGTAATGTCGAACCGATGTACCATAATCGTCCTGGACTCGGGTGTCTTTCCGTTCCGAGGTCAGCCCGTGGCGATGCTGGCACTGCTACCCACACGGGAACAGTGACGTAGCTGAAACGTGCGAGCCCGATGAGCAGAACTAATAAGATGCATTTACTTTCGTCTATTTTCGACAACATCAAGTGTCACGTCAAGTTACAACTGTATTGTAAATAATGATCGTAAACTCGAGCTCTCTCTTTAAGTAACGGTTTGCGGCAATAGCGTTACTTTAAAGCGTTTTAATTAAACCGAATGGTTCATATATTTGATTTAATACAGGATGTTTTTAAACATATGCGAAAAACTTTGGAGGATGATTCCTTGGATAATTTTTTGGAGAACAATTTTTATGTTTTAAATGGTATAATTTTCGAATAATAAAATGTTCAAGATTAAGAAAAATGAGATCTCGAAAAATATATTTTGACCAAAATTAAAGTCAATAAAATTATAAGAATTGTTAAAGTCAAACCTCCATAAGCCTATTCTCTTTCTTATTGATTAGCAAATACGTTCAAGAATATCAAGTATATGATGAATTTTACACGATGAAATTATGCGATTTTTAAAATTTTAAATATTTTAATCAATATACTGTATCTAAAGAAAAAAATCCAAAGGATTCAATTTTGAGAATCGAGAGGGTCAAGCTCGAGGTTCTGCTTCTTGAAACTTTAATACTCTGTATAACAACAATCGAGTCATTTAGAACATTGATGTACATAAACTTTTCTTCGAGAAATTATCCAAGGAATCATCTCTCGAAATTTTTCATACATGTTTGTAGAAAAACATCCTGCATATTTAAAAAATATTTCGAAATAATTTTTAAAAATTCCCTTTGACATTTATGAATCTTTTCTATATATGAGGGGGGGAAAGAGAAGAAACAACAAGGTTCTATTTCTCGAAACTTTAACACTCTGCATAAACTTTCCTTCAAAAAATTACCCAAGGAATCATCTTTCGAAATTTTTCGCACATGTTTATAGAGAAACATCCTGCATATTTAAAAAATATTTCGAAATGATAATTTTTAAAAATTCCCTTTGACATTTATGAATCTTTTCTATATATGAGGGGGAGAAAGAGAAGAAACAACAAGGTTCTATTTCTTGAAACTTTAACACTCTGCATAAACTTTCCTTCAAAAAATTACCCAAGGAATCATCTTTCGAAATTTTTCGCACATGTTTATAGAGAAACATTCTGCATATTTTAAAAATTTCGAAATGATAATTTTAAAAAATTCCCTTTGACATTTATGAATCTTTTCCACATATGAGAGAGAAGGAGAAGAAACACCAGGGTTCTTAAAACTTTAACACTCTGTATAGCATTGTCCCATACAGCACAGACCATTGTTGGTTTGCTGTATGGGACAATCGAGTCATTTAGAACATTGATGCATATAAACTTTCCTTCGAGAAATTACCCAAGGAATCATCTCGAAATTTTTCGCACATGTTTGTAGAGAAACATGTATATTTAAAATATATCTCGAAATGATAATTTTTAAAAATTCCTTTTGACATTTATGAACCTTTTTCACCTATGAGAGGAAAAGAGAAGAAATAACATAGTTCTTGAAGATAAATATCTTGTATAATTAAAAATATTTTGAAATGATAATTTTTCAAAATATTTCGAAATGATAATTTTTCAAAATTCCCTTTGACATTTACGATACTTTTCCACATATATGAGGGGAAAGGAGAAGAAACAACAGGGTTTCCTGTATTCATAAAATAACTCGCACCATAACACGGTAGCTATACACGTCCCTGCCCCGCGGAACTGGTATACACACGTATATACACGTGTGCACACGCGCGTGCTTATATAGAGTACATCGTCGTCTATCTAGCCCACGCGATCTGCGGGTCGGCGATATTAGTCGGCGTATAAAATGCATTTGTGATCACGGTGGGAATGTAAACGGCGCATTGGGAATCGTGGACCGGGCGCGAGTTATCAGCGTCCATAAAGTATCTCGCGCTAAAGGCTCGCGCTGAACAAGACACGACCAAGCGATATAAGATGCAATAAGCGCCGCGTGCGTTTGTTACGAAATGAGCTAATCGCCGATTCCGTATGACTGCACGCGCAGTTATAATGAGCGCGATATGCGAGAGGGAAGCGGATGGAGAAAGAGAGATATTTGATATTAGGTGCACATGCCTAACGATGTGCACTTGGCTACTCGAGCATTCGCTTGCATAATCCCTGAGACGGGAGCCGGCAACACATTGGCTGCCGAATCATAAAATGCGATCGTAACGCATGAAGGTACGCATAAGTATGAGGACTCGCGTTTAAAACAAACTTATTCAAGTAGACTCGCTTTTTATTAGCGAGAGATGCCGAATGATAGTCTTGGAGCAAGAAGAGGGAGGACAAAATTTGCGTATCATTTCAGAATCTCGGACGCGACGTGTGCCGATTAGAATCGTCGGTGTAGGCCCTTAATTGCACCTCCTAGATGAGACGAGGCGAGAAAGTCGCGTCAAACGATCCCCGAAGAGGCAATCGGCTCTAGATTTTCACGAAGAGCGCCAAGACGACGGCTCGAGCCCTCTTAACGAAGCTGGGAGCTAAGGACGGTATACACACTCGAGATACACGTACGCAGAAGAAAACGAGAGCCTACGAGGCCACGAGAGAGCGGCGAGAGAAAAGGACAGGAGGAGAGGGGGTGGGGGAGAAAGGGATCTCCGGCAGAAGAAGCTGCGGTAGAAAAGAGAGGACGAAGGGAGGCGGCGGAGGAAGAGGAAAGCAGAGAAGATGGAAGATCCGAGAGGATCTCTGGACCAGGGGAAGCAAGGGGTACGCACGGAGTACAGTGGGACCGGTCGACGATTGTCAATACAACCTGCACGAGGATACGACTTATACTAGAACAATCTAGCGAGGAACCGAGGAGAAAAACCAGTTAACTTTAGAAATGCAAACTGTTGGAGAAACCGTTCTGCTCTTCCTTTACCAGTACAAGTAATAACGACGAAGCTTTGTGTAAAGTGTAAGACTCTTTGTACTTTAACGTATAAAATATTATTATTATTATTACTTTTTGGGATATTCCTAAAATATCTGGATAATTTTTATCAGGGTATTTTTGTTCAAAATTACATCATTGATTCTATGATATTATATTTTCCAAAAATAATGGAAAATATATTTGCTAAAATCTCGGTCGATTAAATGAGCGAAAGCGACCGAGATGAGTGGAGAGTTCTCAAAAAGAATTACAACGACACTGAAGAGTAATTACGTACGTCAAGAGAGCGAGAGAGAGCCCCTTTTTTAAAGGAACATAAAAGGAATACAAAAGCCATTTCGTCGGACATTGTAATCGTTGATTATACTCATATTATACACTATACATGCGTAGGACACTATCCGGTACTCTCCATCCAATCGTAACTCATAACTTTTATGACGCTTTCGTAAAGATACCTTATTAACATATACAGCCGCGCTAATTTATCCCGAGAGAACTGACTTTTTAATTGGGAGGTATCAGAGAAACGACGTCTTACCTTCTCGAGAGGATTGTTATTACGAATATAACGGCAGTCATGATGCGTCTTATGAACTTATCAACTTAAAAGTTAAGCGACAATTTGATAATTTAATAATTTCAGCGCATATTTTGAACTTGAAGACCACGAGTGTAATAAAAGATTCTAGATGTATATTATAATATAATTTTAATTAAATAATGTAATGCAATTATAATTTTATCAAAGTTCAAAAATGGACTATTAATGGATTGAGACGACATATCAATTTTTTGCAATTTGTTTTCTAAATCAAGCAGTACAGAAATTTCTTAATGCATCAGGTTCATATGTAAGGGTGTTTCTTAATAAGTGTGAACAATTTTAGATTTTTTCTCAAATTTGAAACAAGTTAAAAAATGAAACAAATTTGAAACAAATTAAAAAATGAAATTACGTGGATATTTTCTACTAATAAAAAGGTTATTTATTAATATTTTTTTCAGCCTTCCGTATTAATGAAACTAGCAACCCCTATTCAATTTTTTATTAGAACTTTTTAATGGGCTGAAATATGATCATCTAAAAAAATATGCATTAAAAAGTTTGATTTATTTAAAAACTTGTTTATTTCCTTTATTTTTTTCATAAAATTAGTAGTTTTCAAGAAAAAAATAAAATACGTTATCGTGCACAACACGATGCTAAATAGCATAGGTTTCGAATTAGGAGAAGTTAAATTTTAAAATAAAAATAAAATTAGAGTAAATGTTGGGAAAATTGGGACAAAAATAAAATTATAATAAAAACCTAATTTTTACCCCATTTTTGGAGGAGTAAATGTAATTCCACAGGGAGGGATGCAAGAGTACATATTTATATGAAAAACCCCCCTTAATTTTCAACAAGGAATCTCCTAGAATTTTTCGCACTTATTAAGAAACACCCTGTCTATATAGTATGAGTATATATTTGATAACACAATCGAATTAATGCTCGATAATGAACAGAAAAAATCTAATAATGAACAGAATGAAATAAAACATTGCCGATTGATTTCAGGAACACGGAAATAAAAATCTGAACTATCTCCATCGAGTCCTCATTCGTTCGTGAAATCGAACGGTAATCGTTCCGATAATGGCAACTGCTCCGATTTAAGATAATGGAACAACACCCGGCCACATTGTCGATCGTGGCAAAGTCTGGATTGTGAACCGTCATTATCCCACGCGTCTCATCCCTAAACGCGAAGAAATGATCCTCGCTGATTACACCTCTCTTCGGAGCAAGTTGAATGCTCGTCGTCGTACGATGGAAAAGCAAATCGTCGATGATGCATCGCGTAAAATATCTCATCCGAGGACTATTTCCCGCTAAATGGACGGCGCGTAAATGATCGTAAAACGCGACGGTTTTAAAACGCACTCTTTTCACCTCGTTTAAAAGGCGTCGAGCAAAACTCGGAGCAGAGAGAAACGGCGGCTACCAACGTTGCGATGCGATATTATTCACCCGATAACGACCGGACCGCGTCATTAAACGCAACAATCTCGAAACGACGAGATTGAGTTTCTCTCGAGTTTTCCCGCATCTCATTGAATCGTCTTGATTTTTCAACAAACCGAAAAATATTAACTACTTTTGCAACAGGATTTATCTGCTCAATCTTGTAAAAAAAGCTTCCTTATCTTCCAGATATTTTCGTTCAAAATTCCAGGTAAAGAAATTATTTTCAATTTTACAATTTTCTAAAGCGAAATTTTTGATTGTGTGCGTTTTCCAATGTTTTTCATTCATATAAAAAATATAAAATTTCATTTAAAAATATAAAATTATAAATATAAAATTAAATATTTTTAAATTTAAAAAAATATAAAATCATTTAAATGTCAAGTGCAATTATAATTGAGTAACTTTCAAGATAAACATTTTTCGTTTGCTTAACATTTTTTCTTCATCAATAAAAATTATAATAAAAATATCTACTGTATATTTTATATTTTTTAAGACATTGAACATATAAATGGATTATAAATTTTTTCTAGTTTCTTAGGTCCCAATAAAAATCCACAAAAATTCTGATTTAAAAAAAAGTATCTGAAAACTTTATCTTCCATATCTTCCATATTTGCTTATAGAACAGATATTTTATCATCTAAAAGAACTATCAATGTCGATGTTACAAGATTCAAGGTACAACAAATCTTGGCGCGTTTACATTTGTATACTTGATATTCTAAAATGTATTACTGAATGTATTACTCTTGCGATTGCTCGAAAAATTATTTTTTTATCCCGTGAGAAATATTATAATTTGCAATTTCTACACAAAAGTGAGCGATACGCTTCCCGGAGCGTGCCTATTGTTCATGACAGTCGCGAAGTGGAGCAAAGTCGAGGCATAACGGAATGGTCATTTGCGAGATGAGCTACGGGCGAGTCGCGGCGAGCCGTTAAAAGGGGGCTGCTGCCTATTAATCTGCCGAGACATCGGTAAATCATTGCCGGTTCAACGACTATCAGGCGGAAATCCTCGGCTCGGCACGGTTTGGCATCTCGAATCGACTTTACAGACTCTACAGCTTACGATACAACGACGACGATGTATATTTATCTAATGCAATCATTCTCGAAGGAAGAGCACGAATTCTCACGTCAATTATATATCGGGTGTAACTAAACAAGAAAACATATTAGTTTTATAAAATTGGGTAGAAAATTTAGAACAGAAAAATTAGGATTGCACGAGATAGAAGACTAGTTTAGATATTGTCTTGTTTTGTCTCGAAATTTGATTAAGATTGTCAAGATTAAGATTGTCAAAATTGTCAATCTTGTTAATTATTTTTAAACAAAACGAAAATATATATATTTTTAAATTAAATGCGAAAAAAATATTATATTATACAAATTTGAAAAATTTTATTTATAATAAGAAATAAAAATATATTTATATTAATAAATTGATATATATAGAAAAAATTAAAATATACTAAATAAAATAAATAACAAAATTTTGCACAATTATATAACTTTTAATTCTCTGCAATAACATTATAAAAATTATGTGAAACATTTTAAACAGTTGTCCAATATTAGATAAAAATTGCTAATAAAATCGAGACAAAATTTTTGCTACAAAAATTCACTCAAGACAAGAGAATTAAATTTTCGAAAATTTTCAATACTAATATAATATTTTAACGAATATTGTCTATGTGTAACCCTATATTCGATAATGTTACAAAAATACACGTTTTACACGAGGACCTACTCTCTCACTGTCGCGTGTGTCATCGACGAGTGACGTGTTCCTTCGTCGAGCGTGAACATCAGACGGGGATGATTTCGAAGCACCCGAGGCCGAGAGATAGAAATAGGTACATCTAAAAATTATATACTTGATGCAACATGAAATTCAACTAGAAATCTCAAATATTCTGCGAACGATGGAAAGTGAAAGGATCGGTCCTTTCCTTAAAGTCGCGTCCGGGTCACGATCCGATTGCTCGGTTCGCGAACGATCGCGCCGATGAAACGCTTATCTCGACTTAGTAAGTCACCTTTATCGAGACCGCCACCGTACACCATCATCGTTTATATCGATTGCCCGCTAACGAGATCCTGTTACAATGCTTGACAGACCTGTATACGCGTGCAATTGTATTTAGATTTTTTATTATTTTTATTATTTTTTTATTATTTTTTATTTCATTATTTTATACATATTCTTAATTTAATTTTTTAATTCTTTTGATCTTTGGTAAATTTTGCAGAGTTTTGTGCGGCAGATTCTCCAAATATATTTACCATATTGTTATTATTAAAAATGTTATGCAGCGATTGAAACAATTAACGTGACAATTAAAATGCGACAATTATTTTCAATGTACGATAGATTTGAAGTAATCATGCAAAATTGAGGAGCACGATTTCTGGAATGAATTCGAGATAAATCGGTAACGAGAAAGCGTCGTGAACCGCCGCTCATCAATCGACGAATGGTCAATTATTCTAAATGTCACAGTGACCCCCGACACACAAGTTGCCGTTTAATTGAATAATTACTCACCGGAACGGAACGAGCCGTGGTCGTTAAGTATCCAAGATAATTGCGTCTCGGTTCAGTTCGACTCGGCGGGATGATCCTCGCTTATCGCTCCTCCCGATCCTACCGAATGCGAATCGATTATTGTCGTTCTTCCTTCCCTTGATTTTTTTCATCGAAAATCTCCGCGACAAGTCCTCGTCCCTTCCGCGAGTAGAGTCTCCGAAAACGTTCCTCTTCCTCTTGTTCCTCGCTTGACACGACGCGCCGTTTCACGTCTCATTTTGCGGCCCATAAGACCCACCGACTCGCATAATTAGTCCGCCCTATCTCTCGGATCCGACCGTGCGACCACTCTCGAGGATCTTTCTCCAGCGGAGAACGCGAAGCCAGGTTTCTTTCGCGGGGCGAAACCTGATCGCCTGGGCGAGCTGCTCGCGCTCCGGCGATTGCGATCTTGACGGAATAATTTCCGCCGCTGCTGGAGCCTCGTAAAAGAACCGCGCCGATTGGAAATGCCGCCGTTAATTCTCGTTTCAACCTCGAAGAAGAATCGACTTATTCGTGCCGTCCAATCGCCGAGATCAATCTCCGCGATCTCTTCAATGCATGGTCTTCCTCGCGTGAATCGTTGCTCCGAATGCTGATGAATTTATATCTCGCTGCTCGCGAATGCGCGACGCCCGTAAAACTGTTCTTGTTCCGTTCGGAAACCTGTCTCTCGATCAAACGTCCGAGATAAAAGCGAACCACCGACATACATCATTCGTTGGTCCCTCGAGCACTCGCTTTCGCGTTAAAGTTGTCAGCATTCGCACGATTTTTCTTCATAATAATACCGAGTTTCTTTTCAATCTACGATAGGACTGACCGGTGGCAGGAAGATGAAACTTTCTTCAGGTTAAATCTATCCGCGAATCGCCGGGGAACCCAAGATCACCTTTCCCGAATGATGTCGCAATTCTCTCTGGAGAGATGCTTTTTGCTCAGATATCCCCTCGAGGATCGCAGCAATAGTTGCGGTTCTTCACTAGGTATTCGGATGAGGAAGTCTGGTCCCGACGAGATCAGTTCTCGAAAAAAAAAGACGACAAGACTCTCGCTACACCTTTCACCGGGACACTTCCCGAGTCTCGTCCTGCGGCATCCTGTCGTCACGGGACGCGCGGCTCGTATCTCGGCGAGGAGAGGAGGTCGAGAAGATGTCGCTGAAGAGATGAAAATCTAACGACACTGAGCAGGATCTTCCCTCTGAAAGCGATCTCGTTGGAGAACGGCTGTTCCTCGTGTTATTGCGGGGGGTTCCCAGGAACGCTGCGAAACCGATCAGCGCGGCGTGTTGGTACAGAATGAACGCAGCAGGGTCCACGAGCCCATGGTCCCTCTCTTTTCGCTCTCCCTCTCCCCTCGTTCTATCATTCTTTCTCTCTCTCCCGCTCCCTCTGCTGTTTACGTACCCCTACTCTCCTTCTCTGTCTCTCCAAGCAGTGCCTCCCTCTTTCTCCTTGTTTCTCTCCCGCTATCATCCTCTCGCTCTCTCTTATCCACGGCTCTTTCTCTGGAGAGGGAACCCCTCGATGGTCGCACGAAAGCCGCCGGCTGCTTCTCTCCCCTGCTACTTTTCTGCCTTTCCGTTCGTCTCTCTTCCGTTGCTCCGCTCGCGCTTTTTCCTTCTCTCTCCTTTCCTTCTGGCCGCGCGGTGGCTGGTTCATTGGTTTCATCGGTGCATCGGCCCGGGCTCTTCGTATTCTTTTCTCTAATTATACCGTTACATGCAATCGTCCGTGTCAATTAGCAACTCCTTTCTTTCATTCCTCCTCTGCGCTTCTTTTTTCTCCTCCTGCCACTCGCCGTGCCCGCGGTATCCGGCGTGGCGTGCAACCCCTTCGAAGGGATCACTGCGAGAAGAAAAAGGGGGAGGCAGAGCGAAGGGTGGCAGCGTGCGCGATCGGACCCGCCAATTAATCCTTCGTATCCTTCGAGTCTGCCGCTCGTGTAACAAGACTACCACTCGACAGGCGACACCTCAAAATCGTAATCCTACAAAGATCAATCGAAATTAATATACGGCAAATATATATTCAAAGTATTTGTTATATAATTCTCTTTAATACAATTAATAAAAAGTAATTAATTAATAAAAATTTCAGGATTAAATACATATATAAATAACAAATGAAAATACAATTCGCGAGAGAATGTTGAGGAAAGAAATTTTATTTTCACCTTCCAAGTGAAAATTAATCGCTATATAATGTTGGAAATCAAACAAGTCAATTTTTTCTTTCAAAATTTGAAAGAATAAAATTCTTTCATTTCATGTGTAAAATTAATATAAGATTGTTTCTCTTCAATTTTTCAAAAAACTTATATCGTAAAACATCTTGTCCTTCCTATATATAATTATATATAATTATATAATTATATAATTATATAATATACATATAATATATAATATATATAATATATGTGTATAATATATATAATATATAACATATAATATTTAATACATATAAAATATAATTATAATTTATAATATATAATTATGTAATTATATAATATATTTGACACTGCATTCAATCATGAGCCATCGCGTCATTTTTTTATTCGTCTTTTTTTTACCAGTATTTCCCTCTCTCTCTCTCTCTCCCTTTCTCGTCCAGATTCGTGAAATGATATGAGTGTGGACAGAGGCACACATACATGGGCACTTAAGATAATCTAATAAAAAAATCATACTCTCGATGTTAATCTGACACGTGCTAAAATGTACGACGAGAAACAAACCCTTGACACGTTTGTCTTCCTCTTTCTTTTCTTTCCTCATTAAAAATGCAGCTGTTTCGTTCTATCGCCCGAAGATCGCATTCGATGTTTATGCACGATAAAGACCAAGGGACCGGGAACGGTTAACGCTAAATGCGCTAAAGGCGTACGGGGCCCTTGTAATCGGCATTTTACGCGCTGACGATAAACATCCAGCATTTATAATCCCCTGCTCGTTAGAGTCAGCGATGAAGAGATACGGCTTATTCATCTCAGCGCTTTGATATACCTTCTTCCCTTTAATTATACCGTTACGTGTGCAATCGCCCTCGTTAATTAACATCGGCTGCGCCTCCACCTTCAATTTGTATCTTGTACCGGAACCGCGCGTCGATCCTTTGGTGCGCGCTATCTTTTGAAGAAATCGTGCAATTTTTTCCCGTTGATCTCGAATCATCTCCGATTACATGTAATCTCAACATAATCGATAATTTTTCAAAAATCATGATCATAGCGTGCTATGCATTGAAAACTGAAATTTGACTAATCAAAACAAAAGGACAAACATTTTTTTGCCCTGATTGATCAACTTTCTTTATCTCTTAATTTTTGGCGCATAGTCTGATATGGGCTTTGCAGACGATGATTGCTTCATTTTTTAAATACGAACAGTAAAGATCTTTAAGGGATATTTTTATTAAATTTTTAAGAAAAATATCCTGATATTCCTGTATTTAAATTCAACTTGATTCTTTGTTTGCGATAAAATAAAATTATAAACTTACTCTTCATCAAGATTTTTTGCTTTATATACTTTGATATGCTTTATTTTTATTTCTAAAACATTCGCCAACAAGTTGGACATTATCTTTATCAATTTTGGGCAGAAATTGTCGCTTATAAATTTATTAATAATTTACAAGAATATTTTTTTATTAAATTCCTTCGAAAGCTTCCTTCTAATTAACAATATTTTCTTTTGATATAGAAGCTGCAAATATGTTTGTCGCGCTATTGTGATATTTTATCAAGATACTCATTAAGTACATTTGTCTCTCCGAGCGCGGTGATACGATAATCGCCACCGATTAATCTACCCCTCGTCTCTAATCAAAGGGACACGCGCACGATCGATCACCTTAATTACAGTAGATTCTGTTCCCTTTTCTCGACCACCGCTTAACCGGGTAACATTAATCGAAGGCTTTTTTACACGTCGAAACGTCCGAGAAAAATGTTAGATTCGATTCGATCGTTATCACGTTTCTTGTACATTTTTCTTCCCAGAACAAATCGTCTCTTTCCATTATTGTATGTTGGATACTTTTTATTAATCAAATATACAAGATATAAAAAAAAAATATTCATTTTGCACAAAGATTGAAGCAACAATCTTTTATCAACTTAAAAGTAGGCTACAATTATCGGTTAAATATAATACTAACTAGTAAAATATCAACGCGCATGTTTTTTTATTATAGATGTTTCTTTTTTATTATAGATTCATATAGATATTCCTTTTTCGATATTCGCCAATACAGAAAAGTTTACAATGTTTCCTCCATTAAATATCTTTTTCCATTATAAATGCTTTAATATAAATTTAATATAATCTTATAGATATATGAAATATCTTTACTTATTACACTAGTGATATATAATTTAGGAATTTAGGAATTTAACTTTGACAATTGTTTATTGCAATGAACAATTGTTTACTGCAATGAACAATTTGTTTACTGCAAGAATGACTTATTATAATGACTTACTATATGAGATATAATTTAATTACATAGAAAAAATGTACAATTGATTAACAAAGTGATTAAGTATCCTAAATTATACAATTCTTCGTACCTCAAAAAATCTCTTCAAATAAAAGATTTGCCCTACTGTCACACATACTAATACCATGGCTTCGAAAAATGCCCACACTACAACTCGAAAGTTTGTACTTTCGTTGATCGCTCTGTGATTGCGATCGCGAACCTAAAAAGGTAACATCTTATGAAATCTTTACTGTTCATATATATAAAATTTCTTTGTTCAAATACCTGCATATATTCCTGTTCATTCTTTACACCCCATAAACTGGTGCTCAAATCTTTAATCATGTCATCTAATTTTCCATGATTACTATCTCCTTCTTGAGCTTCCCCGACAGCATTTTCATCATTCTGTTTTCGATTTTCATCAATATCCATATTGAACATCACTACTTTCGGTGTCATTGTACTTTTTTGATTACTAAAGCAGTAGGTATAAACACCTGTGGTATGCGCAGCAAATGTATATTTTCCACTGCTCTCTCGCTCACCTTGATAAATTATTCTACCATCGGGACCAACTATCTTTACATCTATATCTAAGAATCCACCTTCTGCTATTTCAAACGTAAGACCTGTAAATATCACATATAAAATATATCCATTAATGTATTACAATTATAAATATATTATAATAATAATTTTGAAGAAATGATCAAAAATCTTAAATTGATAAAAACTATATTATCCTAAATATTTATTATTATTATATTTTCATATATCATTAAAACATAAACTGGAATAAAATCAAATCAAATGTATTATACAAAATATGTAGATAAATTTTAGAAAATTAAATAATAAAAATTATTTATTACAAAAGAATCAAAATCTGTCAAATGAATAATATGGATACATAATAATAAATGCATACACATATAAAACAAATAAAAATAAATACATACAAGAAATAAACATCAGCAAGAGTGTGTGTAAAAATTACCAGTGCTCGATAAGATAAACGACAAAATTAATTAAAATTATGCTGGTTTAAATTTTTGTCAAAAAAAAAAAAAAAAACAAGGAGAAACGCAATATGTAAGAACTAACCCATCTTGGTGCCGAAATCGACCTTATCAAAAAAACATTCCTCTGCATGCGCGTCCACAGTGATAAAGTAACAACGCGCGTTGACGATAAATATGACGAGGAACATGCAGAAAATGAGCCACTTCATTTTTTCTAACGGATGTTAATTATACAATCATAAAAATGACATATGCTTTCTCTCCTTTTCAATCAGTCACCACCTCACAGCGGCATGTTGCTACCACAGCGCCACGTATGCAATTCACCACGGATGCTGCGATCGGAGAGAAATCTGTGAGAGGCTGTTTTTCGTAGAACGTGTATGGGCTCCTGCACACAGGACGCGGCAACACTTGCCGTACGGCGGAAGCCGACGCGATACCCAATCAGCAGATACGTAACATCTACCGCGCATCAAAGTTGAACTCAATCCAACTTTTGTATTGGCTATCGCGTCGGCTTCCGCCGTACGGCAAGTTTTGCCGCGTCCTGTGTGCAGGAGCCCTAAGGGCCTATCCAGACAAACTTGCATAGGTGCATATGCATAACATAAGACCATATGGACCAATGAGCATCGAGTATTATGTTATGTAAGTCAATATAGCGATTTAATACTCGATGCTCATTGGTCCATATGGTCTTATGTTATGCATATGCACCTATGCAAGTTTGTCTGGATAGGCCCTTATTAAAGCTAAAATAACGTTGGTGCAACCGAGCCTTATAAGCTTTCTGATTGGCTACAAGCCACTTTTAAGGCCCAATTCCACGATCCAGTTAATCCGAGTTTAAGTAGTGAATGGATCAATCAGGACCCAGTTTAACGTATTAAACTCCGATTAACTCGAGTTGTGGAACTGGGCCTAAAAGCACTTTTATCGATAAAAGAGGATTCATAATATGGACCCTATAGTTCAATGCAGTTCCCATTCCAGGTTATATATAGTTCAGTGACTATACTGTATGTATGTACAATATATACATATATATCTACTTCTTATCTATATATGCATACATATGCATATATATCAATTCATCTGATAAAGCCAAAAGAAAATTAAGACAATTTTTTTTTATAAGTTACAATCTCTTGCAACGCGCAAAGAACAGTTTTTACGGCCAATAAAATTCTATAAATAGTAACTATGCGGGCGATTAGGGGTCTCTATAGTTGTTAGACAGATATATCGGACAAATTATTCAAGTACATTAACCATCAAGTTCATAATGATAGGTCGAAATTTGCCAGTATTTTTCACTTGGAGAAAAGGCTTGTCTCGATCGATTAAAAATTTACATTCTTCCTGTTGTCAATGTTTGGTTAATAATCTCTTATTGTAGGTATTCATTGAATGTATCTTTAATTTTTTTGTTTTTTCTCATATATATTCTTTATCTTTAACTTTTTGTTTTCAGATCGGCTCCGGTAAAACTCTCTTATGCTTCGTACGAATCGGTAAAGGAAAATGATCAAAATGCAGAACAACCTATTATAATAATGCACGGTCTCTTTGGCTCGAAAAGCAACTGGAATACGCTATCAAAATCAATTCATCGAAAAACCAAGCGCAAAGTAATTAGCTTTGGTATTTTATGAATTAAAATTTATAATTTTAAAATCAGGTGAAAATTTTTTGATATTTCTTTTGAAGGTACAATATATTTTTTTTACATTGTTAATTATATCTGCAAAAGATACAGCTATCTTATATATTTTGTACTTAAACAAATTAATATATAACAGGTCATAGTAGTAGATGCCAGAAATCATGGTGATTCTCCACATTCGTCAAACATGTCATACAAGGATATGGCGGAAGATGTAATCCATCTTTTGAATGATCTAGGCTTTGAAAAGGCTATTCTAGTTGGCCATAGTATGGGTGGCTCAGCCATGATGTATACAGCTTTAAATTTTCCACAACATGTTGAAAAATTAGCAGTTGTCGATATGTCTCCCGTAAAAACCAGTCCTAGTCTTATGGAGATAAAGAAAATCTTTAAAGCAATGGATTTAGTAACGGCAGATGGAAGTCCTACCTTATCAAAAGCACGTAAAATAGTGGACCAACAACTTGAAAAGTCTATTAAATCTAGCGCATTACGTCAGGTAATATTATCTTACCTCCCGTTTTAAGCTTAAAATAAAAGTCACATCTGTAGCACATTTTTTTATAGTTTTTAATAGCAAATTTGGTAGAAGAGGACTCGGGAAAGTACAAGTGGCGAGTGAATTTACCAGTATTGGAGCAAGTATTCTCAACTCAGATAGCTGTATTTCCCAAGATAGAGTCAAAGATCTATGAAAATCCGACGTTATTCATAGGTGGTGGAAACAGTGATTATATTCGAGTAGAAGATCATGACGCGATCAGGAAGCTATTCCCTTTAGCAGAATTTCATTATATAGATGGAGCAAATCATTGGGTTCACGCAGACAAACCTATCGAATTCGTCGATCTTTTAACGAATTTTATAAACCGTACAGTTTCGTGATGCTTGTAAATATATTTAAAAAAATAATCGTAAATTGTTTGTAAATATATACATGTATTTCAAATGAATTCCACGTTGCAGAACAATGTGAAAAATATTCAAACAATATGTAGTGTAAAAGTGAAAAGAAACCGTATATTATGCAATTGTGATCAAAAGCGCCATTAAGCGTCAAAAAGCGCCGTCATTAATTTCTCTCAGTTTTTCGCATATATTAATGTGAGAACTATATAGACTTTACTTAAAAAATTAGAGAGCAGACTTAATGGAATCAGATACAATTCCATTCCAAAGGCCATATATTAATATGTATTTGAATAATGACTCATTAATATATCAAGAAGAAATATTAGTCAATATATTCTATAAAACTACGTATTTTACCTCAATAGTAACTTATAAATAAATATTTTGCATAAAAAAAAAATAGGAACTATAATGTTTTTCAACAAATCAAACAGTTTTAGATTAAAGCACTTCTATTGCAACAACATTCGCGTATTCAGACTTAATTGCCAATCCGCGAAATTCTAAGCTCGTTTCTGTGCCGAAAGTGACAAAACGTCAAACACTAACCCAAGTGCAGTCTTGATCGTCATTATCTCGCTGTAACATGTGATGATGTGTATAATTCTATATACAAAATATCCCGCAGCACTATATACAAACATTCGTAAGAAGGTAAAGCACTGTAAACTGAATAGATAAGTCTTATACCGTTTGACGATTTTCGCAATAATAACAGAAATATTAAATATTGTCGGATGAATGGGAGAAACGTTCAAGTAGTCGTTCAAGCTATAGCACTGCTCGTGTCAGGTATTGTTTGTTCGCGACGAGAAGAAAGACAGCGCTCCGCTACCGATGGTTATATCGCTTATCCATCAGGGCGGCTGAGCGCTTCTCCCATTCGTCCGATTTTAATATTTAATATTTCTGTTATTATTGCGAAAATCGTAAAATGGTATAAGACTTTTCTCTTCAGTTTACTGCGCTCTATCTCCTCTGAACGTTTGTATATAGTCCGGCGAGACATCCTGTATATATACATATATATATATATATATATATATATCACTTGCAATAATATTAATCAACAAATCGCGCACACTACAATATATCATGTGTGTGTCCACCATTGTATGCATAGTCGGCCTTATTGTGCATCACAAGCTGATTGTCGACGAAATAAAATGAGTCGGATCGCGTTTCAAATGGATTCGCAATCATTTCAGAAACTGGAAAGATATATGCATTGTTTATCAAACATGAAATTTTTTGCTTATAGATGATTGAGTATATTATTGTTGATTTGCTGGAAACATTCTTCAACTCACCTAGTTCCGCAGGCAATGTCGGAAACTCGTAAATATGCTCGCATGTATTTTTGCTGTTTGGTATGCAAAATCCAAATTGGAAATCAAAGGTTTTCAGCAATCTATCTCGGAAAAAGTGTCGTTCTATCATTCGGAAATTATTGATTGGCTTAGGCCCTACGAGAAACTCGATTGTCGCTCCGACCGTTTTTAATTTGAGAAATTGTGGTGTGAATTGATATCGCACAAAACGTCCTGTGTTTGTATCCTCAGATCCGAGCTCTTCGCAATCTGGTTCTGGTTCTTGATGGACATCGCATTCTGATAGATATAAGTGATTAAAAATGATTATTTCGTATGTGCAACATTAACATTTAAATTTCGATTTGTATTTAATATTTATATTCACAATCACACATAAGATTGTTTAATCTTTCTCTTCTGAATTATATATGTTTTAGTTTATTAACTGTATTAACTGTACGTTGCATAAATAATTTTGATGAATAATGTTCATAAATAATGTTGATAAATAATTTCCTTTATACATTTAATTGATGGTTACAGTCATTATATATACATTACATTCATCAACATTTAAAAATTAGTATTAAATTATATAATTATAAATTTATTGAAAATATTAAATAATTAATTTATATAAATATAAAAATTAATTATAAACTTAATACCTAAGCTACATATATATATTACATACCACTAGCAGGAGGCTTTGTTATCTCAAACAATACAGCGCCAGTTTCTAAATCTCTAATCTGAAATCTTGTGAAGTCTATATCGTAGACATTGGCCTCCGGAGAGCAGAGATACTCTGGAAACAATTATCCATATGTGAAAATAATTCGTTATATATAAGAGATTACCCAGACAGCACGAAAAGGCCAAAAGATGTCTTAAAGATGTCTAAAGGACTTTAAGACGTTTTTAAGTCGTCTTTCAGATGTCTTTTGGACATGTGTGCTGTCTGGGTAGTAAGGTGCGACACAGTGTTTAATCGAACGGAAACAAATCGTTCGTACTATCTGTAATAGTAGGTAATCGTAGCACCATTTCTGGAGTCACCGGGCCACCCTCGATCCCGTCGACGGCGTTCTTCGGATCCACTGTTGACGAGGTGTACGACGCAATTGCCTCGTTCGACTTGTTTTCGCTGTCCACGCTCATAATTTATTCACGGGACCGAACATAAGAGAATCAAGTGCGACATTCGATTAAAACGACGATCAGAAATGGCAATCACGATTATGATTGTTAACAATGTCGATCGGCGAATGTCGTGATGTTATATTGCACGTCTACCGAGTCGTCGCCGGCACGTTTGTCGCGACAATCACTGTACGATTTATCATTTTATGTAGATCAGTCGTCATTATACGTATGTCACTTGGTGTTGGTTTGCGTCTCGCGTCTGCGACCGTTTCCAAGGTGTAAACATCCTGTGACAGGAAACTTATAGAGGCGGATTTCGACTGAAAAAAATGCCGTTGATGTTTTATGTACACTGCGCGACAACGATTCGTTCCATGGTCCCTCTCGCGAGGCAAGGGGAGCGTAGCTTCTAACCAATCAGCCATTGCCACGCTGCCAGCTAATTGGTCACTTCTACGCTCCCCTTGCTCCGCGAGAGAGGGGTCACGGAACGAATCGTTGTCGCACAGTGTACGTATATACTCGATAGATGATAGCTGTGTTCCGATATTGACTCCGGAAACTTGTCATCCTCATTTTGACTTTTTTTTAATCGTTTTGAAATCGTCTGAAGAAATATCCTTAGAAATTATCAAATATGGTTTTGGTTTTTATTTAAAAAAACAATTATCTCACAAACGTTTTGATTAGTATATTCGTGACTTACAAACAATTTTGCGTCAATTGACCCTCTACAAAATATATAATTTAAATAGAAATATTTAAATAGAAAAATATATAATTTAAATAGAAATATTTAAATAGAGAAATATATAATTTAAATAGAAATATTTATATAATTATTTAAATTTAAATGATAATTTAAATTTAAATAATAATTTAAATAGAATTGAAATTAAACGGAAGAGCTAACTTTACATCATTTCCCTAGAAATTACTAAATAAATGATTTTTGGCTTTTGTTTAAGGAACAACGATCTCACAAATGTTTTAATTAAGTTTAGTCATGACTCACAAATAATTCTGCATCGAGACCTTCTGCAGAACTTAAATAGAATTAAAATTAAAAACGATGACGCTGACTTAATGATGGCAGTTACTTTTATTTTTATTTTATAACGAAAGGTTGATCTCATATTTGAATTAATCTCAATATTATATTCTAATTATTTACAAACGAATCTAATAATTATCTAATCATTTACAAACTAATCACGAACGATAAAAAAAAAATCGAAAAGTCAAAATGGGGGTGCCAAATTTCCTTTGTTCCATCCTTCACTTCCCTAGGATTTCTATCTAGTGAAAAGTGAGCTAAACAATCTATTCTTATTTATGTATCTATGGCTACGACGCTATTAAACGTGGTGGATGGTGATGTGATTTCCTGTGGTTTTATATATTATGGTTCACTGCGATCATATGATTGCTTTACATTTGATAGTGACATAAGTCACGCGAAAATGATAAAAGAGAAATAATGTCCGATTTAATACGAAAACGCGTTGCTGTCTTATTTGTTATACGAAATGAAAATTAAGAGACACGATATGAAAAGTAAGAGATATGAGTTGTGAATAAAATAATTAGAAAGATCAAAGATACACACATGTTTATATAAAGTTCAAGTAGTTATGTACGTGTGGATAAATTACAGAACTCTTTTTAGCTGGAAGAAATGAATCGCATTTGCATTGCTAGGAATAATATTGCGCTGTAGCAAGGAATTTATATAATGACAAGTAGGTAACAAAAATTATGTATAATTCTTTGGGTACTTTATCTCCTATTTTGCTATAAACAAGATAGAATAATCGAATTTTGCTTTTTAGGCCATTAAATAGATGAGATACATCTAATGAAATCATAAGTGTTATGTTTTACACCTTGATTTATGCATCCAATTCTAAAACAATGTCGAGTATATTAATGCAACAGTTTGTCCAAAGACTGAAGTCGAGAAATGAGGAGGCACGTAACAAAGCGGCACGCGACTTGTGCCTGTACGTCAAGAGGGAACTGCGAGAAGCGTCGCAGGAGGAAATCACAGCCTTTATGGATGAATTTAATCATCACATATTTGAAATGGTGTCCGCCTCCGATATAAATGAGAAGAAGGGCGGTATATTAGCCATAGTTTGTCTTATAGGAGCAGACGTAGGTAATTTTAATACACGAACAGTACGATTTGCCAATTATCTTAGAAACTTGATACCTTCCAACGATGTGGGCGTTATGCAATTAGCCGCGAAGACTGTCGGAAAGTTAGCGCTAGTTTCGGGTACTTATACAGCCGAGTATGTCGAGTTTGAAGTGAAACGTGCCTTCGAATGGCTTGGTGCAGACAGACACGATGGTAGAAGACATGCTGCTGTGCTCGTGCTGAGAGAACTCGCCGTCTCTGTGCCAACATACTTTTTTCAACAAGTTACACCGTTTTTCGAATTGATATTTAACGCTATACATGATCCTAAACCGGCTATACGAGAAGGTGCTGTGGAAGCTTTGAGAGCAGCGTTGGTAGTCACTGCTCAGAGAGAAACTGCGAAACAAATGCACAAGTCTCAATGGTACAAACAGTGTTACGACGAAGTAGTAGATGGATTCGAAGAAGTTCATACGAAAGAGAAGGGCATTAACAGAGACGATAGGATACACGGCTCGTTATTGGTGTTAAACGAGTTGCTGAGATGTAGCAATGTTCAATGGGAAAGAAACTATGAGGCTTTAATGGAGAGATTAAATGGTTCTACGCAAAATGAAAATGATATTCTTTCTTTGATGCCACGCTTGAAGACAACGATAGTGTCGAAGTGGGCTAGGTCCAGTCAGAACGCCTCCACGTCCCAACACACATTATATCCGGCACACGAGTCGACTGTTTGCAGATGTTTAATGCAAGAGAGATTGGATGATATGTACAATGACATTATGAATCAAAAAATATCTAGAAGTCCGCACATTCAACATGCTCTTATGATGCTGTTGCCGAGACTTGCCGCTTTCAACAAGGAGAAATTTATAAGGGATCATCTGAAAGAATCCTTGGCATATCTTCTGCTGATCTTACGCAGTCGCGAGAAAGATCGCTATGCCGCTTTCACGTCAATTGGTTTTATAGCCGTAGCAGTGGAGGACGCGATAAATCCATACTTACCGAAGATCATGGAAGTGATCAAGAGTCTGCTACCGTCTAAGGAAACGCCGAGTAAGAAACGTACCTCCCTAGAACCCGCAGTATTTGTTTGTATCACTCTGCTCGGTCATGCAGTCAAACAGGTCATAGCTTCCGACGTTAGGGATTTATTGGAGCCCATGTTCCAAACTGGATTGAGTCCAATTTTGACCACGGCTCTCAGAGAACTGGCGCACAGTATCCCATCCCTGCAGGTAGATATATCTCAAGGTCTTTTGCGAATGTTATCTCAGGTTTTGATGCAAAAGCCATTGAGACATCCTGGAGCCCCGTGGACAGTGACCAGTCCCAATTCCACGGCAGATGACGTTTCGTCGACGGTACTCGCGCTAAAGACTTTAGGCACATTCAATTTTGATAATAATCCGCTGTTACAATTTGTAAAGAGATGCGCGGATCATTTTTTAACATCGGAACAGGCGGAAGTCCGATTGGAGGCTGTGAAAACGTGTTCCAGATTGTTGAGATTGACGCTGAATCAATCTGGTCCCACGGTAATCACTACTGTCTCCACTGTTCTTGGTAAATTGCTAGTGGTGGGAATAACCGACACCGATCCCGATGTTCGACTGTGGGTATTGGCATCATTGGACGATTCCTTTGACGTTCAATTGGCGCAAGCAGAGAATTTATCCGCGCTATTCATCGCTATGAACGACGAAATGTTCGAGATAAGAGAACTGGCGGTTCGTACTGTCGGGCGACTTAGCACGCTGAATCCCGCTTACGTTATGCCGTCGTTGAGAAAGACTCTGGTGCAATTTCTCACGGAATTGGAGCATTCGGGAATGGGTCGTAACAAGGAGCAAGCCGCCCGAATGTTGGATCACCTGGTCGTCACCGCGCCGAGACTCGTTCGACCGTACATGGAACCAATCTTAAAAGTTCTCGTTCCAAAGTTAAAGGAATCCGACCCGAACCCTGGAGTAATATTGGCCGTTCTACGTGCAATCGGTGATCTGGCGGAAGTCAACGGTGCCGAGATGCAACAATGGATGCCTGAACTCTCATCGATATTGCTGGAAATGTTGGTAGATGCCAGCTCGCCTGAGAAAAGAGGCGTGGCATTGTGGGTCTTTGGTCAGTTGGTCGGCAGTACCGGCCACGTAGTGAAACCATACATGCAATATCCGACCTTGCTGGACGTTCTTATCAATTTCCTCAAGACCGAACAACAACCAATCATCAGAAGAGAGACTATCCGAGTACTCGGATTGTTGGGCGCGTTGGATCCGTATAAACACAAGATGAATCTCGGGCAAATCGACTGCCAGTTAGACACGCTCAGCTCTATGGCAGATACCAAGAGCGATGTAGAGAATACTCAAGACTTGACCACTAGCGAAATGCTGGTGAATATGTCACCATCTACATTGGAGGAGTTTTATCCAGCGATTGCTATCACGACACTTATGCGAATTATTCGCGAACCAACCTTGTCTCAACATCATACTATGGTGGTACAAGCGGTGACCTTTATATTCAAGAGTCTCGGAATAAAATGCGTGCCATATATCTCGCAGGTGATGCCGAGCTTTCTGAATGTCGTGCATACGGCGGATATAAATTTTCGAGAATTCTTGTTTCAACAATTGGCCGTTCTCATTGCGATCGTGAAGCAACATATACGAAATTACTTGGACGATATATTCACCTTGATCAAAGAATTCTGGACCGTGAACAGCCCGTTACAGACTACACTGATACTCTTGGTCGAGCAGATTGCAGTGGCCCTGGGCGCAGAGTTCAAAATCTATCTGCCGCAACTGATGCCTCCGATACTGAGAGTACTGACACACGACACGAGCAAAGATCGCGCGGTGACGGTAAAATTGCTTCTGGCACTACAGACATTCGGAAATAATCTGGATAATTATCTGCACCTCGTTCTACCGCCAATCGTAAAGTTGTTTTACGCGAACGATTGTCCGATAGCCGTCAATAAGGTCGCTCTTGAGACGGTCGATCTCTTGGCAGATACGCTAGATTTCACGGATTTCGCATCGCGAATTGTTCACACTTTAGTGCGTACGTTAGATCAATGTCCGGAGCTAAGAAACACGGCCATGGACACGCTTTGCGCCGTCGTGATGCAGTTGGGCAAGAAGTATCAAATTTTCATTGTGTTGGTGCAGAAAGTTATGACAAAACACAAGATTGTCAATTCCCGATACGACATTCTAGTAGATAAGATCCTCACCGACACGACTGCGACGGACGGTGAAGATTTCTTGCTGATGAGACTGCGACACTCGCGCAATAAGAATCGCGAGCTCTCCTTGACGCCCTCGGAAACGACTACGATCAAAAAATTACATGTATCAGCTTCTAATTTGCAGAAAGCATGGACGGCGACGCGGCGAGTGTCCAAGGACGATTGGCTCGAGTGGCTGCGGTGCTTTTCCATTGGTCTGCTTAAAGAGTCCCCGTCTCCAGCTCTAAGATCTTGCTGGGCGTTGGCACAAACGTACGCCGTATTACCGCGAGATCTATTCAACGCAGCCTTCGTCTCATGCTGGACTGAATTAAACGAGAATTACCGGACAGAATTAATACAAACGCTGCATCAAGCATTAATGGTTCCCGATCTACCTACTGAAGTGACACAGACCATTTTGAATTTGGCCGAGTTCATGGAGCACTGCGATAAGGGCCCACTGCCGTTGGATAACAAGATTCTGGGGGATACAGCGATGCATTGTCGCGCGTACGCCAAGGCCTTGCACTATAAGGAAGACGAGTTTCACAAAAGCAGAAGCAGTAACGTATTCGAATCTCTGATCTCCATCAATAATAAGCTTCAACAGAAGGAAGCGGCCGAGGGCTTGTTGGAGTATGTGATGAATCAACACAGTCAACAGGATCTCAAAGTACAGATACGTTGGTACGAGAAACTTCACAACTGGGACAAAGCGCTGCAACTATACCAGGAACGTCTGGAGAGCGATTCTGCGGATGTAGAATCCATCTTGGGCGAGATGCGTTGTCTGGAGGCTCTCGGCGAGTGGGGCCAACTGCACGAAGTTGCAACGAAACAATGGTCGTCGAATCAATGCGATGACATCAAACAAAGAATGTCGAGAATGGCAGCGGCTGCCGCGTGGGGTTTAGGTCAGTGGGAAAGTATGCAAAAGTATGTCTCGCTAATACCAAAGGATAGTCAAGACGGAGCATTTTACAGAGCGGTATTGGCGATCCATGACGAGCAATACAATGTCGCGCATCAGCTCATCGATAGCGCAAGGGATCTATTGGATACCGAACTGACCGCTATGGCTGGTGAGAGCTATCAACGAGCGTACAATGCTATGGTGGAGGTACAAAAGTTGGCAGAATTGGAGGAAGTGATACAGTTCAAGCTTGTACCTGAACGCAGAACAGCTATCAAGGCCATGTGGTGGGAGAGACTTCAAGGTGGACAAAAAATAGTGGAGGACTGGCAGAAGATTATACAGGTCCATACGTTGGTGGTCTCGCCGCAGGATGACATGTACACGTGGCTCAAGTACGCCAGTCTCTGCCGAAAGAGCGGCAGTTTGATGCTGTGTCACAAAACATTGGTGATGTTGATGGGTACAGACCCATCCTTGACTCCAGATCAGCCGTTACCGACCACTCATCCCCAGGTGACTTTTGCTTACTGCAAGCACCTGTGGGTCGGGAATAAACGCGAGGAGGCTTACAATCAATTGCAGCGGTTCGTGCAAACTTATTTGCATCCAACGACGGCGGCAGTAACAACGAATCAAGATGACGAAAAGCAACACGAGAGCAAAAAGAGAGTGCTCGCCAGATGCTATCTCAAGCTTGGCGAGTGGGTGGAAGCCTTGCAGGGCATAAACGAGCGTTCTATTCCCGCGGTATTATCTTATTATGCCGCGGCAACTGAACATGATCCTACATGGTACAAGGCATGGCACGCCTTTGCCTATACCAATTATGAAACTGTACTGTTTTATAAGCATCAACAGGGCAACGATTCCACGCCCGCAGAAGCAGTTGTACCCGGGAACGGAACGCGCAATAATCTTTCGCAATATATATCTCAATTTACTGTGCCAGCTGTGGAAGGATTTTTCAGATCCATCAATTTGTCGGATGGCAATTCCCTGCAGGACACTCTCCGTCTGCTGACACTCTGGTTCGACTATGGTCAATGGCCGGAAGTATACGACGCTGTCGTCGAGGGTATAAGATTGATAGAAATAAACACTTGGCTGCAAGTAATCCCACAACTCATAGCCAGGATCGACACACCCAGAGCGTTAGTTGGCCGTTGCATACATCATCTTCTTATAGATATAGGAAAAACGCATCCTCAGGCTTTGGTTTATCCGTTGACGGTAGCTTCAAAGAGCGCTAGTCATGCGAGAAAAACCGCGGCTAATAAAATTTTGAAAAGCATGTGCGAACATAGTCCAACATTGGTCCAACAAGCCATGATGGCGAGCGATGAGCTCATCAGAGTCGCGATTTTATGGCACGAATTATGGCACGAAGGTTTGGAGGAGGCCAGTAGATTGTACTTTGGTGAAAGAAATGTCAGAGGCATGTTCGATACTCTGGAGCCGTTGCACGCTATGCTCGAAAGGGGGCCGCAGACTTTGAAAGAAACTTCCTTCAATCAAGCTTATGGAAGGGACTTGATGGAAGCGCAAGAATGGTGTCATAGATATAAAGCGTCACGAAACGTTCGAGATTTGAATCAAGCTTGGGATTTGTATTATCACGTATTTCGAAGGATATCTCGACAATTGCCGCAATTGACTAGTTTAGAATTGCAATACGTTAGTCCGAAATTGCTACTCTGTCGAGACTTGGAGTTGGCTGTACCAGGAAGTTACAGTCCTGGCCAGGCTATAGTGAGAATAGCCAGTATTCATAGCTCTATGCAAGTAATAACCAGCAAACAGAGACCAAGGAAGCTATGCATTAAAGGTTGGTTACAATTTAAAATTAAATTGCAATAGAAAAAATATATTTTTTTAATTAGAGAAATTTTCAAATAATATTAATATATTTTAATATATATATATATATTTTTTTTTGTAGGTAGCAACGGTAAGGATTACATGTTCTTATTAAAAGGTCATGAAGATTTAAGGCAAGATGAAAGAGTGATGCAATTATTTGGTCTAGTTAATACTCTCTTGTTGGGAGATCCGGATACTTTCCGAAGAAATCTTACTATTCAGGTAAGGTTTAATTTGAAATTGACATAAATGTAGATGTATTGTGCGAATTGTATAAGATTTTATATTAATTAGATTATATATGTTTAGAGATACGCCGTGATTCCATTATCCACAAACAGTGGATTAATCGGTTGGGTACCGTATTGCGATACTCTTCATACTCTTATTAGAGATTATAGAGAAAAGAAAAAGATATTACTCAATATCGAACATAGGATAATGTTGCGAGTAAGTATGATAAATTTTCTAAACTTTACAATTATACTATATATTTTATATTTATACTATAACTTTTTTTATGTTTTTAGATGGCACCTGACTATGATCATCTTATGCTCATGCAGAAGGTCGAGGTGTTTGAACACGCGCTCGAACATACACATGGAGACGACTTGGCGCGTCTTTTGTGGCTAAAATCGCCATCGAGCGAGATATGGTTCGATCGCAGAACAAATTACACGCGTTCTTTAGCCGTGATGTCTATGGTGGGATACATACTTGGTCTCGGCGATCGTCATCCTTCTAATCTAATGCTGGATCGTCTCAGCGGTAAGATATTACACATCGACTTCGGAGATTGCTTCGAGGTGGCGATGACGCGCGAAAAGTTCCCGGAAAAGATACCGTTCCGTCTGACGCGAATGCTGATTAACGCGATGGAAGTGACCGGCATCGAAGGAACGTACAGGAGAACCTGTGAATCCGTGATGTCTGTACTGCATCGAAACAAGGATAGTTTAATGGCAGTCCTGGAAGCGTTCGTGTACGACCCTCTTCTCAATTGGAGATTGATGGACAACGCAGTACCTAAGAGTAAACGATCGGACGCACAGAGCATGAGCGCGAGTAGCAGCCAGGAACAGGGCGATATGCTCGATTCTCTTACTGCTACGTTACCAAAGAAGGGTGTACCGTGTAGCATTGAAAATGGAGGTAAAGGTAAAGGCATTTTTTTCTAAATTCATTAACTTAGCATTGAGTCGAATGATAAATAATTAAATCGATCGTTTCTAAAGCTTTACGAATGCTTAAAATTTATACTTTTATATATAGATATTAATAAAAATTTGTTTCCAATTCAAAACATTGACAAAGAATGACATGTACATATATAAAAATCTTTTTGATTATAATTGATTTATAGAAATCCAAGCATTGTTGAAAGTAAATTGTAATAAAATTATTACACATGTCTGTCTTTCCCAAGTATATGTAGGCTCTGCTTTCAATATTTTTGCAGCTGATAATAATCAACCAGAAGCATTGAATAAGAAAGCCCTGACGATTATAACCAGAGTCAGAGATAAATTAACAGGACGCGATTTTTCGCACGAGGAAAGTCTCAGCGTTCGACGACAAGTCGATCTACTAATTCAGCAGGCTACAAATAATGAAAACCTTTGTCAGTGTTACATTGGATGGTACGTAATTATTTATAGTTATATATTTTTATAGTTATATATTTTTATTTATAGTTATATATTTTTATTATTTACAACATATGCATTTATTTTGTTTGATATATATGTGCATATAAATAATTTGTTCAGATCTTGTCTGATTTTATATAAAGAGAATTATGTATAAGTTATATAAAAAGCATGGACATATAAAGGTTTTAACATTACATATTGTTACAGGTGTCCATTTTGGTAAAAATGAGACAAAACTTCTAGTCAAGATGAAGTCTCATATGTAAGCAATTACCCGCTTTTGTATTTATAACTTTACAAAGTTATTAGATTTAATTCGATAATAATATGGGGTGTACATATATATTATTATATGATATATTATTATATATGATTTATATGTAATAAAATAACGATCATAGATATAACAAATATATATTAGCGTATCATATACGTTATAAACTTGATTAACAATCAATAATAATCTTAACAAATCATTTTTCTCTTTTTAAACGTCACAACAATAATACTTTTGTTTCAGTGCTACATCGTAATATATCATATTTTAAACAATCGATAAGTATATTTACGTCACTGTAAATAATACTTCGGCATCGATTAATTTCTTCGAAATAAAACATTAAATCATATATAACATAAGATTATATAATATTCGAATCGAGGAGCAGCATTAGAAAAATTTAGTCATAGCCTTTATGATGATCGAGCGTCACCTCCGAATAGAGATAGATTAGGAAGTTTTCGTGTCACTTGTGTGAAACGGCGAGAACGGGAACAATTCGCTCGTTTTAGTCCGTAGAACCTGTTTCATGTCGCTTCTCGTCAGGTAGATGGGTATGTTATCGCCGAAGAATTCGGAGATGACTTGCCTGCATACTCCGCACGGAGTGGTGAACTTGACGTTCTCCTGGTCGGCGACCACGGTCAACGCTGTGAATTTCTTCTTCCCCTCCGAGACAGCGTGAACGATCGCCGCGGTCTCGGCGCAGACAGACGCGGGGAATGACGCGTTCTCCACGTTGCAGCCCCGGGAGATGCTACCATCGGTGCATCGCACCGCGGCGCCGACCTTGAATTTGCTGTACGGCGAGTATGACTTCTCCCGCACCGCCGCGCTCTCCCTTATCAGCTCTTGAATGTCCTTGTCTGCAAAACATACGTGTTTGTCAAGTGAAGTGATTCTGGATTATCAACGCGAATCCAGAGGTCCGTGATTAATTTTAGAATTATTAAATTTAAAAAATAAATTTAGAATCGCAATATAAAATATAAATTTAGAATCGCAATATAAAATCATGTATAATATATATATATATATATATATATATATATATAATTTTTAAGAATATATAAGAATATATATTGTATATATAATTTTTAAGAGTAAGGAGATTTAAAAATGTTTTCTAATTTTTCTAATTTTTTAAAATTTCTTTATATCAAAAAGCGTTCTTCTTTTTCTCGCGGAGAGAATTTTGAGTAATCATTAATATAATTTAATAATGCGAAGTAATAATACGATTATCCCGCGCTTTGTGACTCATACGATTTGATTGGTAGCCGCTTTTTCGTGCGAAATATTGATTATATCGATATAACAATTATTCGCGTACATTCTCAAGATATAGATAAAAAAATACATGACATATAGATAAAAATATAGATAAAACATATAGATAAATATATATATATATAATATATATTAATATATATTATTTACATATATATTAATATACATAATAATATTCATAGATATTATAACTAACAATATTGGCTCATATCTTTGCACTTTGGTCAACTACATATGTTTGTGATTTAATTATATTTATATTGTGATAATCATGCATTGATAAGACTACTGATAAAATTGATAAAATCCTACCTTAATTTGCTGTTGAAATTATATAATACGCCTTCTTATCTACATTGATTCAATTATATATAATTTTTTTGTGAAGTAATAAACTTTGATGTATATGCAATTAATTGATATTATGTAATTTAGAAAACATTATTCAGTTTCCTTTGATTATTACCAAAAGATGATAACTTTTGTATTAAGTTTGCAAAGATATATCATTGTAAAAAAATTGACAAATATTTCTAAATGACATTATGAAATTTTTTATCAACTTTTTGGTATTTCTAAAAATTAAAAGTTTCATTAATTTTTATATAAATGCATTTAATTATTATTGATATCATTGTTAATATGTTAAATATTGTAATGATGTATTTCTTTCTCTTTCAATAAGTTATTTGCATAAATGACACAGTTCTGGTACAAACAAGCTACATATACAATAGAGTAATTTAAACAAAATAAGTACATACAATATAAAAAATAAATAATTTATAAATTATCAAACAAGCAATAAATTAAATCAAATTTTTCAGTAGCAGTCCTATAAGACCCAACATTTCTAGAATATTGTATAAATATTATTAACAGTTAATACCAGGAATATTGTCTAAATAATATTAATTTATAGGGAGGAATCGAAGACATTCAACGTGTTGAGATATAATTCTTTTCAGTCGCGTGCGATAAAAAAAACATGAATGCAATAATCGAAAACAAAGCGGTAAAAAATTAAAGAATATAAAATATGGATGACACAATGTTACGTGACGATCGGATTGAAATGCATCGACAATATGCGCCGACAATGACAAAAATAAGGATGACGAGAGTTGAAGAGAGAAACGAGAACGCGCTTGGACAAGTGGCTCGACTTTTGAAGAAACGAGCGTTTACCAAGCGTCGTGAAATCCACTATTTCTCCGGTATACATCCTGTCGAGAATCGTAAGATCCGCCAATCGGACTAATCAGGTCGAATACGAGCTCGATGAAGCCCTCGGCAACAATGACGTCTCACTCGACGCAACCTCGGAATCGCCGGTTTTTAGCATGTATTATTTGCCCACAAAGCTGCCAGATCTCGGCCGCAAGCAACATGCAACACCTTGTGGAGGGGATAACGGGGATGTGAGCGTAACGTACGGCGCATCTCCGAGCTCACACGTACGTTACGTTCACATCCCCGTTATCCCCTCCACAAGGTGTTGCATGTTGCTTGCGACGGAGATCCGGCAGCTTTGCTTGCCCACCAATTTCCTCCGTCTAACCTTACCTGGCCTAATTTTGATCTAACGTAACTCTAACGCTAATCACGTGAGACAGTCGAATTAAAAGCTTCGAATCTAACATTTACGCGATATAATTCAGCACGATAATAAACGCGATTGCTTGCAATCGTACCATCCGCCAATTATCTCTTCCATCTCTTCGTACTTGTTGATATTGTTGACCAATACATTTTTCAAAAAATACCACAGATGTTCGCGACAATCGAAAAGAATTGATCGATGTATTGCGCGGGAAAATTCAAAGTAGCTAAAGAGAAAAGAGAGGGGAAAAAAATAATAAAAGGAATAGAAGGAAAAGAAGCTAATATATAAATATTTTATAAATATTTAAGTATTTACGAGTTACTGTTCTATGAAATAATAATAACGCGAGCAAGGGAAAGCTTTTATACAAAAATTATTATCAATTCTTATATAAGAATTTTTTTCTTATTACAAATTTATTATTATAATTATATACCATGTGTTATATGTATGTATGCAGCAATTTTATTTTATTTTTTTTTTCCATTCAGATATCAATAAATTTTTAGCTCTAAATTCTATCACGCATAAATTCTAGATTGCCAATTGTCGAGAACTCGAAATTGATTTACATCGTGGATTTATCGCATTTCAAATTACAATAGAATGAGATCGCAAAATTTACGGCGAGATATAAATCGCTGAAAATGGATTTGTGTCACGTATCATTGCTCGCTGCGTATCAAATTATACGAGGAATTTGACTGTCCCGAATTATAGGTCGTCTAAAATGGACTTAACTCGCTTCCATCGATACGATATGCGACGCGGAGGAGGGGGGCGCGGAGGGGGAGGGAGGGTTGAGGAGAGGGGGAGAGAGAGAGAGGTAGAGAGCGCGTGGCGACACGCTTGTTGGTTGCTCAGCTGTTTTGAAGAGTCGAGGACGCAGCGAACGACTGGCCGTGACTCGGCGCCAGATCACTGCATTCACGTCCAAACGCAAACAGATGTGGAGTGACTGTCGTAATTTCTGACACATCTCGGCCGCGAGTGCTGTGTCGCGCGACGAGGAGCACGGTCTGTTTTTTTTTTCGCGTACACGCGCGCGACGAGTGCGACGAGTGCGAGAGTCCTCCTCGAGAGCCCCCGAGGTCTTGGATCGAGCTCCAGTTTTCTTGACAGAACGACGGACGGGATAAAGCGATCGCCATGAGCGAGCTGAGCCAGGAAGAGGTGAGAGCGCGAAATAAGGATCGTGCTTCCTTCCCAACGATTATTACTTACGCCGCGAAATCTGCGCGCTTTACAGCTGCCTGCCCGATTAATACGTCCCGTTGCCTCTCGACGAGAGTTTGCCTGCCTCCTTTTCCCTCCAATAGTTGAATATATGTTTGTCACGCGGGTGCAAAGAGTGTAACACTCGTGTATGTCACAGACGGGCCTTCGATTTGTTGTCATACCAGGAAGATCCAGTCTTTTCATAACTGCACTCTCTATATGTCTCTGCAATTTTTCTTTATCTTCGCTCCCCTCTCTCTCTCTCTCTCTCTCTCTTTGTCTCTTTGTCTCGCTCTTTTTATCTCTTCCGCGAAATCTTGGGCATATACCTTTTTTTTTCTTTATTTTGAACGCGAGGAAGGGTAACGTGATGCAGTCGAAAAGAACAGACTCATTGTTCTCATACTCGCTTTCTCGAAATCGGTTTTTCCTCGTCAAAAAAAAAATTGTTTATTTCGCATTGGTCGTAAATGAAATGGCCTACACGCGCGCATAAGGAAACTAATTATGTAATGAACGCGCGATATAAATCAACCTCTTACATTTTAATAAAGGAAACCTTTTACAGAGCATTCAACAACACATTTCAAGATCATATGATTTTATCATGGCAAATTTCACTTTTTAATAATTTCATCATTCTTCATCCTACCTTTCTCCATGAGATTATGTTCTCATATATATATTTATTCCTTTGTTGAAAAATTGCAATAGCATATATAAAAGTAATAATCTTGCATTTTTATTAGCAAGTCTATTACAATTTTTCATTTTATTCTCTTCAAGATTTATACTTATGCAATTAAAAAAAACAATTTCAAACGATTATATTTAAGATATGATATAGACTACATCTTGTTGTCTTCTTTGTCATAAACTGTTACATACTGATAAAAATAGCTCAACAAAGACAATGAGTGACTGTGCTTTTCCAATGTTTCAGGCATCTTCTGGCAGAGTTCTAAAAAGAGTACTCAGTTCTTTGTTTTACTTTATTCTAGATGAGGAGAAGGCGGTTAGCCCGCTTAGCGGGCTTAAACACTAATAATGTAGCTGCCACTTCATCCAATACTACTGCTCCAATTTCTCCAAGTACCCCAGGCCCATCGAAAACATTTGTAGAACCAATGATACCTCCATCTATTCAACAACAGCGCGCTGATATTCCAATGGAAGTGGAAGAAAGCAGCGATAAGCAGTATAATACTTCCGGACTAGACGTTGATTCTGGAATTGAAACTATGGAGGTTGAGGAATCCGATAGAAAAGATTCAATACCGAGATCACGTGTGAGTATTTTAATATTGAAAAAAAATATATAAATGAGTAGAAAAAACTTTTTGATACAATAAGAGAATAATTTATTATATATCTCTTATTTATTTCTACTTTTGTTACATTTTAGACAACAAGTTCTAGCATAGAAGTTACAACAGATCACATATATGTTGTCATATCACGTGTCTTATGCATATCGTGGAAAAGTCCTATAGAGGGAAGTATATTTCTGCCGCAAACAGCAGCGTACATGCAAACACAGAGACAACTGGATTTTAACGATATTATCAATCAGGCCTTGATGGAGGTTTTATGCATATTTTCGAGAGGAGAAGAAGATCCTTTAAAAGACATCACGGTAGACATGTCATCCGACCGTGAAGACAGTCCAAATAGCCAAGCGAGTCCTCTGTTAAGTCCTGTAGTGGCTCTTCCATCTTATCAATTACCAGCCATACCATTACCCATAGGCGACAAATCATCACAACCGAAAAGTTTAACTTATTTATTAGATTGTTATTCAAGAATTGCCATCGAAGAAAGAAATCACCCAAAGGTATGCGTTTACACATACACATAATACACTTAAAAATTAGACAAGATTTTGTTAAATCAATTAATTCTTATTTATATATTTTATAGCGATCCAGCGTACCTCCTCTTTCCGACGTATTGACGATTTTAAGAGCGCAATGTGTTCAGTATTCCAGCCTTGTTCTACAAGGGTTGGTCGGCATTTGCCAAGCTGCTGTTATACCTATGTGCACCACTCATCTTCTCTATCCGATATTATCCCAGACTTTACCTCGTGGTTATCTTCATGAGCTCGTGGCTAGGACACATACGAGTTCCAGCACATTCAATAAAATATTCACACCAGTCTTGCAAGGCCTGTATCTCGCGATGCAGCAAGCGAGCTTGGTCGGCAATACGCATAGAAGACCGATCGAGGCACTAGACGAACTAATTGAGATTCGCTGTGGACCAAGCGGCAATATACGCCCGATTTGTCGTCTGATCACGAATCAAATTCAATTCTTGCCTGATGTTATGACATCGGCAGCCGGTAGAGAGCTCACGAGGACCTCGTTCTTAGGACCGTTCCTTTCGGTATCGGTATTTGCCGAGGAGCAACCGAAAGTAGCGGAGAAATTCTTCAGTGGAAATCCTATCACGGACAAATCGGTGAATCTCACGCTACAACAAGAATTGGAAAGTACCAGAACGTCGTTGCACAAGATGTTCCACGCAATACTCGCGAATAGCAACTGTCGTGATGCCACTCTGGCATATTTGGCGGCGTTGTTACGTCACAACGAGAAACGCGCGCAAATACAGACGGAGGAATTCTCCTTGGCCGGGGATGGATTTATGTTGAATCTATTGTCAGTTTTACAAATGCTCTCTGTAAAGATCAAGCTGGACACGGTAGACCCGTTGTATCCGTTCCATCCCTCCAGTTTTGTCGAGATAAAAAACGACACAAGACTGAAACTCACTTCGCAAGAGGTCGCGGAATGGCAGAAACACTTGGAGAATACACATAAATGGACGGAACCGAAGTTTCCGACACAATGTTGGTTCCTCACGTTACATTGTCATCATATCGCGTTGTTACCGGCGTTGCAAAAATATCAGAGAAAATTGCGGGCCTTACGGGATTTACAAAAAATGCTCGACGAACTACAAGCCACAGAACCCCAATGGAAAGATAGTCCTTTTGCGGAACACAACAAAGACTTAATCAAACAATGGAAGCAACAATTGAAACGATTAGTTAAATCCAAATCGTGCGCGGATGCAGGTCTCATAGATCCAGTCTTATTGAGAAGATGCTTACATTTTTATATATCGGTCGCCGAGGTTCTGCTAAGTCTTCTGACACAGACTGCTCCAGGTAATCCTCTTCCCGAACTTCCGTTACCTCAGGAAGTTACATGCAAATTCACCGCATTACCAGAATGGTATGTGGAAGACATAGCAGAATTCTTGTTATTCACACTCCAGTAAGTTTTTATTAAATTATCAAATTTGATACAATTATACATAATACTGTGACTTATTAATAATCATAACTCTTTACATTTTTATTTGCAGATTTTGCCCTGGAGTAGTGGCAAGTAATATGGATAACTCACTTATCACTTGGCTACTCGTCGTTGTGTGTACGCCACATTGTATACGAAATCCGTATCTAATCGCAAAAATCATCGAGGTCCTCTTTGTAATAAATCCTAGTGTTCAGGTAAAGGACCTCTTGAAATATGTTCAGTCAATTTGACCGAAATCACTTTTTTTATATAAAATGTGTGAGGTCCTTTGTACATATGAAACAAACTCTCCTATATTTTGTATTACATTGTATTACATTACAGTCTTATATTTAACAGGGTAGAACAGAAACTCTTCACGATAAAGTCATGGCACATCCTATATCCAAGACATTTCTGGCGTCGTATCTCATGAAATTTTATACCGACGTTGAAACTACTGGCTCTAGTTCCGAATTTTATGACAAGTTTTCAATACGTTATCACATAAGTCTGATCTTAAAATCGATGTGGGATAGTCCGGTACATCGAGCATCTATCATCAATGAGAGCAATAACGGCAAGCAATTCGTCAAGTTTATCAATATGCTGATGAACGACACTACCTTCTTACTCGACGAGAGCCTGGAATCTCTGAAGCGCATACATGAGGTGCAGGAACTCATGTCTGATACTAGCGCATGGAGCGCGCTTTCACAGGAGCAACAGCAATCGAGAACGAGACAGCTGACGGCAGACGAGAGACAAGCCAGATCCTATCTTACGTTAGCCAAGGAAACAGTTGCCATGTTTCATTATTTGACAGTCGACATTAAGGAACCGTTTTTACGACCGGAATTAGTTGGACGATTGTGTGCCATGCTGAATTTTAATTTGCAACAGTTGTGCGGACCTAAGTGTAAAAATTTAAGAGTGAGGAAACCGCAAAAATATGGATGGCAACCGAGGACGTTACTTAGCCAATTGGTTGATATATATTTGCATCTTGACTGTGATAATTTCGCGGCTGCTTTAGCCAGTGACGAAGTGAGTGTGTCTTTTATAATATATCATACATATAACACATATAAATATACATCAAAAATTTATATTTGCAGCGTTCGTTCTGTAAGGAGTTGTTCACCGACGCTGCGAGCAGATTGGAGAGATCCGCTATCAAGACTACGACGGAAATCGAGAGGTTCATAGCTCTTGCTGAGCGTGCGGCGGTAATCGCGAGAGACAATCGCGCGCGTGATGCTGATTACGGCGATGCTCCTGAGGAATTTCGGGATCCATTAATGGACACTCTTATGGAAGATCCAGTCAAACTACCGTCTGGTATTGTTATGGACAAAGCAGTTATCATTAGACATTTACTCAATAGTGCCACGGATCCTTTCAGTCGGCAACCACTTAGCGAAGATATGCTTACGCCAAGTAAGTAATGTACTACTCATATTTTCTCTTTTCTGATAGATTTTTTTTAAATCTAAAAGTTGATAGAGTTTCATATGCATTTCGAATGTGTATATATATATATATATATATATATATATATATATATATATATATAATTTATAAAAATATTTGACATCAAATAACATAGTTTTTGATTGTTTTTTATAGTCTATCATTTTGTAATATTCTATACCAATTTTAAAATATGTATATAATTATTAGAAGTTTTGATCCACATAGCATGCATCTCAAATCGATGATTTTCGAAATTGCAGTGCTCGATCTGAAAGAAAGAATATCTATATGGAAACAACAAAAGAAAAAGCCAACAAATATATAAACGGTGCTAACGTGACAAGGATTATGCACTTATAAAAATAAGAATGTAGACAAGGAGAGAAAGAGATAAATAATCCAATATAATTGTCAATAATGCATGATACATTTTATTGTATCGATTGCCCGACAAATGTATTGATCCAGTGCAGTTGATGAATATAGTGCAATGATCTCGCTATTTTGTGCAACAATTGCGCTCAATAAATTTACAAGTTTTTATACAACAAAACATTAACAGACTGCAGCTAAGCGAACTGCCAATATTGCTCCAAATATAGAAACTTTAGAAACTTGTAAATAGTTTTGCTGGCTATATGTCAGTATCCAAAATTATACTATTCATAGATAAGCTTCTTTACTTTTTACGTCCTTTGATGTATGTGGCGGCGGGTAAGATATTTCGAGAGAATATTCCGCACGAAAATAATTACTATGAAATATATTATAAAATATAGTATAAACTAATATAAATAATTACTCTATATATACTTCCACAAACTCGATATTTAAAAATAAAACTACATTGACGTAAAATCTCTATGCAGATATAAGTTTTGTAATTCAATTATTTCAACAGTACTGCTACTTGAATATATCATACAACAAATCATTGGTGATGTTTAAAACAAAAAATAAGTCCATGGTAATTATTTAACAATTGACAATTTAAAATCATGGTTTGCATTCTTTTGTTAAAAAATATATGAAAAAAATCAATCTAAGAGTCGGTCATTTAATATATGTACAGATGTTACTAATTTCTTTTGGCTTTACATTGTAAAAAAGATTAAGTTCTTACATATAAATGTTATAGCAAATTTATGTTAGAGTGAACACACTTTGAGTTAAACTGATTGCTTTTAATATACCGGAAATATTATCTCATTTTGCATATATAATAAGACATAAGCATTTTTATTATATATTTCTATGGCCTAGCTGTTTTATTATACACATATATCGTATATACAAACACATTTTTTATTTCACTTGTTGATTTCTATCAATCAAATTATATATACATATCTTTTTTTATATATTATATGGTTAAAATTTTAAAATTTCTTCATTTCTAAATTTCATAAATCTTTGTACATATCATTCTCTAATTAATCATTATTTTATGTATCCTGTACAGATATGGATGTGTATAACATTCCAAAGAAATTACAATATTTAAAGAATAATATTTCAAAATTATACATTCTTTCTCTCTGCAAAAAATTCTAAACTTATAAAAATATTTGCCAATTGAAAAGATTTTTATATTTTGGCTTATGACTTGCAGTCTTTTTTTTAGAAATAATAGTTGCATTTATTTAGTGTCATTTATTTTAATTATAAATTTTCTGATTTAATATAGTGCCACAGTTTGTTACTTTGACAACATGAATATGTTTGGTTATTAATTGTAAATATAAATTTTATGTATATCACATTTCATGTATACATTACGCCAATTAATGATGCCATCCCCACATACAAATATTAATATTTAAAAAAATATAAATTAAACAGTTTTTTAAGTATCAAAATTATTTAATGTAATTATAAATTTTTAAATAATTGTATTTAAAGATATGATTATCATTCAATAAGAATTCTACATTATTTGTTATATTCTTTCATGCAATGCATCTTTCTATATAGGAAGACAAAAGACTAAATATTGAATTTAGGAAGGTCATATAGGATCAGAATTATATTAGGTAGCAATTTTTGGTACATTTTGTGAAATAATTAAATTAAAAAACAAAAATAGGACAATTTGAAATGTTTAATAAAGTATTAATAAAATAAAAATGTATACATATTTGTATATATAGATTCAAAAATAAATTTGTCCCTCTGATTGACATTTGATATTGTTTTCTATATGTATACTAATGTGTAACATAAATTTGTTCATGGGAAACTTATTTGAAATATAATACATTTGTAAATATTAAGATTAATGTAAAGTATAAAAATAAACAAAACTGATGCGAAAAAATGAAAGCATAAAATGATAAAACTTCTTTGGTAAGAGAAAACTTACTCGTTAATAATATAAGAAAATCATTTGTGAAACATACAATTAATGAAAATAGTATTTTTATTTCTATTTCATTTTTAAAAAAGTAGTTTTTTTATTACTATTTTTGTCAAATTAATCTACCACTCTCCTATATCTACCACATGTTTCTTCTGTTAATTTTGTCTTATGTTAATTTTAAGAAATATTATAATTTATTTCTTTCCTTCTCTCATCTTGAATCTCCTATGATAATCGGTATTAGACATTCTACCTTGTCCAATTGAACTAGCAATTGATTCCATGTCATCTCCGATAGCTTCATCATTGAGATTATCATAACGATGCATTAAACTACTTTGTCCAATGTTCATTGTGTTAATAAATGACTCTACGTGTCCTTTAATGAATCCATTGGTTTGGTTTCTTAATTTGGAGTTGAAAGAAATCTTTGATAAATTTTCCATTTCCTCTTGACTTTCAGAGAATACATCACTATTAATCTCACTTGTATACTTATATTTCTCTGATAACATATCATAAGTTCTTGCTGCATAAAATTCATACATTTATATTAGTGGCCAATATTTTTTAACGAATAAATTTACATACATATGATTTTTATAATAAAATTTCGAGCACACTTACGTGGAATATAACTTGCTTCAACAGTGTTTCTCATAGGGCATGTATTGATATGTTCTTCGATCTCGCTTTTGCTTAAGCGATGCGTTGCATTGTAAGGACAAAGGACCTTGTAATCCGGTGGGTAATTCTGTAAGAATTTTCGTATAATATCAATATGCGTTTCTACGCATAAAAAAGCATGAATGTAATTCATAAAATTCATTGTTACTTTTTCGCATTTTACAAGATGCCGCTGGAATTTCAATCTGGGTACAGTGTGATGTTTATTGTAAGGGCATCGAACAACATCGCTATCAGAACTAAACATTGTTTACGTGTATGTATATATATCGGTGTATATATGTATAATTATAAAAAAGAACACTCAATATGATATAAATAAAATAAATGTTATATTAAATTCTTGGCGCTTCTTGGCTTAGCTTGGTTGAAAATGTATATACGTAGCTCTAATCACCATCTTTAGAGAACCTCTAGAAAAGGGAGAGAGAGAGATGTCAAGTGTTCATAAAAACCAACCATGAAAATCTATTTAAAGGCCTTTGTACACTGCGCGACAATGATTCGTTCCACGATCCCTCTCGCGGGGCAAGGGGAGCGTAGAAGTGACCAATCAGCTGGCAGCGTGGCAGTGGCTGATTGGTTAGAGGCTACGCTCCCCTTGCCCCGCGAAAGGGATCATGGAACGAATCGTTGTCGCGCAGTGTACGTACAAAAATTTTAGTCGTAATCGTAAGGTCGTAAGAAAACTGACCAATCACAGTTGATTATTCTTTTAGCGCAGAAAGAATACTCGACTATGATTTGTCAGTTTTCTTACGACCTTACGGTTACGACTAAAATTTTTGTACGTGCAAAGGCCTTAAATGAAAATATCCATTTAAAAAAATAACGAATTGGTGTCTTTATTTTTAGTCACGTGATATCTTTTAACGCTGAAAAATGAATGTCAAGTGAAACTACCCTAAAAAGTAGCGTCAATGAAAAGGCCGCTTAAGAATTTCGACCATTGAGGATGACACATGCTGGTCCATCATTGGACAAAATGAAGAAAGAAAAAAAGGAGGAGAAACCGGAGCTTATTTATCAACATTATTTATCAGCATGATTTATCAGCCATTCCAGGTATAATATAATGTTACAAACTTATATAAATTAAAATAAATTCAAAAATTTTAAGAATAAATGGTATAAATGCAAGTAAAAACACTACAAATTTCTTACTTTCTAGGTTGTAGAAACGTCGAGGAATCTCAGTATTTAAATTAAATCGAATACAAGGGGCTGTTTTTTTAGCTGCACTGCTGCACTAGTGCAATTAGTTAGAGTGAAAGAAAGTATGTTTGTCTTTTTTTAATTTATTGCATTAGTGCAGCAGTGCATGTAAAAAGTACAGATCCAGGATCATATAGAGCACACGATAAACGCACAGAAGAAATAATAGCGAAACGATTAAAAATGGAAAAAGAGGAAGGTTTTCCAATTACAAGTCTGAGGCAGATCAATATTTTATTGGAGAGGCAACATCAGAACATTATCTGCGTTCAGCAGAAAAAGCTGCTTTGCAACTGTTGTAAAATTTGTAAGCCTGATTGGTGTATGCTCTTAATTTTGATTGAATCTAAGAGCATACATCAATTAGGCTCACGAATTTTATAACAGTTGTAAAGCAGCTTTTTCTGCTGAATGCATCTATTGTCACCAATTGTCACTGTTTGGGAAATAGTCCACGGTAACAATGTGAATAAGATTATTCATTGTTATGTGGAACATAATTTAAAATTTCTTATATAGAAACTATGAAGTAAAGAAAACAAGTTTTTATATCTAGTGAGTATATTCTCATATTACAGACCACACATCTAATGGATCATACATCTAATAGAAAAAAATTAATAATTAAAAAATTACGAAACAATAGTGCAAATAAAAAATAGAAAACAATTTTAACAATAATTTAACAATAATTTATCCAATGTTAAAGATTTATAATGATTGCAACAATGAGTATGTCTAAATATAAATTAGATAATACATTACTGTATTATTAAATATATAAATATCATATTATTTTTTTAGATGTATTTTTGCCAAGCTTCTAACAATGGAACTACTGTTTTCTGGACATTCAGAAATCAAACAATTGAACAAAATATTTAAAGAGCTGGAGGACTATTATGTATCTTGAATGAAGTGAAAATATGAAAAGTGAACAAATTTACTAAATGTTGACTAATGAAATTATAAATATTCTAATAAATTTGCACTTTTCACATTTTCACTCCTTTCGAGATACATAGATAGGTCTTCTGAGAAATCCAGAGAAAGAATTTGACCAAATTTTGTTAAATTATACATTCTGATTCAAAAGATAATGTTTTTTCATTATCTTGTAAACAATTTGAAACAAAGATTTAATTTATCATTGTCTGATTTAGGAATTAAATTATTGAACAGGTAAATAATTAGTCTTATATTAAAGAATAATATGAGCATTGAATATCTAAATAAGTCACATTTCAAGAATTATTATTGTTTTACAGATTTCTAACATATGACTCTCATTGCCAAACTGTGAAAAACATTCTCATTTATTTATACCTCCAGCTAATTAATCCGTAAATCTCTACATAGCTCGCAAAATCGGAATACAAAACTAGAAACGAAATTAGAACAATTAGACAACAGTGATAATGCTGATTTAAGCAACTCCTTTTTATATGGGTTTAATAGAAGGTAATAGAATACTGCTCATCAGAAATGATTTTCATTTGAAATTCTAATTGTGAGAAACTTTTTTCTCATTCTCTGTAAGATTTTCTTCTAAATAAATCTTTATATGATATACAATATATATATATATATATATATATATATATATATATATATATATATATTCCATATAATGTCTGAATGTTAATTTTTAATTATATATATTTTATTTGTATTATAGAAATTTTTTTTTACATTTTTGTACATATAAGTAGAATAATACAATCTTATTTTGCAAAATGAAATTTTTTGCACATTATCAAACAATATGAGTTATTTATTAAAATCAAAATAATAGATCTTTGTATTTTGTGATTAACAGTTACATATTTTGATATATATATATATATATATAATTTTTTTTTATCATAAAAAATATAATCCTAATATGACTTTTAAACGCTTTAAATCGTATAAATTAAGAGGAAGCAAATATTACATTTTGATAAAAATCTTAACTCTAAATAATATATAATAATATAATATATATTATGCACATTTTGCAATATTTTAATATATGTAATTATGTAAAGGAAAGATGTAAAATAGAAAAAAATTATGTTTTTATATTTTTATTAGTATTGTTTTTACATTTTGTATACGATTGGTATTTTTTTACATATATATATTTAGGACATTATTAACATAATTTTGATATTTTTTTAACTGCTGTGTTCTAATTAATTTTTGCCAATTTTACGACGAGCAAATTTTAAGCTTTGCGCTGTTATCTTTTAGAGTCAGATTACTTTCATTTCCCAGCATTGTGCATATTTTTCGGTAGACCCAGTAGCGAGTTTATAAGCTCGGAATTGCGTTTGGGATGACAAAATCGCGGAGCTGCCAACATCAATCTAGCCAATTGCAATTCACTATCCTAGAACAAAATATTGCAACGTATGTGAATTTTCGAATAATGAATGATGCATTATTATTTAATTTCTTTCGTAAGCCATATTATCGTTTAAAAAATTATATTTTTTTAGTTCTATATAAATTCTATATAAATCTATATTCTATATAAATCAATTCTTATAAAGCGCTTGATATATTTTTTATTATATTTAATTTTATTATATTTAATTTTGAAATATGATATGTACGATACATTGTGCTAATCAAGCGTTAAATATTTTTCAACTATTATTCCGGCTAAATTCTAACTTACCAAACCTCTACCATAGGGAAGATTCAGTTCTAGAAGATTTCTATCGACATCCTCGACACTCAATGCTTGTCCACAAACAATCCCGACAATAATAGCGATAGTGATGTAGTTAGCCATTGATAAATGCTGTATCAACAAGGATAAAAAAATATAAAATTTTATAATATAAATTACATGAAAATTATATTCCCTTTTATAGCATTTATCATAAAGTTGGAATATAATAAAGTTTTAAACTTTGTTATTATAAAAATTATAACGTATTCATTTGTTCTATTGTTTATTAATGATTATGCATTTCTTTGTCACCAAAATATTTTAATAATTACAATCCCTGTTTGTAAAATGTACAAAATATTATCAAAGAAAAATATAATTTTTCTTAACACTCATGAAACATACATTTAGTATGTTTCACAAAAATTTGTATAAATTATAAAATTATAATTTTTACTACAATATTTTCTCCATTTTTAATATGCATAGTCATTTAATTATAAAATGTAATACAATTTTATAATAATTTTTGTTTATTTGACAGAAACCGTAACACATAATAATGTTTAATATCTATACAAGAAAAAAAGAAATGTATGATTGCAACGAAAGAGAAAATTTAGTAGAAAATTTATCAGGTATAATATGAATATGCTTCGATTCCTATCGTATAATTTAATTTTATTGATTACTTACAATTATTGTTAATCTGCTGCAGTTGTCGATCGCACTAGCTAAATGTACCACGGTATATATCCACGAACACGATGTGAGTTTACGACCTGAAGACGCTGTTCTTTTATACCGCGACCATTCTTTGCTAAAATCTGCTTCTGACAGGTAAAGTGTAGGTTGACACTAGCTCTGCGAACGACAGGTGTCATTCCTCCTATTGGAGAAAAAGATTATCATGGAAATTGTTCGGAAATATTGTTTCGTTTATTAAATCATGTAAAAAAATTCTTCGCGAAGTATCCTGCGAATCCTACGTATCCTGCGTTTGATTATCTGAAGAATTACGAAAGTATTATCTATAATTTATGAGGTTTTTTTAGATATTCGTAGAATATAAGGTTTTTTTTTAAATATTTTTAAATATTAAATATTTTTTATAAATATATATTTATATATTATTTATAATAATGTAAAAGAGGGAAAAATTCGCACATATAAATTATGTGTACATATATATTTCCTATATCTTAATTATGGTAACACTTATATTATGCAGCGGATCCGAAAGATCCTCGTTGTATTTGCTTACACGTTAAATTGCTCGCACAACGCCCCGTTTATCAAGACAACTATCATTAAGGAAAAGCTACGAGCACCTGTCTCGTACTCGTTGTGAATGCGAGTCTCGTCAGGGTCAGTATCGTATTTAATCTCGCGAGATGCCTTCCGCGCGAGGAGACCCGACTTTGCGAAGGTTGTGCGGTTCTCGCTCTCGATCGGCCCGTCCTTTTTCAAAAAGCACTCGCGAAGATATATGTATATACATCATCTGGCTATTTGTATTACTCATTCGCAGAACGAGCGAGCGACATGTGTCAATGGACGAATGAATCGTGAGTCGCGACACATTGTCATCCTTCGAGAAAACGAACAGAGAAATACATCGCTTAGCTATTCGGGGGCGAAGAGAGAGAGGACAAAACCTGTCGGAGGATGTAGAATACAGTATGGTAAAAGAATAACGCTCATAATGAAAACACGAGCTCCTCTAAATAATACTATATTAAACGTCAAAATGTACACGTTGATTCGGTAATTAATTTTTTTTCTCTCTTTTTTTCTATAATTTATTATATAGAATTGATGCAATAATACATGATATTAAGTGATACATTTGTTTTTTATCGCGTCTTTCTTTAAAATACACACACAGGCACACATTTTTTTCTCGAAAATATCTATAAATAATTCATCTGGTAAATATAAAAACATTTCTTTCCATCTAATGTATTCTAAATTAAATATAAGAAATCAAAGCGAATTAATACATATTGTGCAAGCTAAATTAACACACGTTATTAATTTTTTTCTCGTTCTCAAGAAGTCAAATAAGAAGAAACAGAATAGAAAAGAGGGCAAAACGAATGGTAGAGCGAAGAAGAAGAGGAACGGATCAGCGATGCCTAAATCTTCGACTGTTCCTTGGGATGGGCGCCGAGGTCACTAACCGGCAACTATAAAAGCGGCCTGGGACCGGTGGCACGGCCTTGATTCTCTCTTAAGACCCTTAGTAGCCAACAGTGTCGATCAAGACCTGAAAGAATTGATCATCTTCGATGCCTTTGCGTCATTTTCTTTCCGCGATGGAGTCTGAAGATGAATGATGTAAAAGAACCGCTTTTTGGAATTTTGATTCGCCACCGATTGCGATTAATATTATGCGAAACCTTGTAGCAAGAAGTCAATCAGTTATGAACGAGGTGTAAGAGAAAAAAAAAGTACGTAATATTTTTTTAAATTGACAAAATTCAGATACGATGACTGATTTTTAATCGATATGCGAAATGAACCTCCGATAAATTGAAAGAAATCGACAACAGCATGTTAGATTTTTTACTCGTTTTATTTTATTATCATGAATCATCTTGTTATCGCCGGATCACTATATCACATTATCTGTTGTGTTTCGTAATGCTTGAGTGTTTTTTCAGTTTTTTCGGATGATTAAAGCGACATTTCATATTCGCCGTGATTGCTCATTTTCATCAATCCATTTGATTTATATTCGTTTCCAGAAGCCGTTTAAAAAATTATCATGTCATTCAGAGATAACATAGATATACATACATAAACAGCAATCGAATCCTAATGTATAGTTTTAAAAAGAGAGAAAGAGAAAGTGTCTCATGGCCTCTATTATCGTGAGAAATTTATTGCAGAATCAATCTATCATTTATTTACACATTAATAGGCTTCTCGTGTAACAATTTGTTGTGAAAAATCAGGAGATAATTATCCTGCGAGATGCATTAATGGCTGATTAACAAATGTGTTACTATGATGTAACACAATCTCTTTGTCAAATTTATGACGACAAATAAGCACTACGTAATCCGTCCTATTATTTTCTTGGAAATAGAATCAAAAATCTGCGCGAATATAAACTCTTAATGGTGTTTATAAATATGCGATGAAATAAAAAAAACAACCACTTTGATGTTAGTTAATAAGTGAATAGCCCACAGTTATAAATAATGAATATTTGAAAAAATAAATAATTACATGAATTTTTTATAGATAAGTTATAAATGTTTGCAGATAAAAGGCCATAAATTTATATCGCCAGAGAATCTCGTTTGTAGATAAAAAGCCATAAATTTATATCGAAAGCAGGAACCTCGAGTGAGATCGCTTATCAACAAATAATCCGTTAATTTCAATCAGCGTAGCTTTTAACGTAACATAGTTGGTATTATTATCGATATTTAAATTAAAAAGAGAGAGAGAGAGAAAGAGAACACAGAACTCATTTGCATCCCGACTCACAATCGGCTCTGTACAGATCGTGTTTCACCTCGCCCGCGGTAGAGGCCCATTAACGACCCATAGATTACGGGTTTCGATTTATTTCTTTTTTTTGCGTGGGCCCGTGACGCATAAAATTCAGATCTCTGCGCCATTAACGTTACTCCACCTCGCTACGAAATGGCATTGAACTCGATGCAGCATTTAAGCGCCACGTACCTCTTACCTGTAATCCTGATCTATTAATCGCACTTGAGAGACGAAATTTGAATGCGTCAAGAACCGAGCGTTGAATCTGTTTCAAACATACGAGCGTGCGGTAATGCAATTAACTTCGGGCCTGGGGACCGCTACGCTCGAATTTGAATACTCGTCTAACTCTCGGACGAGATCTTTGTTCTCTCGCTGAACTCTACTTTGAACTGTCGATGTATCGATTAAGCCGCTCGCCTTCTCGCTCATCTTTACAGCTTGCAACGGTACTATTCGGTCAAACATTCTCATCAAGTTTTCTCTTCTTCCTATCTTACATGTTACGTTGTACAAAGTGTCAATGATCCTTGGATCCCTCCCCGAAAATGTACAAACAATCTTTATTCAATTAATTTTTAATTAGCTGCGTAAGATAGTCCTTGTATTGAATGAAGAGATAACGTTTATTGCTTATTATTAATAACTTTTTTGTTGCAATTTTTTAAATATTCTTTAAATTGTTTAAAATAAATATGATTGCTCTTATTAAATTAATAATCATGTCGGATTATTAGCTTTTAATTTGGCGACTGTGATGTAGTATTACCTGGAACTGGAATGATAATTATTTAGCTAAAAATTGATAAATTTATTAATATATATTTTTTATTAATTGCAGTGAAAACAGCTACATCCTAATGTCTACATAATGCAGCGATAACAATCTTGCAGTCGAAGTTATTATTAAAACGCAAAAGACAGCCTGTCCCTTTCACCGACGATGCGAATTTTTTTCTTCAGAAAAGAGAAAACAAATGACCGATAGATCGACCACTCGTAAGTTCAAGGCGAATCCCGTTGCCACTCCCTAAGATAGGGTGCCTTATTTTTGGAAGTTCCCGAAGAGAAGGCTCGTTCAATTTGCGTAGACTTGTATCATTATTGTGAGTATAAGATTCTCCGGCGAGGAACTAACCGTATCTTCTCCCGTTTCCTTCCCCACGTTCTTTCATTTGCTAGCTGTAATATTTGTAAATGCAAAATCTCGCAACGTCTGTTGGTTCATATCGCGTAGGTTTCCCTTGAATCCCTTCTTAAATCCGCGTATCTATTACTATCTCGCGTGTGGGTAAATTGCAGAGATTCAGAAGGAAATATTACCATATATATGCAATGATCCGTTGATCGCTTCGTAAATCGTTTAAACAGACGATCCATTGGGATTGGGTTTAACCACACGTTGCGAACGACAATAACGTATATTTCTTATAGTATGCAATCGCTAATGATCCGTTTCGTCGACCATCAAGGACGTAAATTCTTGATTGACCGTATGCATTTCTTTCTTTCTTGTCGTTGTAACTTCTGTCATTGTCAGCTGTTTTCTGTCATCCATCATTTCGCGTCAAATTTCGATGCACTATTTCGATAGTAATGAATGTATGTTCGTTTTTTAATTATGTATATACAGTATATATAATTATGGAAGCTTTTATCTGTAAATATATAAGAGAGACTTCTTGATTAGAGTTGTTTTGATTAATAATTTAAAACAATTGTCAACATATGTTATGTGAAGAATCATACATAATGATGATAAAGTCTACAAATTTAATTCTTTAATTCGTACAAATTTAATTCTTAAAATTTAAGCTGTTGAAAGTTTGACGGAATGATTGATCTAATTGCACGACATTTTTTCTAATCTACATACATATATTTCTGTAACAAATACATATATGTATGTTGTTTTCAGATGTAATCCATGGATAGACAATGCATGTTTAGCGATAAGAAGCGGTGACACTTTAATTAAAAATATCATCGAGCGACGTCCTAAACAGATCCCTTGAGAGATCCCAGTACATCCCACATGGCAATTTATATCGCAAACGATCAAGAGGGTAGGAGCGCTCGAAACCGAAGAGAGATTTCGTCTTGGGCGTCCAAGTCCAGGGCGTTTACGTGTACGAAGTCGTGCTCCTCTTGTGGTCAAGGTCACCGCAGAGCGGGGGACTTAGTAGGCAGGATGTTGGACCCCCTTCCCCCGGAATGGAGGAGTAGGTATATATATGCGTCCTCACGCATCCGGAATACCAGATTGTTGGCCCTCTCCGTTGGCCGCTCCATCGGTGGTGGTGGTCTTTTAAAATTCATCGCGGTGTCCAAGGAGAGCACGCACCTGGAGGAGACCTAGAAAAAAGCCCTTGCGAATCGATCAGTGTGGTCAGATCGCGTGCCGTTAACAGGTGTCTTCATTCAGTCTAGTCCATCTTCTAGTGACAGTTTAATTTCGATACGCGTATCGGTGTAACGTAACAGAAAGAAAAAGGAAGGTCCGTTTTTGTAATATTTAGAATATTACAAACTGTGCATCACTTATTTCTTTTATTTAATAAATTTTTGCCATGATTTAATTTAAAAAGAAGAATTTTTGCCAATGTATACCCATAAAAATATAACATTATTCAGTCTATAGAATTGTAATTTAAGATAATTTATTAAAATAAGAGCATTAAAGAAAGATTTACATCGATAGCTGTTTGCCAAGTACAGTGCAAGCCTCGCACAATACAATACATCGTGAACCATTCGTATCGTATCGTCTCATCTTCCTATGACGGTATTCGCATTTATAATAAGTGTACGCACACATCAGCAAAAAATAATCGCAATACACATACATATATGCCATTGAGTCTTTATCTTCGAATAATTCAGATTAAACACGGTATAAAGAATTTCGAATTTATCATTGCTTCTTGAAACTCACGCATTTAAATTCGCGATAGAGAATCTAATATAGGAAAAGGCTAATTATAAATTCAGAAAATAAAAAGTTTCTAAAAAAACTATTTTGTTTCAAATAATAAAAATAAATACTTTATTATAAGTGTAATTGAAAATACATCTTATTTAAATTTTGCATTTGTTTTTAATTTTATTCAAAATTTTTATAAGTAAAATCGATAATCTTAAACTTGTTAATTTTAACTTGTTGCATGCCATATAAATTAAAAAGGACAATAAATAAAATATGCATGCGGACAGAAAGAATAATAAAGCAATATAAACAAGTAAGAAGTTCCCTTCAAGGCTGTCTTTTTTTGATTTCTTGTACTTGTCTCGAAACGAATGAGACGATCGAAATATCTTGAAGGCATAGTAAACAAACTGACGTACCTCAGTCGCATATGAAATGCACTCCAAAACACACTACTTCTAGTCTGAGTCCTCGCTACTTAAATCTGTGGTTGTGTCACTTAAATTCACATAAAAATAGCGGTATTTCGAGATCGCAGGGGGGGATTCTATATAAGCGTTTTCTCGAAGAGAAAGAAAGAAAAATATCAATGCTTATCATTTCAGCCAGTCATGGTGGCTTGGATTATCCTCTTGACGCTGGTGAGCTTATCGTCAGCTGTCCCTTCGAAACGACAAGTATCAATTGAAGAAATCCTGCCTTTCACACCATCACGGAATGAACAACGTGGTTCCGTTCGCTCGTTCCGGAGAGATGCCATCGAGAGGCCACCGACTCCGACATTCGATCGCCTGTCAAATTATTTTGATTATGGTAATGAGTTTGGCTCGCATAGATATCCTCTGCGTGATGCAGTCGAATCGTTACCAGCCAACGTCCTTTACGCTGAATCGAGTCACAAATTTCGAGATGACTTTGAGAGGTGAATATTTAATATTTTTTTTCACGATTAATTTTATGCAATCGTAATTTTTGCATATCAATTTTAATCCTTATATATAGTTGCATTAGGATTCTAATTTATTCTTTTTTATGATATTTTCTTCAGCATTCTTGATTAGGTCTCTTTTCCTTCTTTTAAATAATTTTTAGAGAAATCTCAAAAATTACCTATTAAATCTGATATTCTATTGAAATTTATTAAAATCATCTTTCTGAGGAATTTTTTTTGGATTTCTGTAATTTTTATTAGATGTATACATAAGGTATGTTTAAGAGTTAAAAATTTTTAAATTATTGGGGTTAAAAGACTTTTTTTGGATTTCATTTTTCTATATTTACTTTGATTTTACTTAACTTGAGTACTTTACTCATTGATATATATATATATATATATATATATATATATATATATAATAAAGAAAAAGAGAACATATCTTAATTTAATCTCTTACTAAATTTAATGTAAAATATAGTATATATGTATATATATATATATATATATATATATATATATGTATATTATATTTAGCGAAAACAGAAGATTACCTTTGAGAGATGCAGTGGAACATCGCGAATCACCTTTTATCAGTGTCGATGTGGATTACGAGTCGATTTGGATCGAACCTGTGGCACCGCCAATCCTGCGAGGAACGCAAAATTTTGAACCTAAAATTGTCTGCCGCTTTAATTCCAAAGCTGTTCATAGAACGGAACCGTTCTCTTTGCTTCCAGAAAATGTGCCAGATCACAAGTGTACTCATCTGATATACGATGCTGCCATTTTGGGTAAACAATTTTTTTAATATAGATATAAAAATGTATTTTATTTGTCAATATTTTCATTAATTATTAATTTTTTATTTTTTTATTATTTACAGAGAAAGACAATATCTTCCTTAGAGATCCATATGATCAAGGTAAAAATATTATACAGTTTTTATTAAAAAAATAGAAATAGTTATTCAAAATATATAAGTATTATTAGAGATAATAATGATATAATAATTAATTTTTTGTTATTCAATCTCAATTTAATCTCAATTTTAATTTTTTGTTATTTAATCTCAATTTAATCTTAATTATTAATTTTCATTATTTTATATTATTATGTAGACGGTTATAATGCTATTATAAAACTTCGTTCGCGGGATCCAACACTACGTGTGCTCATATCAATCACAAATCTGAATTTACACGACGGTCTATTCATCCAATATTTCTCCCACACGACTCTATTTCGGCAAAAGTCTATTCTCGAGTTCCTCGAGGAATATCCCTTCGATGGCATCGAGCTCGACTGGCCGGCTGCTGCCGAGGATTGGCAAAGCTTCAAGAGTATGCTCAAAATAATCGGCGCTTTATTGAGTAGAAAAGGATATACTTTGGCGGTGGCATTGAGACCGGAAGATCCTGTGGATCCAGAGCTCCTGTCAATCGTCGATTTGTTAATTTTAAGAAGCTGGCAAGATATGTCATTTTGTCAAGACAGCAGTTGCAAAATGAAAAATGAAATAATGGAGAAAATTGCCCTTCATCCGGGTCCCTTAAGTTTTGTCGCGCAAAATATGAGTGAATGGATCAGACAAGTCAGCATCGAACAAAGATCAAAGATCGTTCTCGCTTTACCAATCTTTGGTCAGGGATACACCCTGAAATATGATAATCTTACTGACACCGGCGCGCCCATTTTGGGACCTGGCAGAGAGGGTGATTATACTAAACAGCAAGATGGAAAATTAGCTTATTACGAGGTCAAGTATCACCGTTAAATAAAACTTGATAAAGATATTCGTCAAGTGAATTAAAAGAAAATGTTTCTATTCTCATAGATATGTGATAAATTGGAGAAAGGATTGTGGTTCTCAGGCAGGGATGAGGAAGGACCGTACATAAAGCGTGGCGATCAGTGGATCGGCTATGACGACCCTATATCGGTTAAAGTTAAAATAGCATATGTTCGGGCGACGGGACTTGGCGGGGTTGCCTTATGGTCGCTGGATCTAGACGATTTTCAAGTAATTAACGACAATAATTGTTTCTTTTCTTTTTGTTCAAACTTTCAATTCCGTTACAACTTTAGATTTTGATATATCACGCGATGAGAACGTTAATTAGAATTAATTAAAATTAAAAGACATAAAATAGGGAATAATTTTAATAATATCAATTTACAATATAAAGCTTTGCTTTATATCTTACTATTAATTATTTTATTTACTTTACAATTATATTTTTTTACTATTATTTATCATTTTTGGGATAAAAACTGGAGATTGAGTAAGAACATATATTACTTTATATGCTTCGTTTTTAGATTCTTTTTCGCTGCTTTAAATTTACCGTTGAGTGAATTTTATTTCTTAATGATGCGATCATTATTCAATATGAGATAAGCGATTTATCTTTCGCTTGTACAAGACGCGTCGTATTTTCTTAATGCGGTGTGAAAACTAAATACCAGTTTTGTGATTTATGTATTAGATCGCGATATGATAATATATACATATGTAATTTTGCAATGTAATACGTGTCGATATAAATGTATTTTTATCGCACAACTTGATAGGCTTTTATAGTAATGAATCAATAATTTGATTCATTGAATCCTTTTATTCGTGTTATTTTGAGATGTACAGGTTTTATTTAATATGCATAGATGTTATAAATTGATTCCAGGGTATTTGTGGAAATCCTTGGCCGATGCTAAACACAGCTGTGGAAGCTTTAGGATATTATAAGGATACGCTGGCAGTAAATTGTCTACATGAGTATTACCTCTTCGGAGTGGATCAAGAAGATTGTTCGAGATTTTATTCTTGCATCAAAGGTTTATAATAATTTCGTGTTAATCAAAAATCGTTAAAGCCGAATTTATGTCATTCAAAAATCTAGAAATTTGATGTTAATTTCTTTATTTCTAGGAAAGCTGCATCATGGTCACTGTGGACATAATCGGCATTTTAATTTACTCGAGGAACGCTGTCTGATGAATACTCCGGAGAAACTTTCGACATTGTACGGAAAAAAAACTTGCAAATTCAATGTTTTCGAACCAATCCGTCAAGACCTTTCATCAGGAATATCGTCGAAGCAGAAAAATATGTTGCTGCGACAGAAAGGACCAAGAGTGGTGTGTTATGTAACTTCTTGGGCTCTGTACCGTAAAGAAGATGGCAAATTTGTGCCGGAACATTTAGATTCACAGCTTTGCACCGACATTGTCTACGCTTTCGCCGGATTGAATCCTGAAACCTTACTGATGCAGTCATTCGATCCTTGGGCTGACATCGAAAATAGTGAGTGGTTTATCTGATATAATCGTTAATATATTTGGATATTATCTAAGATATTATAATCATCAATTTGTGAAATTTGCTTGAAATACAACTTTTTATCTCAAGTGAATTTTACAAATTATGGAATCTCTTTCAACATCTTCTTCTGCTTGCAATATTTCAATAAGAAACACGCGATTGAATAATTATTTGAATAATTCGTCCCAGATTTGTATCAACGAGTAACTTCTATCAGAGGATCGAGAATTTTACTAGCACTGGGCGGATGGACAGATAGTTCTGGCGATAAATATTCTCGATTGGTCAGCAATGACGCGGCTCGTCGTAAGTTTGTCGCGGCCACAGTGAATTATTTGAAAGAGCACAACTTTGATGGGCTGTCATTTGAGTGGAGTTATCCAAAGTGCTGGCAGAGCGATTGTAAAAAGGGTCCGGATTCTGACAAACCCAATTTGACCAAACTCATACAAGAACTAAGAGAGGAATTCGACAAACAGGAACCACCTCTTCTCTTAGCCATTGCGTTATCAGGATATAAGGAAGTTATCGATAGAGCATATGAAGTGCGCGAGATCTCGCGAGCCGTAGACTTCATGTCGGTTATGGCCTATGACTATCACGGCGCCTGGGAATCCAAATCAGGACATATAGCACCCTTGTTCGGCTCACCTAGTGATAGCAATCCTTATTATAATGTCGTAAGTTTGAATTTTATTTGTGCAAAAGTGCATATTATAAGTCCTGAAATATAACACAAGCCTGAATACAACACATTCGAAAATATTACAGAATTTTACCATGAGCTACCTCGTTAGGCTCGGTGCTGAAAAATCTAAACTTCTAGTCGGCATTCCATTGTACGGTCAATCTTACCGACTTTCTACTGCGAGCCAAGCTGGTTTGGGTGATCCTACGACCGGTCCCGGTAAGCCAGGAGAGTTCACCAAACAACCTGGAATGTTGGCTTATTATGAGATTTGCGATAGGATTAAACAGTATGGTTGGAAAACAAAACCCGGTGAGTATTCTTCTTCATCTGTGTGATTTTTATTTTGAATATTATATCGAAAAAATTTAAATCACACACGGACAAATGTTAAGAATTAATTTAATAATAAATATACGCTATATATGATTATCAAATCTTCAGGACCAAGTGCTCAGTTTGAGGATCAATGGGTAGGTTTCGAAGATCGAGAAAGTGTCTACGCTAAAGGTAAATATATAGCAGCTAACGGCTATGGTGGAGCTACAATGTGGACCGTTGACCTAGACGATTTTCAAAATCGTTGCTGCTCAGAGTCATATCCTCTATTGAAATCTATTAATCGTGCACTAGGTTCGTATTAAAATAGTCATTTTATTATTATTAATTGATATTATGTTATAATATTACTTCTTATATTATAAAAAAGTATTTTTTATATTAAAAAATACATATAAATATATAAAATTCTCTTTTTATATATATTAACTTCTTATATTAAATTATTCTCTTTTACATTGCATATTTTTTATTATTATATTATTATTATGTTATATTATTATATTTATTATATTTATTATATTATTATTCAATATTATATATATTAATATTATTTATTTAATTTCATATTTAATATTAGTAATTAATTTTATCATTACCACTGCTCCGATTAATACTATAGATCGTTTATCGACGCCAATCTCGGAAGACTGCCAACGTCCACCGCAACCGGTAACACCACAAGCACCAACATTGACCACTCATAGCGATGCTGCGAACAACGGTAATTCACATCATACTACGCCGATGACAACATCCAGCACTCAAACTACAACATGGCCCACATGGACGGAAAGACCAAGCACTGCCACCCAGCAGACGACCAAAACTACGTGGCCTATGTGGACATGGACCACTCAGAAACCATCTAGCAAGATTCCAGAGGAAACGACAAAACCTAGTTGGATACAAGAACCAAGTACAACCAGTAGCACTACGAGCTGGACTACATCGAGGTAAAGAAATCTTGGAAAAAGATTTTTACGTTTTTTTAGATAATTTTCCCAATTTTATTCTCTTCTTTCTTCTTGTTTCATTAAAAATAACTCGAAATGTTTAACATTTTTGTACAGTGGAAAAATATCGATATTTGCAGTACATAATAATTTTAAATGCGCTTAAGCTTTTACTTTTTCCTATTGAAAAAATTATTTTAATATTTTAATATTTTAAGAGCACCTACTACACGGCCTACCACGACAACTACCACAACACAGGAATCAATTATCACCACGCCAGGAACGACCTGCACTGACGGCGAATACTACAGTGATCCCGCGAGTTGCAGCAATTATTACAGATGCGTTCGCGGCGAGTTAAAGCGCGAGCAGTGCGCACCAGGGTTGCATTGGGACGCGAAACGACATCTCTGCGATTGGCCATCGGCAGCGAAATGTCAAACAGAAACTGGTTATTATGGCTACTACTTATTGAAGCTGTTTACCGAAATCTCATTAACTGGATACTTCATTTCTCTCTCTTTCTTCCTATATTTTTAATATTTCCTCTTTTTATCCTTTTCTTTCTTTATGAGAAAAGCGTTTTGCAATTAAACGGCTTGAATTAAATAACTTAGCGAGACAACGATGTGAACAATAATCAACATGATGATTGGCACCTTGGTGCAGGATCGCACACGATCGTCGAGAAAAATGAGTCGTACTTGATGAAATTAATGAGAAAATTAACTATAATTTTCATGACAACATACATATTTTTTATATTTTTAAAAAATAAGATACCGACTCTTTCTTCTCTTTCGGTAATTCGATAAACGAGCACATCAGTAGATATATAAATGCAAACCTGTTTGCGAATCGCGCGCGTGCAAATATCTTTGCGTATGCATACCTTCTTGTAACTGTCGCCTGCGGCCAAGAAGGCACTCTTGCATCCTCCCTCTTTATTAACTGCTGAAGAGAAGCGAAGATGCCCGATGCAGCGGCAAGGGTATAAACAGCACCGACTTGCTTGTTAGCGCTTTGTTCGTTGCTATCATCCGTGAAAACCATGGCTTTTCTATTTCAATGTCTTTACATAATATTGATTCTCTTTTCTTTAAACTGCATCGCACAGAGAGTGCATAAAATATCTCAACAAGGTGCCGATTAATATTTGATTAATTATAGTACGATTATAATATATAGCAATTCGTTTCACGAATTATTATGTCTTCCTTTCAGGTTCGACACACATATATACTTCGACAACAAATCGACGTCCTTTGTTAAGTTCAACCAGAAGACCACCTTCTTTCACAACCACCGTTAAAATCACGTCGACGATGACAACAACAACGACGACGCCAACAACAACGACGACGCCAACAACAACGACGCCAACAACGACCACAAAATTCACCACGTCAAAACCTATTATTTTCGTGACATCGACGCAAAAACCATTAAAACCATGCCAACACGGACAATACTACCCTTATCCGAATTCATGTACGAGCTTCCTAGTCTGCGTAAACGGCGAACTCGTCTCGCGACAATGCGGCCCGGGTTTAAACTGGAATGTTGAAAAGAACATGTGTGATTGGGCCTTTAAAAACCCCTGTGTCGAGACCTCACCTCATAAAAACGCTCTGCTTGTGGGAAAAGATAACGTAAGTAAATTATTATAATATTATAATAATTAAGAAATAATTAATAGTATTGATGAGTTAAATAAATGCTCGCTGAACATTAATAAACATCAGTAATCGCTCAGAAATTAATACACGTGCTCGTGCACGTTTCTAGTTTGTTATGTCTTTTCTCGATATATCCGGTTCATTCATCATTGCATCTCCGCGATTTCTATTTATCGCATGACAGTCTGAGATAATTGATATTGATATCGCAATATTATTATTGCAATTACTTTAGACCTGCATCTCCGGCAGCTACAGTAGCGTACCAGGTGACTGCGGAAGCTACCAAGCATGTCTTTGGGGTCATCAAGAAGTGTTTAGTTGCGCGCCAGGTTTACATTTCAACAAAGAGACCCGTATTTGTGACTGGCCGGCTCGGGCAAAATGCGCGAACGATGACAAGGAAGCCACCACGCAGATAACAATACCCACGACGAATTTACCAGTTCAACCATCTTCGACTTCGCAGAAACCGGTCACGCAACCTACGGCTACGGAACAAACACTCGTTACGTCAACCACGAGCCAGCCTACATCGACCCTGCCTTCTGCAATTATAGATCCTGACAAAGTGTCCCCTCTATCTGGCGACTTTAAAGTAGTGTGTTATTTTACTAATTGGTCGTGGTACCGTCGCGGAATTGGCCGTTATCTTCCGGAACATATCGATCACACCTTGTGCACACACATCGTGTACGGTTTCGCGGTGCTAGATTATTCCGAGCTAGTGATTAAAGCTCATGATTCTTGGGCGGATTACGACAATCGTTTCTACGAGCGGGTAGTGGCTTACAAGAAACGGGGTCTTAAAGTACTTCTCGCGTTAGGCGGCTGGAATGATTCGGCTGGTGACAAGTACAGTCGATTGATACACAGTCTGTCTGCCAGAAACAAGTTTATCGATCATGCTATTCAATTCATAGAGAAATACGGCTTTGATGGCTTGGATCTTGATTGGGAATATCCTGTTTGTTGGCAGGTGAATTTATTTTTATTTAGTTTAATAATATATGCAGCTCTCGAATTTTTATTCCTTATTATTTTCTTTTTAATGACTTCGGAAATATTTGATCAATTTTGAATAACATGTAAAAGAAAGTCAAATGTAAAATTTAAATTTAATTATGTAATCTAATTGCCTTTATAAATTTTATAAATTTTTGTGTAAAATGTATACAGCTTTAATATTATATAATATGTAAATTATAGACATATTTATAATTGTCTTTTATATAATTCTTTATTAATTTTTTTAAATTTTTACAACAGGTGGATTGCAACAAGGGCCCAGATTCGGACAAAGAAAGATTCGCGACTTTATTGCAGGAATTGAGCGCAAAGTTCAAACCGAAAGGACTTTTACTCTCAGCAGCAGTCTCGCCGAGCAAGAAGGTAATCGACAAGGGCTACGATGTGCCGGCGCTGGCCAGATATTTAGATTGGATCGCCGTTATGGCATACGATTATCACGGACAATGGGATAAAAAAACTGGTCATGTGGCGCCCATGTATTATCATCCAGACGATGACTACTCTTATTTCAACGTTAATTATTCTATCAATTACTGGATTTCGAAGGGTGCGCCACCCAAGAGTATCGTTATGGGTATGCCATTGTACGGACAGTCCTTCACAATTAACGATCCGAGAGCGGGAACTGGTCTGAATTCCCCCGCTAGCGCTGGAAATGCCGGTGAATTCACCAGAGCTGCAGGTTTTCTATCTTATTACGAGATCTGTGATCGCGTGCGCAATCGCGGCTGGACAGTAGTGCAGGATCAAGAATACAGAATGGGCCCATATGCTTACAAAGGCAGCCAATGGGTCGGTTTCGATGACCCAGAAATGATTCGGCGGAAAGCGCAATTCATACGCGACATGGGCTTAGGTGGAGGCATGGTATGGGCTTTAGATTTGGACGATTTTCGCGGACGATGCGGCAACGGACCTCATCCGCTAATGCACGTGATCCAACAAGTGTTGGCGAAACCGCGAAGCGACATGTACATATGGTCCGAAAATCAGAAGCCAACAACAACGACGATGTCGGTCACCATCAAACCCACACAAACGATACAACCGACTATGTCAGTAGATCATACTACGCTTAATACTCCCAGAAACGAATTGAAAGTCATTTGCTACTTTTGCAATTGGGCCTGGTATCGACAGGAGGGCGGTAGATTCATGCCAGAAGACATAGATCCCGACCTCTGCACCCATGTGCTTTACGGATTTGCTGTTCTCGATGGTAGCAGCTTGACAATTAAGTCTCACGATCCTTGGGCTGACATAGACAACAAGTTTTACGAAAGGGTGGCGGCATTCAAGTCGAAGGGCCTGAAAGTACTAATGGCATTGGGCGGTTGGAATGATTCAGCTGGCGATAAATACAGCAGACTTGTAAACTCACCTACTGCTAGACAGAAATTTGTTGCGCAAGCTTTGCACTTTATCGAAAAATATGGTTTTGAAGGCCTAGACTTAGACTGGGAATATCCAGTGTGCTGGCAAGTGGATTGCAACAAAGGCCCAGAGTCTGATAAAGAAGGTTTCAGCCAGCTGGTAAAAGAACTGAGCGATGAATTCAAGCCGAGGGGGCTGCTTCTGTCCGCAGCTGTCTCACCGAGTAAAAGGGTAATCGACGCAGGATATGATGTTCCTGTTTTGTCAAAATATTTAGACTGGATATCTGTAATGACCTATGATTTCCATGGGCAATGGGACAAAAAGACAGGTCACGTGGCACCGTTATATCATCTTCCAAGCGACTGGGAGCCAACATTTAATGCCGTAAGTTTTATTCAAAGAATTAGTGATTATATAAGAATTATAGATAAGATAATTATTCAAAAATTATTTGTTTGTTATGACTAGAATTTTTCGATCCATTATTGGATAGAGAAAGGTGCGAATCCACAGAAGCTAGTCATGGGCGCTCCATTATACGGACAATCATTTTCATTGGCGGAAATAAATGTGCACGGATTAAATGCGCCAACTTATGGTGGTGGTGAGGCTGGAGAGGCAACCAGAGCAAGAGGCTTCTTATCATATTATGAGGTCATATATTTTTCATGAAATATAAAATAAAAGTATATCGTAATAAATTTCAATTATATAAGAAATATATATAAGATATATATAAGAATTATATATAAGAAAATATCAGTTTTTTGGAGAATGTTTATTCCGGCAATAAATAAATATTTATTCTTCTGTTCTGATTATGACAGATATGCGAAAGAACATTAAAAAGAGGCTGGACGGTTATTCAAGACAAAGAAAGGAGAATCGGTCCTTATGCTTACAAAGGTGATCAATGGGTGAGCTTCGACGACGCTCAACAAATTAAATTAAAAGCAGAATTTATTAAGAAACTTGGTCTTGCTGGTGGGATGGTCTGGGCTTTAGACCTGGACGATTTTAAGAACAGATGTGGCTGCGAACCTAGCCCGCTATTGAGAACGATGAATCGAGTGTTGAGAAACTATCCGGAGGGCCCGCTGTGTCCTGTTACGGAAGGTAAATTTTTTAATATTATTTTTAAAAAATTGATCAACCTATAATTGCATATACATGGGGAAAATTTAGATGAGAGAGAGAGATTTTATGCAAAATTAATTAATAATTTTTTTTAAATATATAAATATTAATATTTTTCTCTCACAAATATTAATATTTTTTCTTATTTTATAGTATTTATAATTTTTCTCACGTAATGTTTTTGAAATGTCATCTCTTTGGATTCAGGTACGGAAACTATCATAATCGATATTGACCAGACTGATATGGAGTCTACAACTGTCAGTGAACGTCCGATATATGAATCTACAACGTCGCCGAGGCCAACGTATACACCATCAATCACAACAACGACAGTGACAACGACGATAGAATCAGATACGGACGACACCATTGAGATCGAAGCGAGTTCGCCACCACCGATTGATTGCGGAGGACTTTTGTTCCTACCGCACCAAAGCGATTGCACCAAATATTATTTATGTAACTTCGGCAAGATCTCGGAACAGTCCTGTCCAACTGGACTGTTTTGGAATAAAAACCGATGTGATTGGCCGGAGAATACCAAGTGTACTCAGACTGCTCAGCGTCAAGTATGTAGCACTACTAATAGAACGATGAGTCTTTAATCTGAGATATAAATAGCCGTTTTAATAAAATTTTAAACGATTAGTCGCAAAGTTTACTTTTTCTATTTTATAGATAAGCATGTCGCCAAGACTGACAACAGTCGAAAATGCGAGCGATAAGAAGGTGGTTTGCTATTATACTTCTTGGTCTTCGAAACGGATGAGCTTTGGCAAATTTTTGCCAGAGGACATCGATGGAGAACTGTGCACGCATATCGTTTATGCCTTTGCTACGCTAAATATCAAGGAGTCGGAAAATAGGAGAAATACACCGACATTTACATTGAATGTCGACGATTCTACTGATATTTATAGACACTTTCTCAATAAAGCAGCAGAAGTTAGAAAAAAAAACGGCGTTAAAATATTACTCGGTTTAGGAGGATGGAACGACTCGAAGGACAACAAGTACAGCAGGTTGGCTGATTCGTCAACGATTGGACAGTTTGCACAATATACGGCGCAATTTGTTCAGAAGCACGGTTTCGATGGTTTGCATCTTAATTGGCAATTTCCGGTATGCTGGCAGGTAAATCAAAACATATGTCTTCTTGTTCTTAGTATGTTTTCAACAATGTTCTTATTATGTATTTTAAGAAAGATTTTTAGAAATCTTGTTGATTATATAAAAACATATAATTATGAGAATAATGCCCGATCATGTCTACTGCTCTCAAATTGAATATCTATTGATTTATTCTTGCCTTTAATTTATATATTAAATAATTTAAGTGAAGCAATCGATAGTCAACTACTGTCTAATATTCTGAAGCTAATAAAAATTCTGAATTACATATAAGATGAAAAATACATATAATAATATTATCTTCTAATATAAAATATCTAACATATTTAAGAAATATTATAATTTTAATTTTAATTCAGGAAATATTGAGCAAACAAATATTTTAATGTACATGTAAAATTGTGTTTTCTTTTCTTGCAGGCCGATTGTAATAACGGTCTTCAGCGCGATAGTTTCAACTTTTATCGCCTGCTTCATAAATTCAACGAAACTTTTAAATCTAAAGAACTTCTATTATCCATCGAGGTCTCAGCGAGCAAGATCGTCATTGATAACGCTTATATCGCGATTCCGTCCTTGGTACAATATGTGGATTGGATCGGCATAATGACATACGACTATCATAACTCCTGGGAACGCGAAACCGGTCATGTTGCACCGCTCTATTATTATCCTAGCGATGATACGGTATTTCTAAACGTCAACTTTTCCGTGAGATACTGGCTCGACAAGGGTGTACCGGCCAATAAGATTATCATGGGTATTCCCGCTTACGGATCGAGCTTCACTTTGGCCGTACCGCAAAATTATACCGTTGCATCCCCAGGCTTCCATGCAGAAGTCTCCGGACCTGGAGAACCTGGAAAATTCACGAAATCGTCCGGTTTCCTAGCTTATTATGAAATATGTGATAATGTGAGAAATGATGGCTGGTCCGTGACGAAAGATCCGGAAGGACGTGTGGGACCCTACGCATCGAAACGCTATCAGTGGGTCAGTTATGACGATATATCCGATATAGCGAGAAAGGTACGTGTAACAAAGATTATATAATAACGCTGTTTGTGCACAAATTGCATAGATGTTACATGATCGCATTTATAAAATTCAAGTCGCATATATCTAATGATGAAATAGCGCAGTTGCAAATTCATAAAAATCCAATTTGTATTTTTTGCAACGTCATATTGCGCGTTTAAGTTAACATGACATACATATATATGTACTTTTAGGCCGATCTGATAAAAGAACTAAACCTTGGCGGCGGTATGATCTGGTCTATTGATCTGGACGACTTCAAAAACCTATGCGGCTGCGGAAAGTATCCATTGCTGACGACCCTGAATCGCAAACTCGGAAGAAGGCAGCCCGGTCACGCGACCGATTGCACTTGAACTGCATAAGAGCGATAACGTGTATATCAAAGAATGTTGTTTTTATCGCGGTCATGACCCTTTATTTGATAATGTCGAGTGATCTTTTTATCTCTACTCTACCATGGAGCATGGAGATTCTAATCAAAATATTTACTATCATGAATATATAAATGTTGTGATTTCCAGTGGCTGATTTTTCTTTTAGTTTAAAAAGTGACGTAAATCAGCTTCTTTTACGTTGCCTAATACTTGTAATAATCATAAATATTTCTCGGAATTCTCTATCGAATAAAGGGTTAATCGAATGCAATCAATAAATGCATTATCAAGTGACACAAGTTGCTCAATACGAATACGAAAAATCGTAGCGAACTCTTTCTCAAATATTGGACACTGAGAAAAAGTCATTTCGAGTGTCGCTTAAATCCATTGTAAAAGTGTGATATCCTAATATTACATATTCATGCTTATGTGTTATTTTATTTTCTATATAGAGAAAATCAATTAATCCAGCCAAATTTTCGGGTGATTACATAAAAATCTCGGACGATTCGCGATCGCGAAATTGAAAATTCTCACAATAAATATGATACTACGTACTATACTATACTAATGCATTATAAGACGTACGTATATGCTTAATAATGTATATTGTGACACTCTTCCGGATGACGTGAATGAAAGTTTCGTAAATAAAGAAAAATAAGAAGAACATATGCATCGAAGATTGTCTCTTTTTCTGGCATATGCATCTTCACGTCACCTGAGAAGATTAATCTAAGAAGATTATCGTTTTAGTGTAAGTCTTATAATTAAGATTTTTATCTCACACGCGTTTATTAAATACATGATTGATTTTCTCGAGATTAAAGATTTAAAAATTAGTGAAATATGACTGAAAAAACAATAAATTACATATGACTGTTGTTTATAAACAACATACATAATATTATGATACATCATGATATTGCACATATTCGATTCTTGATGCGAAAAATGTAATAAAATAGTTATAAACTGATTATAATTCAAGATCATACAAAATAAAGGATAGAACCGAGCAAATTTGCATCATACAAAATAAAAGGACAAAAATCGAAAAAATTGCATATTACATGATCGCCAATTTAAAGTAGAACCAAAGTTCTTCGATTGAATTATATATCATGGAAATGTGTAACATTTATTGCAATATTAAACGATACATTTTAAAAGATATCTGCGATCATTTCCAAGTATACTATTAAATTTTCGTACAATCGAGTCTTTCTATCATATAAATATTTTCCACGAATATTCGATAAATCTATGATCAATTGCTGCATTAATTTACCTCGAGCGCATGAAAGCCGTCTTTAATATATTAATCCTAAGTTCGAATCTCGCGATTTTAATTAATCGCTTTTTATATCCCTCAATGAAAAGTTAATGAAATATTTCTATTAGCAAATATGCAGATTATCGATGAACTATAAAAACAGAGCCGAACACGCAATTAAGCTTAGTGCGTATAATTTTAATAATTAAATAAAATCACATTTGCCACAAGATTCATTTATTTCTCTTACAATCCTTGTGTGGTATCATTATCTCTATGTCCCTGAAACTTGTGTTGCGCAATAAAATAAAAACGCACTTGCTTTTACATAACAATATTAATAATTATTTATTGCGAGTATTAATTATATACTTGATTCAATTTCCGCGCGTGTCTGTTTCTGAATTAGATTCAAAACACGTGTTACCAGTCTCGTAAATTCCTGTCTAAAACCGCCGACGAGGCCGACTGCTGCTGACGCCAACCGTTGCACACAACTGTGACAACATCGGTAATAATGTTTGTGCCAAAGGAGTGGAAAGAAATGCCGTTAGTCGGATCGCAGGTTGCGTCGATGTTAGTTGGTATTCGAGAGTCACGATTGTAGCGACTTTTGTTTACGCACCGAACGATGAAAGACTCGATGGAAGAAAATCAAGGTACGTGCGTCTACGTCGAAGTAAAATACAGGAATTTGGTGGAGAATCCCGAAAAATCGGAGTTTTTCCAAGAATTTCTGTACAAAATTATAAATTATAAAAAAGGACTCTCTCTCTCTCTCTCTCTCTCTCTCTTGACAATTATATATATGTTGGATATTTTAAAATTAAAAATCTCTTTCCAATTTATTTTAATCGATTCATATATGTGGCTAATGTATCAAGAATGGAATTTTAATATATATTATTGTATTAAGATATAGATTTGCTTGTATATAAATAATCTTTATATACACTTATAAATTATTTGAATTTTAATAATTTTATATTTAATTTTATTTATATTTAATTTTATATTATTTTTAAATAATCTTAATCTAAATAATCTTTATGTACTCTAAAATTATTACAAGATTCTCTTACCAGAATTGAAATTATAAATTCCAATTCTTATAAATTCCAGTTCTTTGCTCAAGTTTATTTAAAGCCCACTATGCGGTTTAACAAGTGTCACCATTCCTGTTTGCAATGATGCAGCGATAATGATAAAATGAAGGAAGCACCTTTTAATCGAAAAATAATGATAAAATGAAGTAGCCACCTATTAATCGAAAACTTTAATTGCATTAACGAAAAATATATTTCGATGAGAGCGGTTAATTTTGTTAGAAAAAATGGAATAATACAATTAAAAATAATTAAAATATCATCATCTGTTATATACGGATTATATAAGTATACATACTCATTTTATTTGTTGTTACAAATTTTGTTATTATTTTCACGTGTGTCCGTTCAAAAATTAATACTACATATGTCGCAATTTTTTGCGTGAAAAATATATTAATAAATGCTCGTCACGTCTGCACCGATATCAGCTATTAATATACATAACACACACACATATATATATTAATAAACGCAGCTGATATCAGCGCAGACGAGACAAGCGTTCCACCTGTTAGGAACTTTTTCACACAAAAATTATAACATAGTAGTAAAAATTGTAACATAGTAAAAATTGTAACATAGTATTAATTCTTGAATGGACACACGTGAAAATAACAATATTATATCTGTTTTTTATTTGTTATTTATCGATATATACTAACGAATTGTGCATTGCACACGAGTCGCATAGCTTCACCTAATCCAATATTTTTGCGATAATGAGGAGGCTTTATATATAAAAATAGGCGAGTTGTGTACGTGATAAAAGAGTAAACTTTGCGATTGGTCATTAAATACCTCCACTTTCTTTTATGCCCGCCATTGTTTGCATTTCCTGGAATGAAATAGGAAGAGAAAGAAATAAGTAGAAAATATAATTAAGAAATGCATTTGTGTACATGTGTGTTTATTTTGTGTGCATGTGTGTGTGCGCGATAATGGAAATGGAAATGTAAATTTCAACATTTTCTTGTTTCGTTTATTTTCATAAATTAGCATTAATTACATATATTCACAAGTCACACGAATGCTGATGAAACGCTCGTATGCATGAAAATATGATCATATAAAATGTCTAAAAAGAACAAAGTCTGATTTATCTAAATATATGTAAATTAGAAAAAATAGTCGTTTTGTTGACGAAACGACTATTTTTGCTCCTGGAATATTTCATCTTTTTTATCAAAATTAAATAAATTTCTTTTAACGCTATATTAAAAATTCTTTTGCGCTTAAAATATGTATATTTGAAATTCGGAAAAATACAAAAAAAAGAAGAAAAATAACGAGAGAAAAATAATAAAACCTAAAAAGATAGATTTGACAAACACATTCGACATTTTACATTCAGTGATTTCGTTTTATTTAAATTTAAATTCTCAATTTTTATTCGACTCATATTTTTAATTATTCCACCATGCAATTCCGATTAAAATTTTATTAGCGCATCTGTTTTCACCACAATATTTATTTACACAATGGAAAGTAAAATAAAATTTGTCATAATATTTTGAAAAATGCGTGAGAAATGACAGGTAAAGAAAAGCGAGTTCAATTTCGTATCCTTTATCTGTTTGTATTTTTTGTACATATATTATTTTTTCTATCACAATTGCAAAAGTACGAAAGAAAAATTATAAAATAAAAAAGATATACCTGCTCGTTCAAGCTTGGCAAATATATCGCGAAATATTCCGCCTGCGAAACTCTCGATTCAAGTTACCTCGAAGTCTTCGATTGATAAATAAATGAAAGGGGAAATCATAGATTCGTAAACGAACGAGATAGGTAGCTTTCCACGTAAAGTAAAACATCTGACTCAATGTCACTCGGTTTGGCAAATTTCCTAGGGCTTTAAAAATCCTCTATTCGATAGCCAATTGCATGGCATGTGGTGTCTACCTGCGTTTTCTCGCGGGAAGACTCCCCTTATTGATGTTGCATTCACCATGCATGAAAGATCATATGTCAACACCGCGTTTAATCTCTTGCATCACGATATCCTCGACCCCGGTCACCTCGACGCACATTATACGACATGACAATAGGTATAAACAAGCTCTTTTCTAGTCTGAGAAAGATGAATCACGTGCTCAGGTTCCTCGGAGAAGAGAAAAAAAAAAAGAAAATCGAAAGAGCACCCTGGAATTATTATTGATCGTCATTAACACAACTGAAGTTTGAAATTTCTCTTTTGTAGAAACCGATGTCTCCGCGCTGTGCATCGACGTGTCAAAGGTGAAATCATTGTCCGGAGAATCACGGAAATCCGTAAGTTTTTCCTTATTTTCGTTCATTGATTGAAGTGCGCATTTTAATTGGTTCTTGCAGTCGTTACTAGTTATTTTTGGATCCTAATCTAAAAAGATATGATATCTTTTATTTCTATTATTATTTCTTAATATTATGTATATATTTATTTTATTTTTTTTTTTTTCAAATTAAGATACTTTTTAATTTTTAAATATTATAGTCTTATTAAGAATTTATTTTTAATAATTCTTTCTAGATAGCTTACGAGATTACTGTTATGTTGACGACAATTGTTGAAAGTACAACAATATAATTAATCATATTATCAACATGACAGTAATATAATCAATCGATATGATTAATCATGCTTGGTTATCTAGGAGTGAAGGTTTCTAATATGACATTTTTTACATTATTAATTTGATTTTGTCATATTATATAATATGTCACAAAATCAAATTATTGGCAATTAACATCAATATTAACAAATTGAAAAAAATATAAGCTGTAAACTCATTTGAATACATATATATAAAATATCATATATTACATTATATTAGCAATTATTCCATTTAAATCTAACTTTATTCAATCGAAAAAATAATGCATATCTCAATTATCACGTATCATTTTCATCTTTAATGTAATTTTCTGTCTTTAATCATTTGCAGTCCTACCATTAAAGATGTGTGATTTGCTAATTTTTTTATGTATATATTTAAGTAATTTTGTTTAATATTATAATCTCTATAATAATCTTAAAAATGTTTTTTTCTCATTATATATTTTTCATTATATATTATACAATATTTTAACATACTAATAAAATATTTTTTCATTAATTTAAAATTTGTTTTGATCTATTAAAAACATTTAATAAAATTTTTAAGTCATTATACATAAGAAAATTCTCTAAATTATTGAGATATGCTATTAATATCTGCTAGAGATATGCATTTAATATCTCTTTTCAATAACAAAATTTTAAAAAAGTAACAGGATTTTTAGAGAAATATATGAAAGAAATATTTTAAGAAAATGTTGAGATTAAAATATTAAAATATTGCAAATAAGAGAATGTTTTGCTAATACAATATTTGTAATATCGATTTTATATCAATGCATGTTTTTTAATAGTAATAATTCTGCAAATAATAACTCAGAAAATATCATGTATATTTATAGGAGTATTATAATTTAGAATTGGAGATATTTTGACATATATATGCAAATACATATATACATACATACATACATACATACATACATACATACATACATACATACATACATACATACATACATACATACATACATACATACATATTACATACATAATTATGGTGCATTTAATTCTCAATTAAAAAACAAAGAATATTGTGGATATATATGTGAATATATGTGTACACACAAGTGTTTGAGTGCTCTAAGATAAACAACCTGAGAGTTATAACTGTATTCTCTATGATAAATTCATAATAATGCATGGTTGGCTATCTGAACAGTTTACAGGTATGCCCACGGTGTGTGGTTTTATTGAGTTTTGTTCCATCATTCCTGGCTTTCCCATGTTATCACTGATTGGTCTACGAGGGTGCAACACTTCATATTGCTTACGATGCTTAATTATATAAGCGGTATGGTCTTCTGTTTTTTTTCATATCATTATTTTTTAAGAGATTGGTGAAGACTCTTACCATTTATAGGTACAGATTAGATATCAGGTATAATCTCTATTTGATACTTACTGACGAAAATCCGAAATTATCGCGTGATTTTTTTGTATTTCTTTTTTTCTCTTCTTTTTTAATCTTATTCTACAAGATCAGCAAAAAGAAGTAAATATAGTTACAGTATTTGTTAAATTATTCTAAGATATTTGTTTCACAATATGGAAATAATTTAATGCATATTTACATTCTGCATTAAACAATTTTTTATTGTTATATAAAGCGGATGTCTGAAGATTCCACTGTGTAATTGGATCATGATATGAAACTGTCAGAATTCAGCTCTTCATCGCCATATTAAGAATTGTACCAACAGATGCTGCAAGTTATGTTCATCTGCAGATTATGTTGATATAACTCTTGTTATTAATTAAATTCATTCATTCATTTCTTGTGATTATTAAGCGTGTTAAGTATAACTCATTGGACATTAATAACATCTGCTATTTATAAGAATTAATAAAAATTTCTCCAAGTTATATTGTTTTTGTTACGCAAAACAAATATTTATTATACGTAATGAACCATTCACCTTTCGCTTAAAAGGGATAAGATAGATATGGACTTTTTTGTAATATAAATATTAATCTATATAATTTCTTTTATAGGATTGTAACAATGTGCGCTATGCCGATCCAGGAGGTTGGACCCCACTGCTGGTACTGGGTGGTGCCACTTGCTGTCTGGGATCAGCACTACCAGCAGGATATAACATAGGTGTTATGAACAATCCTGCTGATGTTTGTAACATTTCAATTTGTTGATTTCTATTGAGTATATAATAGTATCGGAAACTATTTATACTAACTATTTTTGGCTTGTAGCTTATGAAATCTTTCTGCAATGATAGCATCAGAGAGAACTATAATATACAATTGTCCAACCATGAGCTGCAAATACTCTGGTCCGCTATAGTATCCATCTTTCTAATCGGTGGTGTATCTGGATCTTTAATTGCTAGCTGGCTAAGTGATCGATATGGACGGAAAGGTGCGCTGATTATGGGCAATATATGCGGAATTGTAGGAGCTATCCTATTTTTGCTTGTACGAAGCGTGAACTCGGTCGAATTTTTCCTGATTGCTCGAGTGATCGTTGGTGAGTCAAAAAATTATAATTGAACTTTTTTTTGTTACTAGAAATTAATTGATGCGAGAATACAATATCTGTAGATTGAAATAATGCGAGAGTAAATATAAGAAAATAATTTATATAATAAATTTTTATAATATTTTTATAATAAATATATTTTTATAATTTTATAATTTATATAATAAATTTTATTTCTTTAATTTGAGTTGTGAGTGTTCAAGATTTAAGTCTTCTAAATGTCCATAGGACTTTCCGGCGGTCTAGCCACTTCCTTACTGCCGATGTACATGACAGAAATAGCACCTTTAAAGTTACGAGGTGCTGTCGGAGTTTTATGTCAATTAGGCATCACCTGCGGCGTACTGATGGGTCAAATTGCCGGATTAAAGACCGTCCTAGGTACTCCTGAATCGTGGCATATTATGTTAGCATCTTTCTCACCACTATGTATCGCTGCACTGTTAGTGACTATCGCTTTGCCAGAAAGTCCAAAGTATTTGTACATAATCAAAGGAGAACAGGGAAAGGCTCTTAAAGGTACATATAACTTTTATAAACGATTATTCGAGTAGATTTGTACGCAAGTATTCTGACTTTCCCATGAGAGTTTTTTTAAATTTTTTATTACTCCACCAAATTACCTGTAAGATGTTGAGTTTTCTGAATTTCAATTTCTTTTAGAACTCAAGCGTTTGCGCAATATGGATATAATGCTCTTGCAAAACGAGATCACCAGTTTGCAACAAGAACTGGCAATGAGATCGACAAGTGAGAAATGGAGTATCCAGCGCGTATTGAAAGAGCCGACTGTGAGACTGCCATTGTTCCTAGTGTGCCTAATGCAAGCCGGTCAGCAACTCTCCGGCATTAATGCAATTTTTTATTACTCGAATTCGATATTTCTTGAAGCTGGTCTTGGAATTACCGGTGCTCAATATGCGACTTTAGGCACAGGCGTCGCCAACATTCTCATGGCAATTATCTCTGTGCCAATAATGTCGTTTTTTAGTAGGAGGACAGTATTATTTCTGAGCTGTTACTTGTGCGCGGGATGCCTTACAGCCCTGTGTGTCTTTATTATACTAATCGTAAGTATATGGAAAATTATTTTTATTATATATTATAATTTTAACAATACAAATGGTAATTCAAAGCAATTTAAAATAATATGAAATTTCAATTTGGTGAGATAGTGTCTTAAAATGATTCGTCTCTTTACAGCACACAGCTTCGTTCATGCCAGTGTTTTGTACCATTGCGTTACTCGCATATGTCGTATTTTACGGTATCGGTCTCGGCCCGATACCCTTTTTCATCGGTTCCGAACTATTCGACGTTGGTCCTAGACCTGCCGCTATGTCGTTAGGCAGCGTATTTAATTGGGGAGGAAATTTCGTCGTCGGAATGTTATTTCCTTCATTACAAGCCGCGATTGGCCCGTATGTTTTCCTAATCTTCGCCGTAATCACATTGATTTTGGCGCAAGTCAATCGGTGCGTAGCTAAGCAATTGTATCGTAGATTAAACCCGCAATTTTTCTACTCATAATGCAATAAATTATTGTAAAATATTTATTTCAGAGTTTATCTACCTGAAACACAAGGTCGAAGCACGACGGATATAGCGGCAGTCATGACTCGAGGTTTTAAATCAAGACCGAATGCAATGCTGGCTACATAAATCTCTAACATATAATTTAAATATTTTTACGTAATGATTAGGTACTTTTTATATGGCTTTTTAACGGAATCGACAAACCATTAGCACAATGATGCGCGAATAATAATTCGCGCATTATTCTCACTCAGTCGCACGCTAAACAATTTGTAAATAATTCTTCCCGATACATATATAATATTTGGGTAAGAGCCAAGTATGCGCTTCGCAGGAAAATTTTATACTATTATACATGACTATTTGTGTATATTTGCGAATATTGGAATTAATGACGCAGAATGATATTCACATGTGATGAGACGATTAGAATATGTGGTTAAGATTTTTACATTTGTACATTTCAACATGTCTAATTATAAATTTTATATCGCAATCACGATATTAAAAGAAATCACTGCCGATATATGACATTCGATTTATTCCAAACAGATCTGCAATATTTAACATTCAGTGTTCTTGAAAAATTTTTTTTACAAAATTTTATTTCTACTATATATATATAAATTTAATTAATTTAATTATATAAAATTTACTTTTTCAAGTTACAAACTAACTCGATTGATTTCGTATTCTAAATTTGTTGTACAATTGATCTAATTTCTCGTAAAATACCAAGCATAAAACTGTATGCGGTGCTATTCTCAACCATGTTGGGAACGTTCCTTTGTATAGGCCAGTCAAACCCTCCGCGCGAAATATCTTGATGAGCGCGTCTCCGAGTCCTTTGTACAAGGTGCCCTTCCCGCTTGCGTCTGTCTCTATATTTAGATAACAATTTGCAGTTTAAAATTAATAATAAACGTATCAGCGTGCTTTGTAATGTTATTCAAATATTAATATAAATATAGTTAAAAATATAAATAGAATATTAATATAGATATACGCGATATACTAATTCTTCAACTTTTAAACATTTTCTCTCTCTATAATCAAATCTCTTTTATATTAAGATTCTAAAAGCTTTACGACTGCGGAATATTTATAGAAACACGTATTAAGATCGTATTTATAGTACACGCGTATACGTATTTATTTATAGTTGCGCATACCAAGTTATAAATATAGTTATTAATATAATGTTATTGTAATTTATGCAAATGCGAATGCGTTTTCTGATCGTCAGTATAATACGAAAAAGTATTTTATTAGTGGGTAAGAGATACGTAGAATCTATTTTGCGAATAGATTTTACGTTCTTTAGGAACAAATCTATGATTCGAGCGTTTTTACTATCTTGAGATTCTGCGTATTGTTCATTGACATAGTAGTAGTTGTACTTAAAACATAATCGTGGCCTTTGTTAATATAACACAATTTAAACACGCGAGTACTCTCGCGTAGTGTACTTACTTTGATTGTACAACCGCGTTGCCAGAACGTCAAACGGCTGCATGGCAACGGCTACGCAGCTGCCTCCGATCGCGGAGGCCAAAAAGGTCAACAATATCGGACGATCTGGAAATATCTGAGAGAAATTAAGAACGTCTCGTTGCCTCGAATATCACACTGGAGACCTACTCTTTAATCTCTTCTCTACCCAAGATTGGGATATCTTTTATCGTACATTTTTTATTCATGAAATTTGTAATATTGTCGAGGATTTCTCATGTGATCGTTCCCTTCCAGATGCTCGTCAAGTTGTTGCACGAGCGAGCAATGGAAAATTTTCTTTTTCCTCCAGTGTGAGGAAGATGATATTTAATAGCGATGTTACTTACATCCAGCGAGCGTAACCAGTCGAACGCTATTCCGAATGTGGTCAACTGCGTCGCCGAGCCGACGAACAGGCGCGGCAATCCGGCGTACCATCCTCGATACAGGCCCGCGACGCCGCCTTCCGCCCACAGAGACTTGTAAGCGTCCCATGATCCCGAGTGACTGTGCTGATAACCCACGGCAATGGATTTCGCGGATTGCGCTTGTAACTGCGTCTTGACCTATAAGATAATTAAACCATGTAATTCACATGTACAAACATGCGTCCTGATTAGCTACATTTTTAGACACAGGGATATTTATAATCCTATATATCTTTATTAAATCACTTTTTGCTATGTATATGTATCTGTCGATACTCCTGCGAGAGCCTTTGCGTCGTCTTTAATCATACTTTAAATTGTATACAATTAACATTGTTAATTGTACACCTTAATCTTTTATCTATTAATTAAGAACGTTATAGTTTTAGTGGAAGGGAAGAGGATTACCAAGTAGAATGGACTGCCGAGCGCGGCGCCAACGCAACCGGCGATGCCGGACACCAAGGCGGTCCGCAGGACATCGGTGTTGCCCTGTGCATCGACGATCAACTCGTACCTCTGTGCGGACTTGTAGGCGCCCAAACGAATACCGTTGAGCACGACTTGAAAGATGAGGGCAGGCACAAGACCGGCCTGCAAAGCGAGAGCACCCTCGTGCTTGGCTATGAGATACCCCACGTGCAGAGTGTTTTTGTATATCCTCTTGTACGAACCGCGCGCTTCCAGTTCACCCTGCAACTGCAATCGTACCTTCACCACGTCCACGGGATTCGTGAAGAAGCCGGCGCCTACAGCTGCCAAGCCGCCGATCGCGAATTCCACGCCCGGTCTGATAAACAAACAAAGAAGATTAATAGAATCATAAATGCGATAATTTAAAGTAAACATTACACACGCGATTTAATCTTATCTTTATTTTCATCGGTTTAGGAAAGTAGTTGTCCTAATAATGTTTAAGTATCAAAAAATTTATTCACATAATTTTTAACGCCATATAATTTTTATGTAATTATATTTACATAATTTTATATTATTTTATAGAATTATATGTAGATATTTATCTCATTATATTTTTTTATATTTATATATTTTTATTTATATAATTATATTTCTTTGTAATTTTTATATTTTTTATAATTTTATTTTCATGGAATTATTAACAATTGATTAATTTCATGGAATTATAATTATTAATATATATATTGATTAATTCATTTATTTAAGGAGACAATTTTATATAAAATAATGAATCATGATTTTTACAGGTCAAATATTTTTCATTCATTTGTCTTTGGATTTTCCGCGCGTTCATAATCAATTTTAGTTATCAACTTTACATACGGATCCAAATCAATCTTCCATAAATTTTTAATCACATTTATATTCTCGGAAAGCATCGGACATAGATACATACAATTATAAAAATACCTATTGCGTTGTTCACATATTATCACAATCTTAAAATAAAATAATCGGCCTTTAAATTATAAATCCATGAAATTAAACTTGAAATTAGAAATAAAAGATTTTTTTAAGTTTCGAATTTTTTTATATTTTTATTATGAAAACAGCGACTCTAAGTTGATCAAAAGGAGAATCTAAATAAATTTAATACACATCGCACTTTGCGTATTCACGTCGAGATTCGAGATGACTGGCCAGTTTTAATCTTCTCTTTCACAATTTCAACTACACTGGTTGGACAACCTTACCAGTTCCCATTCTTACGTAACAATCGTGTATCACGCGTCTCACCGGTGTAACGAGTTACAAGTTGGACAACAAACTGAGCCGAGAACAGCGAATGAACCGCGACGCTCGGAAGACTCGCACGCAAAACTCACGGTTTTCTATTGCTGTTGGACGTGGTGTTCATTTCTCGGAAGGAAACTGACAGAACGGATATCCAGCTTTTGCGCTATGTATACCACGCACGATCAACATCTGACATATATCGGACGCGGCGCCGGCGCGACGTCGAGCTCAAATCATGACTATGCTCTAACTCTGTCGAATCTTACATCATTTTCCCCATATGTCTGTCATGTGATTATTACTGATTACATACATTTATCGTTATTATATATTGTTATCATTGTTTGAATGAAATATCCATAATAATCTTGACATGTACAGATAAAGGCACTTTTTTAATGCTTTATGTATTTCTCAAGACAAAAAATATAAAACTATTTGAAGAAATAAGTCAATTCAGACAAAAGTTAATAGAAATTAAGCATTGAGACTATTTCATGAGATTGAGGAATTATTCCAATAGTTTTTAAACTTCATAAGCTTTTTAAACAATTATTTTTTTGTTAATTTAAAGAATAAATTATAGCTAATCTCTCTCAAATTTCTCTTTATATTACATTAAATATACATTTTATTTTAAATTTTTTGCAAACAAAATGAAATTATGTATTGAAAAAATTATGTATAGAAATTATGTATTGAAAATAATTTTCTTTTATTAATAATGTAGATGTAACAAGAATTTTACTAGGTAAAAATAACTTTTATTACATACTTTAATGCGATAAGATATATTGATGAGTCATAAATTTTATTAATTTGAAATTTTATCATTAGTGGATTGCTTTTCACAGCCTATTTGCAACTTTACAAATGCAATTATAGTTGAATTAAAATTAAATTTACTGTTATAATTAAGAAGTTATATACACTTTATACAAATGTAGGAAAAAAGATAATTCTGTATTCCTTGGAATAATCAATATGAATTTAGTTGTTTAATTTCAATTTTGAAACAATATTCTTATGCAACGGACAAACTTCCACCAGCTTTAGAGATCTTTGCAATTTCTTCCTTGAATTTTGCAATTGTTTCTTTTGCTAATGTTAATTTTTCTTTGAGATCTATCACTTCTAATCTTATCTTGTTGCGTGCTTCCAAAATGTCTTTCATTGTAGACTCTTTCTTTGCTTCGACTGTAAAAGTAAATATAAAAAATTTATTCAATTCATTCAATTATATTTAAAAATTATTGGAAATAATATATACTGTTATACAAACAGTCTGTATTATGCCGCCAAACGCCAAGTGTCATAGGTCTACTGGCATTTAACAAATGTTGCATCAACGCTGTTGGATCTTGAAAGACTATTTCTTCATAAAATTCAGAAACTAGACTTTCTTTTCCCAACTGTATCTCAGGTGTTGATTGAAACAATTTTAACACATGATATATTGTTACCTAAAATTATAGCATTTCTATTTAGTTGATGAAATAGTGATAGTTTACGAGGCATATTTTTCTAATCTCATGGTAAGCTTTTCACTTACGGGACGTTCATTCGGATCATGAAAATAGATCTTAATGACTATTTCGAATTCTCCCCAACCAGTTTCTGTTAATTCGTACGGTGGCTTGGTCACAATTCGATTAGGATTATTATAGCTCTCGTGTAGTTTAAAATGCACCTTCTTCACATAAACAGACATTTCCTCATTATGATATGGTTTGACATATACAGTCCATTGATGGGTATGACCATCCTCCTCTCTCTTTTTATCAAAGTAACGTGCCACATTGCCATAAACTATAGGCTTAACAATGGTAATTCCCTGTTGACAAACAACTAGTGATATAAAAATAACGTTAAATTAATTTCTCTATCATTCTTAAGTCCATATTCTGAATCCTCTTTTATCGATAAAAGGGCTTTTAAAAGTGGCTTGTAGCCAATCAGAAGGCTTATATGCCACTTTTATTATAAAAGAGGATTCAGAATATGGGCCTTAGCGTCAAAATGTCATAGGTTAAACCGTTAAAACGTTCCAATGAAAAGCTTGATCACCTTCATTCTACCACCAGAATCCGGACCGAATTCATTTGTAGATGCCATCATGTTCGATAGAATTGAAATCGCATATTTTTTAGACGAAGAGTTAATATATTAAAATAATTATATCTAATTCAAACAGCACATCTCTCTCTCGAGATTCCTTGAGCTCTCACACTCTCATGTTTGTTTTACTTTTTGAGCGCTCTCTGACGGACGATGAAACTACTAAAAATCAGAGGAATTACTTATCTTTATTAACAGAGGAATTACTTATATTTAAGAATATAAAACAAATATAGATTTTTATAGTATTTTATAGAATAATTAATATGTAGATACTTTAATATCAGTAATATATAATATAATTTTATTAGTGTATAAATATTACATATTAATATTTTAGAATTATGTGATGGCAAAAGTTCTTTTTTGCGAAAGAAAAAATTAAAAATACATAAGATGATGGATAATTTTGTTTCTCAAATTTTATTATTCAGGATATTTTTGCTCATAATAAGAAAGTTCTACTAATTTAGATTATATTAATATTTATTTTACATGTGTATTAAGAAAAAATGTATATATTTACAGAATGTATATATTTTCAGAATAACAAAAAGATCAGAATATCGAAAAATGTGAGTTGTACAAAAAAATTCAGATGTTTCAGATAAAAGTTGTAGGGCTTGAAATGATCTATTTACTGATCTTATCAGGTTGAACTTGAATGGCGTCGCCAAGATCAGAATAAGATAATCTTAAATTAATATTTTGGAAAGCTCTCGAGATAAGCTATAATAAGCAATAAAAAATAAGGAGTTCTGTTTAAAAAAATAAAGGTTACCTTCAAACGACTATCCAAAGTCAAATTGATAAGATCAGTAAATAAATCATTTCAAGCCCTACAACTTTTATCTGAAACATTTTTTTGTATAACTCATATTTTTCGAGATAATCCAGTGTCCCGACCTTTTTATTACATCCTGTATATTTATATAAAAATAGGACTGCAACAGAACAAATATATAATTTGTCGAATAGGTTTTAAATCAGTAGATGGATTCATAAAATTGTATTATTTATTATAAGTCAAGTTTCTCATTGATTAAGAGATACATACGTATCGGGCGTAATTGAAATTGATAGCTATTTAATATACGAGAGATTGCGACGCGTATAGATATATGACATACGTATATTAGATAAAACGGACTGAAAATTGTACGTATCCAGTAGTTTATTTGGAAGTGTATTATCGCACAATATACTTGTACTATACCTTGATAGTTTTTTTACATAGTCGAGTATTATTATCAACGTCACAGTTTTACAATATTTGGCTCGAATCGCTCTATGTATTCGATTGATTCAAAGATAATTCCAAAGAAATAATGTCTCAAACGATATATACGTATACAAAAGGATATTTGTTTTTTTTTAACTTCAAATTCGTAAACAATTCGTGCTTTGAAATATTCACCAGGCGCGAGAATAAGATGTCTCGGAATTATATTATGTGTATATATACACACATACGGTATATATTGTCTCGTGGATGTTTCCAGCAAGAGGCAAATACTTCAAAGCAAGCTCAAAGTACGCGTACGAGTTACGCTTACGTCGCATGCCAATAATAACAGTTCAGAAAAAATTCAATATCTGAACTAATATCACTTAAGAGAGATGCACGTCTACAGGTATATAATCGTCAAATTTTTCATCGACGATTACCTCGATATCACATTCTTGCTACTTACCTAGACACGCGCCAATCAAAAAATATAAAAATCACAAAATACTCGCGTACTTTCTCTCTCTTTCTCTTTCTTTCTTTTCCTGCAGAACTTGCATTGTCACACAGAATCTTCCATCTGTGCCTATTTGTTTCTCATAAGAGGATACAATTGTCAGTTGTGTTGATTAGCATCTCGTCTTTAGGTTGTCTGACACATAGGAAGAAAGGATTCGGATGTGCGTGCTGATTTGACGTACACGGAGGGGTAAGTGGCAGCCAGCTGCCGGAATCTATGTTCTGCTTCAGCGTTCCGGTATATCAACGTAGATAGATAGGAAATGGTTGCGCCATGCTTATATAAAAGCTTGTCGTTATCACGTGCGTAATACTTTCTCTTTTCCTCTGAATCGTTCCTCCAGATATCCCGGGATCTGAAAATTGAAAGTTTTACAATGGGCAGCTTTTTTAGCGTTCATTAATATGTTCCACAAAAGAAAATGATCTACTCATGTAGAGAAGAATATTATCTTCTATTGTAGATACACATGTTCTGTTATGTACAACTTTATTGCAAGATTTTATTGGCAAGCTAAAACAAAATTACATTGGTGCTACAGCTTTAAATTTTGATCTTTAATGAATAATTTTATGTTGCAATCTCATTATTACGTAATATCTGATGCGCAAGTATATTTAAATATATTGCATATTTTTTATAATATTTTTTATAAAATATTATTTTATCTTATCTTATCTTTAAATTTTATTTAATCCACACTTTATAAGCAAAATTTATTTCCTAAGATATTTTATCTTCTTCTTAAGCTGTCTTATAAGATAAGATACGTTCCTAAGATATTTTATAAGAAAAAAAGCATTAAAGGAACATTGTTATTTAGTTTTATCATCATTATTACAATTTACTTGTTACTGCTATTAATTGAATTGTAAAATGTTTAATAATCTTTGCATAATTCTGCAATTACATAGTAATAAGTAGAAATTAAATATAATTGCTGACTCACTGTGAGTAAACAAGCTTTAAACATATGTCATATCATGCTCTTTAACAAAATTATTCATGATGATTTAACAAAATCAATGCTTATACTATTCTGAAAAAAATGGCATAGTTAATTAGAAATACATATTAACAATTTTCTACTAAAAGTATGATTATAAACAATATTATTTAAAATTTAAAAGAGAATAGTGTTGCACAATTTACACAACATAATTTCATATAATATAATATATGAAATTTGAAGTATTAGTGTGCAAATGCATTGTGCTTATCTTACAATTAGATCTATATTAAAAAATGCATGCGTCGGATCTATAATTCATGAAAGCAATTTGATTTGGACGAGGATGTAGATGATTCTAGGATGACGTTTTGATTAGATATAAGAAAATGGTCCATTTTTCCACTACAGCTAATAGTATCAGGTACTCTGAGAACATCAAAACATAAGGAACGCATAAGAATTAAAATCTTTTATTGATACAGTGTGTTGGAGAAAGATTGGCAAGCAAAGGAGAGTATATTTGCTTCCGCGATCTCTTTTAGTAAGTAAAGCGAGGGTAGAAAAGTAAATCACAATTATTAGGATTTTACGATTATTTCTACCTTTGGTTTTGGCCGATGAGTGTCCACAGCTTCTATCGGTAATCGAATGTTTTCCACCTTACAACCGTAAGCGACTGGTGTTAATTTCATAATGGTGTGCAAAGGCACTTCCAAATACGGTAGTTCATCTGCAATGGAAGCAAAATAATTTGAGAAATTAATTATACATGACTTCCTTGGAAGAAAAAAAAGTTTGAGACATCTTACATATGCAGGTTTCCCGCATAAATCAATATCAGTGTTTTATATTAGAAATCATACAACGCCGATAACAAGATTTGACGAGTGAAAACAAACTATTCGAGAACGCGATGGCACAAATAATTACATTGTTATAATTCGTTTTTGCATGCATGAGTATTTATCATTTATTTTCTCGGCACGTTTCAATATGAAGGTCAAAAGTTGCGCGCAGCATCTCGTATATCAACATCTGAATTCTCGGAAGTGAGTCTATGAATCATACAAGTGTTAGCGATTATACTTGGTGGATTATACCGTTTTCTTTGCATGCATAAACGATAGGAAGGACAAGTTTCATGAAATATCTCGCAAAATATACTGACCTGCGCTTTTGTCCAGGAAATAAGCGAGCAAACATCGTAGAACGGCTTGATGACTTACGACCAAAACGTTACCCTGACGTTCCAATTCCATTATCACAGGCTCTAGCCGTGCAACAAGATCCTCGTAACTTTCCCCTCTCGGATACCGATATGAGAACTTGTTTTGATCTCTGGCAGCGAAATCGGTTGGATACTTCCCGGATATTTCTTCGTAAGTCATTTCCTCGCAAATACCCTGAGGTAATTCACAGAAAAACACAAAGGTAAGAAATTGATTGATTAAAACTAATTTATTCGATGCGCTTCAACTTACGGCATCAATCTCGTTGAGAGCCTTCCACCTTTCTTGCGGTGCCTCTACATCAGCCGCGGTCTGAATGGTCCTCTTCAGCCAGCTAGTCCAAACTCTTAAACCCTATAAATAAACGTACAAGTAAAAACACTTTGATAATATATATATGTGAAAGATTTTATTGCTTATATAACAAATTGTTATTTTCCTAGATGATATATCTTCGTATTGTCGAAAAAACTGGTACCACGTAAGACTCTAGAACGATCAGAATAAAAACACTCGACAAGGAAAAGAATATGATGATTATAAAATTATTTACACAAGTATAATATTAATAAATTAATAAAAAATATATGTTAAAAAATTCGCGGAAAGATTACCTGTATGTTTTGACCGGTAATGTATTCTGCCAGTGCCTTGCTATATTCATGTCCCCGCTCGGTCAAGTTCGAATCACCGCCTATCCTGCCCTCGAGGTTCATCAGGCTCTCACCGTGCCTGGTCAAGTAAATGGTGCGTGGCACAATATGAATGTTCATAAGATAGTAAACTATTCTACTTTGTATATGGCCTTCGTGCTTATGGACCAGCACCTTCTCGCCGGTGTTGTATATTTTCATAAACGACAGGTCGCTCTCGCGCTCCTCGTCCAACGGCTCGTACTGCTCCTGATAATGCTCGATTCGCAGCATGAAGTCGGCAAGTACATCCTCCTTCTTCATATTCGCGTAATCCGGACTGCTGACCTTCACCTGAATAGAAAAAATATCATGTTTAGATTCATGACTTGTCAGTACTAAAGCTTTTAATCTTCACGAAGAGGAATATTAGCGGCGCAATCTCTATCTTTGAAACATACTTCCATGATGTTCTGCTCGACGATCTCCGGGTCGTTGCACACCGACTCGACGAAGAAGAGCTTGAAGCCCTTGCGGACAACGATGTCTCGTATGAGCTGGCGTCTCTCGACCGTGGAGTTGGTGGCGTCGAAGACGGCCACTTCGCCATCGCTTCTCTCCAACCACCTGCAGACGTCGTTCAGAGCATCCTTGGCGCACTGCGTCCGGATCGCCATGGCTTTTATGTTATCGGGACGGAAAAACTCGTGGCATTGATAGGCCGTGGTGGCGTGTCGTCTGTATTCGCCCAAGTTGAAGACCTTGGTGCTGATGCCGATCCAGTTGAGGTATCGGCACAGTTTCTTGGATATGTAAGTCTTGCCACGAGCCGGCAAACCCACCATCGCGATCACGTGAGGCTTGTTCACGAAATTCGCACGTTCACCTGCAAAAAAAAGTATCGAAGCCTGATGAAATGCATCGAGATAGACGCGAATTGTCGCGGAATAGTCGTAATCGATGATGTAATACATGTCGTATCACGTGGATTCTCAATCTTTTAATCGACAGAGCGTCTCATCCGTTTGAAAATAGATTCAATGCATCGTATTGGTTTTAATGTCAATTTTCAACGCGCCAAATTCCACGCTCTGACGTGCAACCAGTGTTCATCAAGCGTATAATTATAATATTGTTTATCAATTTGCCTGCAATTAATCTGTATAATTTATCTATCAATCATTATCTGTATGATATATATGAATTTGATACAAGGCATATGCATTTTAAATTTGCAATTTTTTTCAAAAACGTTACATCGCGTTATAAATGACTTAAATTTGCGAAATGCGGTTCTTATAACTCTTTTACTAAACTGGATTTAATCAGGCACTAAAAGACTCGATAAACTGTTTTTCATTCTATTTGACGCTTTTTATCATAATTAAGTGAGACACGAGCATAATGTTTCATCGCTATTTCTATTTATCTTAATCGTATGTAGTTATTTCAGTCCCATCGAGGAAAATCTGACGCTGCGAGATATGTTTCGATAATGATAAGATATTCTGGAATATTTGCCTCAAGTGCTTCTGTTTCCTTCAAATTATCTCTGAAAAATTATTACATAAATAATTAGATATATAATATAATATTTATATAATATGTATATAACATTTATATAAATAATTAGAATTATCATTAAAAACGATATGTCATAGCTGTCTCGACGATAATCTATCAAAAAATAATCATATCGGAAGAATCCAAGCGCCCCCGCAACCGTACTTTTTTTTTTGCTAAGGTCGAGCCAAGATTGAATAGAGCGATATAATAATTTATGTCTGAACCAATAATCTTATCAGTGCCGGAATGTGTCGCTTTTGACGACATTGCTTCTCTTGACCGGATATCCATGTATTTTTTTTTATTTTATTTCGAAACACTTCTGTCGAATAGACTTGGCATTTTATCTATCTCGGAACAATTTAGCTATCTCGTTTCCTTGAACGCGATAATATTTATACGATAATATGCATTTATCGTACAATATTAAATGGCCGTGCACATAAATGCAAAAGAAACTGTTCTGGCTCTGTCACGTGCTCGGAAATAAAAGAGATTTTATTTTTATTAAACGACCATTGAAGGTTATTGCTGTGGAACAAACGGAGATAATTATCACGTGCGCGTCAGGTCTGCTTTGGTTCCGGCCGATTTAAAGTTTTTCCTCCGGAAGAATAACTTAATTTTATCGCTTTCATTTTTTTCCTCCTTGCTTAAACGCTTTATTATCTAAAGTAAGCAATGTATCGAGACATATTGAAGGAGGTGATTTAAAAAAAACAGATCTCCCTCTCTCTCCCATTCAGCACAGAACATTGCAGCAATATTGCAGCAATATTCTGTGCTGTATGGGTCTCTCCGACGAGAAATCGAATAGATTGATCTTTGAATTTTGGTTTTTCGTCACGATAATGAAATAAAAAAACGCCAGGTAAACAGGACTATCGGTCCTCGAGAGATAAATGTACGAAGCTCTTTCGCGTTTCGTTGGGAAATCCCGTACAGCGCAGAACATTGCAGCAATATATTGCGGTAATATTACAACAATAATAATAATATTGCCGCAATATTTTGAGCTGCACGGGGCCCCAGACATGCGCTTCCCGTTCGGAACTTTTCGCGGACGGAGCTCGGTGGAGATGCACGTATTAATCGTGTCAGGGAGAAGACACCCGGTACATTGACCGCGAGATCGAAGACCTTGAACTTCCTCCGAAACGCGCAACCACGAGCTCACGTTCGTCGCACGTGTCCGATCGCGCGAGATCGAGGGGGAGAAGGACAGGGGGGCGGGGGGGAAGACAGAGAGAGCGAGAGAGAGAGAGAGAGAAAGAGAGAGAGAGAAAGATTCCAATCGGGGATTCGCGCGCACAAGACTGAAAATACCTTACCTCGGATCGGGAACGGCTTCGTCTGAATGGTGTCCGACGTCGGCGGGGTGTAATGCATCTCGATTTCGGAGTCGGTCATCCTACGCGGGGACGATTGATGCGGCCGTCGAGATGGAGAAGAGAGAGAGAGAGAGAAAGAGGGAACGCCAGAGAGAATCGCGTGCGTCCACGCGCGAATCGCACGGACCGTGTCGACGTACTGGCGCTGGCGCCGCCGACAAGGAACGGGCACGAACGACGAAAGCACGGTGGCGAGACAACCGTCGCCGTCGCCGCCGTCGTAGATACGTCATCACCTATCGGAGCGGTGGGAACGGACGGGTGAAGAGGCGGGGCGGGGAGAGGCGGGGAGACGTCTGGCTCGGCCGGGGTGAGGTCCGCGGGAATCGGAGCTGTCAGCTGTCACATGGGGTCGTGCGCGCGCGCAACAGTCACTTGACAGTTGACGTGGTCGTCGCGACGATTAGGAGTCTGTCCTGGTCTGTCCACATCGCGATCAAGAACTATCCCATACGTTGCAGCAATATCGCAATGTTAATAATATTGCTGCGATATTCAGTGCTGTCTGGGATAATTTCGATGATTTGAGATTCGAATTTTTCCACGTCGAGGTATTTTCCAGGGTGACGGACTGACCTGTCATCGAAATGTCATCTCTTTCGAGTTTTCTTTCTAGTTTATTCCATCTCTAAAGAAAGGTGTAAGATTTTTTTATGGATCGAGAATAAGTATAATATTAATAAAATTCTATTCTCTATTTACTCTTTTGATATCTCTCTCTCTCGCTCTTGCAGATTTTAAAGATAATCGATCGATTATAAAGATAATCAGTGCAATGTTATAAGAAATGAATTCTCTCTCTCTAGTGATTTTAAAACATCTCTAGCGTTCCCCCAATCGCAGTCTAAGAAATCAGTCTTTCTATTGGATTTCAGATGTTGGAATCCAACGCGCTGATTGGTTGTCAGCTAAAAAGTTCTCGACAGCAGCCAATCAGCATATTTGATAAAATAGATTTGTAATATATATATGCACAGCAAATTTAGAGTAAGTTTACGTTCATGCAATAGAATATTTATGGGACGTGTACGATTGGCTAGAAGATTTCTAGAAGATTCTAGAACTGTAAAAAATCTGATAGCCAATCAGTACGTCCTACAAACATTTTGCCCCACGCATGCAATCGTGCCTTTAGGCTTATAACGCATTTCCGGTGGCGTCGAGGCATATATGCCATATATTTGTAGTGTGCGCCTCTTTCCTTCGTCAGTTGATCTCGAGACGGGTAGTATAGGTAAGTGATGTATTCCGCTTGGTGTTTCAAAAATCGCCAAATTAATTAATTATTCATACGATATGTCATTAAACGTACTGTTTCTTGCATGTTAAGTCAAAATATCGCGGCAATGAGCTATTTTTATTTCGACGATACCGGCAAGGTAACGATCGATCATGCATGCACACACACAAATATAAAAGCACGTTTGAGCGCGTAAAGGACGATTAAAATTATTCCTTTATGTTTATCTCTTTTAATTTTAATGATTATTTTTTCAAATAAAATTACACATGTAGATGGAATATTCCGGTAAATTCATTATATATATATATATATATATTTTTTTTTTACGGTAAATATATATTTAGCATGTGTACTAAATATATAATATTAAATATAAACAATACACTTGTACTGAATAAAATCAGCCTTTGTCACGTAACCGCATATTATGCAACAAATGCTAATCGCGTTTTGTATTTGATAAAAATAATCGCGAGAAGAGAACTGTATTCTTTCATTTTCGTAAACTATGCAAAAAGGATTCCTTTAATTATGGATATACTTTGTCTCGATGACGTGAAATAATGTGTAATGTTGAATTAATTAAATTCAGTTATTTCACTCTACAAAAAAAATAGATGCGAAAACAATTTTGGAACAATTCTATTGTAATCTTCATAAAAATCCACACGTGCTATCTTTAAGCAATTGTATAGGTTATGTTACACCAGATACCTATGCATGCGCTTACGTTTTTATTTATTTTTTTTCTATAAAAGTCTTCTCTCTTTCCTTAATATAATTATAGAATTTATATTTTTTTTAGATTTTAGATTTAATATTTTATAATATAATCGAGAATTATATTTAATACATTTGTCGCAGTAAAATTTTTAGCTACTTCTTAAATTTCAAGGCTTATTTTTCCCAAATTGCTTAATTTTTTTAGTGCTCATTAAACATATTTTAGAGGAATCTTATCTAAAACATTTCGGAAATAAATACGGTAACCCTCATGAAGGCTCAATGCCAAACTTCCGAAATATTACACAGAATAGAATTTTGGATGTTATATATGGTTTAAGAGCGCATTATTTAACCTTCTCGTCTCCTTCGACTCAACACGTGGATTGCGAATGATATATTTTCCTGCATTCGTTTCAGGATAAATCAAAAATGGATTTGCGTCGAGATAATAACGACACAATTGTTGATTTGTCGATAATTTTATCGATAATTAAATCGTATCGTGTGCGATGTGTGTTGCATAACGAAAAGGTGAAAACTAATCTGGTCTGTGAGACGAAAAGTTAAACGAATCTAATTTAAGCTTTCATTCATTTTCAGTGCCTCTAGAGAGCCTTCACGCTTCTCTTTATCAGTACGCGTTTAAATATAACCATATTTTTTAGTCATGGAATGCAATGATATTTTTGTGTGCGTTCAGATTCATTCTCTTCGTGATACATCATGATATAGACAGTATTTAATATTGATAACAATGTTTTAGGCAAGAAGGATCATCATTATCTTTCAAATCGTATCGCTTCCGTATTCTCTTTTTATGATAAAGCTAATTTTACTCATCGCTGAATTAATGTTGCTTATACAGGGCAATCTTTTCTCTTAAAAAAAAACCCCTTGTAGCTTACCTCGAGAGTTTTTCAAAACACTATAATAAAGTATTTCAAGTACTTTTCGAGTTACGAGACTTGAAATAATTTTTTAATTTACGTAAACTAAAATATCTAGTAAAATATTCATTTTTCGACTATTTTATCTTAATACTTTTATGTACAAAATAATGAGAGGAATCAATTGGTGTAAAGAAAACACATAATTGTTTCGAAGAAAAAATATGTAATTTGCAATTAATTTTTTTTATGTGTTTTCTTTACACCAATTAATTCCTCTCATTATTTTGTACATAAAAGTATTAAGATAAGATAATCGAAAAATAAATATTTTACTAGATATTTTATAGTTCATGTAAAAATTAAGAAATTATTTCAAGCCTCGTAAAGTACTTGATAAAAAAATACTTTATTATAGTGTTTTGAAAAGCTCTCGAGATAAGCTACAAGAGCTTTTTTGGGGAAGAGATTGCCTTGATTCTCTGTATATGAAAGAAGCGATTGTGTACTTGACAATTATTGAAACAAAATATACTTGTTAAATAAAATAATTTAGCAGCCGCAGATTTTTTCCGCGTTATTTGCAAGAATTATTAAACTGAATAAATTATAAATCAGTGACGCATTACATGAAATCAAAAAGCGAGATCGGTCGACTAATCTAGTTCAATAGTTCAAGTTTCGATATCTTTTATGACGCGAGAAAATAATTTTTTAATTATTGTTTATGGGTGAATATGTAGGTGAATACCCTCCTTTCATTAATATGCTGGAAAAACCGTCTTGGTACATAATTTAATCTTCATATATCTTCATTGATAAATATTTGTTGATTTTTTATACGATATGAGCTCACGCAAAGAGAGATTTAGATATTCATATAATAGCTTGTTTGGTACTTGACTTTATGTACATATTCTCGACAGTTGCTATTTTATCATGTTTTTATTCAACTATATTATACGTGATTATGTTTTTAAAAAATCATTAAAATTATTTATTTTAGAATTTATAAGAGAATAATTTTGATCAGATAATTTTAAGATACTATTCTTTTATACCTACTTTTTATATAATAATCATTTTGCTAAATGTACGTAGCATTCTCACATTTTTAATTATATGTAAAAAATGCTAAAAATTCAAAAATATCACGAGCGTCTTTATTTACAAAATAGGCATTTTATCTATTTATCTATTTATTATTTATTATCTGTTTAGAACAAATGTTTCGGCGTTGACGTCATGAATTTATTCGTGATGATAAAAATGTGTTTTACGTGAAGGATTTTTTTAGTTTGCTGTTATATTACACTTTGCAGTCTCGCTGCTTCGTTATATTTACGTGAAGGATTTTTTTAGTTTGCTGTTATATTACACTTTGCAGTCTCGCTGCTTCGTTATATTTCCTATGCATGGTAATATATGTATGTATCATTCAAAGTCGATGCCTAGGTTAAACTGAATTAAATGTGTTTTTCCACGTGACGCATCAATAAAAAGGAAATAGTACGTTTTTCATGACATTTATTCTTTACTTTGCGAAGAAAATAAAACAAAGTTGAAACTTAATTTTGAAGTATTTTTAATAAAATCGCGTGTGTGTTTCTTGAATAATTTGGTGATAAAATCAAGTGAGTTAACGAATAAATCTGTTTTTCTTTTTTCAGGACACAAACGAAATTGTATTAACGATGCATCCGACTCATTTTTTTCTATACGCTTACCGCTTATCAGTGACTCAGGTAAGACTTTTGGTTTTAATTAATTTAATTCACGCTCCCATCTATTTATTACAAATAAAAATTTTTTCCAAAATTTCTAGCAATTTTATCGAGAAGTTAGAATTTTGGAATGCAGTTCACAAAAAATTTTAATCTAATAATAAAATATAAATTAGAATATATGTAATACATATATACTTTATGTAATATAATGTAATTTTATATAATATTTTACATATTTCATACTATATTGTTTTATTTTACTATACATTATTTTTATTTCTTGCTTTTGTTTATGATTTCATTTTATATTTTTTAAAATTTATACATACATATATACATATATATATATATATATATGTGTGTGTGTGTGTGTGTGTGTGTGCGCGCGCGCGCGCGCGCGCATGTGTGTGTGTAGAGTATATATGTAGAGTAAATG